CATTGAAGTTAGAAAGAGTGGTGAAAGAGTTATGGTTTGTTCTGAACGGTGTGCCTATCAGATATTCGATCACCGAACATGCCATTATATCCGGCCTGAACTGTGACAAGTATCCTAAAGATTGGGCTGATTTCAAGGGAAGCCAGTTTCGGATGAAAATATTTGGACCTTCAAAGGTAACCATATCAGGGGCATTAGAGAAGTTGTATAACACTCCAAGCACAGATGTGGAAGACAGAAAAAGACTAGCGATACTTGTTTTGTTGGGCGGAGTACTAGACCATGGTATCAAGAACACTGATGTGATTCCCACGACCTTAATTGACATGGTCGATAATCTAGAGTTCTGTGAAGGGTTTCCCTGGGGGAGATACACCTTTGAAAAAATATTCGAGCAAATATGGAAGATGTATGCAAGCAGTTCTAAACCGAAGGAGAGATGGCATTGTCCGGGATTTGTGATACCTCTTATGGTAAGTTAGATTTTTTTGTATGTTTTTTAATTTGATTGAGCGTTCGAGTATAGATGTTGTTTAATGTAATTGTTTGGTATGTTGCAGTTGCTTCCTTTTGAATGCGTGGAAAGCTTAGGCGCAAACAGATGGTATATGGCAGTGGAAGGTGCTGATCCAGCTTACCACTCTTTCCAACTTCAATGCACGGTGTAAGAGGACAGACATTGGAACCATCTTCAATGTTTCTTCGCATTGCAGATGAAAAATATGACGAAACTGTGACTCGTCATTGAAGTATCTGAATTCATCGTCTGTTAATGCCTTTTTTAGAGACCGAATTGTTTGATATGGATAACACTTCGTTGTTATCTTGGGAGCCTGATGAATGTCTTTCAAATCGTATACAAAAGGAACCTGCAAAACAAAATTAACATGAAGATTATCAGTTTGGTTTGACTGGTTTGATCAGTTTGACCAGTTTTACTAGACAAGTCAAACTCGTCAAACTGGTCACACCGTTCAAATGCGACCAGTGCGACTAGTATGACCACTTCACATCGTCTCACTGGTATGACAAGTTTGATCAGATTAGTCAAACTCATCATACCCTTCAAGTGCGACCAGTGTGACGAGTATGACCACTATAGTAGTGACCGGTGTGACGGTGTGACGACTTCAACGGTATTTCACTGAGGGGTATACCCAGTTTAATCGGACTAGTCAAACTCGTCTCACCCTTCAAGTACGAAGAGTGTGACGAGTATGACCTCTACGATAGTGACCGAGACAAAACTCTCATATGACTCTGATTTCAAACCAAAACCCTAAATTTTCTTATCTGTAAAACTCGAATACTATGACCCATTTGACTACGATTTTGTCTACCTTTAATATTTACCCAAATGTACACATATGAAATTAAAAAAAACCTCACTTTCTCGGTGAGTTATAATGGAAACCTTACCTGAAGATTTTCGCAGATAGATGCCGAAAACGATGAAGACGAAGCCATTTCGAAGTGAAGAGAACAAATCGCACAAGAAATCGCTTGCAGAATGCCCGTTAGAGAGAAATCGCGAAGAAGGAAGAACGAAGAAACTGACAAAGTTTTTTTTTTACTTAAAACAATTTTTGATTTCGGACTCCAACTCCCCACTCTTTCTTTTTTTTTCGCAATCTTTATTCAGATTTTTACACGTGTACTTTTTTTAAGGCTAAGATGGTATTTTCAATGTTTTTCAATTTTTTTTGGAAATCCTAATTTTTCGAGGGTATGTGTTGCAACTGATGTTACACTTTAAAGGTATATCTGTAATAACGCCGAATCAATGATTAGAAACAAAAATATTAACATTGATGATTAGTATTTGCTAATTTAATTTTTTTTGTTAAACTTAATATTAACACCGTTTAGTCGCCGGCTTATAAATGCCCAATTTGTAGTTAATTGAGTATACTGGTGACTAACAAGGAATTTAATAGAGTTTTAATGTTACTGTCAAAAAATAGACTAAAATATTCTACTGATAAATATTGGAATTTTAAAAAAATATTCTACAGAAATATGCGAATTAAAAATAATTCAAAATAAGATGAACTCATATGTAATACGTTTCCAATAGTCTCGAGACATGGATATTAAAAAAAACTCGTATTTATTTCTAAATTTATCGCATTTTTAAATTTCATAGGAAAAAAAATGGACATTTGATATTCGAATACAATTCATTTTTTTTTAATAATTTATTGACAAACGTAACCAACTATTTGAAGAGTTTGGACGAACGTTACGTATATGACCTACCTACGCATTGCATGCTCCTCGAGGAACATACTAAAATGTTATTAAAATGAGCATAATTCCTCGAATTCTTAATCTCGGTCCACGTTTCCTTTTAATTGGTCCGCGCACATAACAACCCCCGTAAATTTGTAGATTAAAGTATATTACGAAAATTTCATTTGTTTGAATACGACAAAAGCGAGAATTTTCTGATATCCCAATAAAAAAAAGTATAAATTTTATTCGGTTATACGGATATAGATTATTAACAAATATAAAGCGATATGTATAATTTCGATAATAAATGAAATACCAACCTTTGACAAAAAAAAAGAATATTATTTATATATAATTAATAATATTTCTTTGATGAAATATAATTAATAATATGGATTTATGCATATTAATATCACTGAAATGTATTTAAATTATTTAAATTAATTCATATAAAATTGACGATTTACATTTATTTTTTAACAAAACTAATTCTATATATTTAATCAACCTCTCTCTATATATTTATATAGATTTAAAAGTCGGGAGAAATTAATTTGCATGCGCCGACAAATCCGTGCAGTTTGCATGTCGTAGAATCCTCATGCAGAGACACGTTATAGAGGACGTCACTTAGGGTAACATATGTATGCGTCTGCTTTTTGTTGGTCAAAATAAAATTCCCCGTTGCTGTATAGGTTACAAATGAATTTGAAAATTAAATAAATAAAAAGTGGAATTTATATATTACTATCTAAAAACGAATACCTAATTCCTAGTTTCTATGTAAAACCACAAGAATTATACTTTTCAGATAATGCATATAATTTTCTATTTAACATATTAATTCAAAAAACCATGTTCATCTCTTGATAGTTTCTTTGAATTTTTTTTAATGATTTTCCGAATAGCTATATATATCCATATAACTTTTTCCAAATTAAGATATTAAATATCTATTATACTTCTTATATATTGTGAAGGGCCAAAAATTATATAATCGTCGTCATAAACGATGTACAGAATCTGGAGCTATTTAATGGCCCCCACTTGGTTCCCTAGTTCAGTTGAACCATTCGTACATAAAAGAATTTTCTTATCCTATTATTAATTCCGTTACGAAATTTATTTTTAATTCAATTGAATATCTTGGATTACGTTTTAATTCACTAGGAAAAAAAAGAGTATTATTCAGCGGCTTTGAGATGGGCAAGACCGGTGTTCATTAATTAATTTGTTTATTCTTTTTGGTAAAAAGTCAAAAATGTTTCTTTAAATGACATTAAAAACATGTATAATAATTAATTAGATTCCTCTTACGGTTGTCTCATGGTCATTAATTGCATTCCCATTCAAATTTGTTTAATATATAATTAATACAAAGTCCGTTTACTACTTACTCTGTATGGAGTACAATTACGTTTGACTCATTAGGAAATAAAAAATAAAAAATCAACATATTAAAAAAGAATATTAAAAAATTTGAATTTTTTTTTGTTATATATTGAAAACAATCGAATGACTAAGTATCCGATGCCAACGGCCCAATTAGGCCGTAACAAAAGGCCCAAAACCCAATTGAGATGGGCCGTAAGTATTTGTACGCTAAAGATTCCATTTCTTTGTAAGAAAATTAAAGAAGCCAAGAAATTTCATTTCATAAAATTACAAACTGAAACAAAGCTCGAGAGGAGCTCTCTCAGATTACAGAAAATGTTGTCATCTTCCTCATCAACGGTAACGACTAACAATGGAATATCATGTAAAAATGACACGTGGCGTGAAGGGTTAGAAGGGGCGGGTGTGTCGGCCACTGGCTCGGCCGCAGAGAAGAGCGTTCTTAGGGATGGGATACTCGTCCCGGTAAGAAGTGGACGAAGTCCAAACCCTGAGATAGAACTGTTGTCCCAAATACTGTCTTCCCCAATTCTCCGACCTTATGTTCCACATACCCACGTTGTCCAACGCCATGTATATCGCTGTCCATGCCCTCGGATACACCTACATCATCATCATGTAATCCAATCAATCCATCATGTTTTCACGTAACATGTAACGCATAACCATGCATACATCACGTCTTTCTCATCTGAAACGTTCTTTACCTGGACGGTGGACCGAGCAACAGCGTCATGGAGATTGTACTTCGCTCGGCTTCCTGTGGTCCATTGGCCTCCGTCCATCCTATCAACACCGGAACTTTAAGGATCAGTATTTGTAAAACTATAAGATCAAAACGTTTCTTGATCAACAAGAAATGTAAATCAAGTCTTTTTACCCGACGACGAAGAAAGAGTAACCGTCGATGTGCCAAGACTGGACAGTGTTCTCCCAGTTCTGGAACACGATCTCGATGAACTCCCTGAAGTTTGCGGCCATGACTGATGTCTGGAGAGAGCCTGCATTATTTCCTCCAGAGGGACTTGTTGGGATGCTTCCGAGGTTGAAAACTCCAGAGATTTTGAAGTAATCAGCGAGCTTCAATGGCGTGTCAGGAGCCACAAAGGATACACCGTTCACTGCATACTTCTGTTTTCCATTGATGTAAGGCGCTGAATTCGATATCATGATGGTACGGCCCGGTTTTATCATCCCATAGTGGTATGAACCTTGCGGGTTCGGTCTAGGTCCGCTCGCTGTTAGATTCCTCCTGTTACATACAACAATATACACCGTATCAAAAGTTAGGTTTTTGGACCTCACATGTTCTTCTTTACCAGAGCTCGAAGCAAAAACAGGAGGCGGAAAATGTTACCGAATTGTTCGAGCCTGAAAGAGAGAAGAAGCTATGTTCAAGGTGGGTCCAGAAGGAACAGGACCAGAGACTCCTCTTCTGGAGTTACTGTAATGGAGAATGGCGGTCGTGGTGAGGACTTTACGTGTGAATCTCGAGGAGACGACGATGTAATAATCCTGAGGGGCCTGGTTCGTGGTCACGAGAACAGAATAGGACTGGCCCAGATGAATATCCAGAGATGAGTAAACGTTTTGAACAGTGTGAGAGCCTTCCACTTCGACGAGTTTCATGGCGTGACCCTGGATTCTGAAGTTTATCGACGTTGCCAGTCCCACGTTAGATATTCTGAATCTGTAGGTCTTGCCTGAAAGTATTGTTTTTCAGAAGAGAACAGAATCAGAACCGTAAGTTTACGGTAGATTATGCAAAAATCGGTACCGAGAAAATGTGCTTACCGGGTTGCACAGTGAATGTGTTGCCTCCCCAGCCGCGGCCATTGATGAGAAGTCCATCCGGGAAGGGCAGATTCCGGCCAGCTTCCAACAGGCGTCTCAAAACCTACCATTAATCAGTAACCTAAAAAAAGTAAGATTATGGCTTGCATTTTACACAAGTAAACTGACAAATCCTAGAGTTCTAGCAAGTTTCTTGCGGCACAAGTTACGAGAATTAAGACAATCGGAAAAACCTACATAGTGGTTAGTCTTGTACCAATCGCCAGAAAGAATCCAGAAGTCGCCATCGGGGGGAGAGAAAGGGACGGGAATGCGAGGACGGCTCCAGACCCGGATGGCTCCAAAGGCACCAGCGGCTTTGTGGAAGGCGAGAGAAGGGAAGTAGAAGTAGCTGCCGATTTGGTCCTTCACTTGGATGATGTAAGTGAAGTTTTTCCCAGGTGGGATTGGACATGTCGTCCCTATTACCCCGTCATGCCATGAGTTCTTCCTCTGCTGCAACCCGTTCCTACCAAAATCCGACAGTCATTCCTCATTAGCCAATTCCGAAGCGAATTTGATTACAACGCCAACATTTCTCTGTTTCAGATTGTCATAAAATAGATGAAATTGTGGAATAGTAGCATTGTTTCTCTAAATCTATTGATTCCTGAAAGAAATGGAACAGCATCGAAGCCGACTCTTCAAAATTCAGGGACCTTTTTGAACATAATGAAAGTTTGGGGGTTACATCTTATCTTTCTTAAAAATTGGAGGAGTAAAAAATTATTTCCGTCTCACATTATCTTTTCTAATAGTAATGTTGGAATTGGATGTCATATTACATCTAAACCAAAGAACAAGACCCAACCAAGTTTAAAAATTAGTAAGGTACATATAGACACATATATACATATATGTATACATATGTGTATATATGTATTGTACATGTTTGTTTTTTGGTGAGCATTTGCTCATGGTGGAATATTTCATTTTCTATTAATGTTCTTTTTTTTTTTTAAATTTGCAGCCACTCAATGTGGGTGGCAGTAGAAGAGCAATTGCGACCAAAATATAAAGTTCACATGTATGTATATATGTATATGTATGTGTGTGTGTGTGTATGGATACGTGCAAGATCTACTCAAAGCCCATGTGTCTGAAACCTGCATTTTCCTCCAGACAACAAAAAGCCGCCGGAAAGTTGAGATTTCTTTTTTCCTTATAGATGTTTCTTGTTCCTATCTGTCAGGAAGATGCAATTTTCTCGGCATCCAAACAGCGCAGAGGCAAAAGGATTAAAAGAAAGAATGAAAAGTATTTACCAAGAAAGGAGGAAAGGCTCTTTCAAGTAGTTGTAAACACTGATAATCAAGTTGTCATTAGTCACCGCGTCAATGTGAGGCCCAGGAAACTGCCCGTTTATCAAGATCCCCTGAACAAAACAAAAACATCGCCGCCGAGAAAATGCATCAGCACATTTTCTCGGCGTCCAAACAGGGAAGAGAAAATGTATGTACCTGCTGTTTGACGCCAAGAGGGTAAATGTCGCCATAAGTCACTTTCCAGGTAAAGAATCTGTAAGGGTTATCGCCAAATACGCCATTGATGAGAACCAGAAGAAGAATAACGACTGAAACTTTGCAAGAATCTCTCATTTCGTCTTCTCTTCTCTTCTCTCCTCTTTTTTTTTTTTTTTTGTGGGGATCTCAGAGGAGGTGAAGATCCATATACAGACAACTTGGAGAATTCAATAGAGGTGCTCTCTTCAATATAAGCGGCACCAACGCATTTATATTTCTTTTATTTCTCATTTTTTTTAAATCTAATGTTATATCTTTAAATGTTATAATTCTCACAAGATTTGGTTAGTATATAAAGTAAACTCGATTCTATTGCAAAATATGTATTTTGTTGCAACGAACAACAACAACGTAAAAATAAATAAAAAACTAATTTTGTATTCACTAACTTTTCCTTAGCATTTTTTTATTTTATTTTTATAACAGTTCAATATAATAATAATAATAATAATAATAATAATAATAATAATGATGATGTTTTTGGGTTTATGGTTCAGACTTCAGAGCACATTGCTCCGTATTGTCCGTATTGAAACGCTGTCGGAGGATAAGAATCTCCTGCACCTACATATACTGATTAACTTTCGTACTGACCGTGCGATTTATGTCCTAAAAATATAGACGGTGAAGATCGAAGTTCAGATCTATTAAGTAATAGCATACGGTAAATTAGAAGCAGATAATACTAGTCCGACACTTTCACGTGCTATTGCGGCATGAACGAAAGAAGAAGACAAAACAAATGGAAATTTGTTATATAGTTTATGAAATATATTATAAATATTTAATATTCGGAGGACAAAAAGCTAATGGTTATATTTGACCAAATGGTGGAATGTCACATGTAATGCTCCGAAATCTTCGGTTAAAGCAAGTCTTTAATGAAATCGTAGTTATAAGTTCTTTAATTTCACATTTTGTGCATATGTAATATACATTATCATATTATGCGATTTTAGATGATAAAAACAAATATACATTAAAAATGGTTGAGGAAAACTTTTGTCTAGATTCATATACATCTATTTTAAATAGTGAGAGTGACAACTGTAGAAAATAAATTTGATAAACGAAAATTTGAGTGTAAACTGAATTGAATTATGAAAGTTTTTATAATAGATAGGATTTAAAAAATCTTTTTTTTTAAGAAAATAGAAAATATGATGTAAAATGGGTTGGTTCAACTCAATCCAACTCGTTTAATTCATCACAACTCAGATCCGATTTTTGGTGAAGCAAAAATTACTTGATTCAACTCGACTCAACTTAAATCGCTAGCCAAAAAAATCGATTCGCAAGGCAAATACATAACTAAAAAATAAAATTTAAATCCTAAAAAATATTATAAATTTTATAAATACAATAAAAAATTTAAAAATTTAAACAAAACAAACCAAATATCTATTACAAAGACAATTTTAATATAAAAATATTTAAAATATTTAAAAATTAAAAAAATGATTCGTAGATTAATTCGTGGATTTGTCGAACTAGCTCGTGATTAGATGGTTTGTTCGATCTGTCTTTTAGTAGAAAAAGTATGGGATGATTTATAAATGGATCTAGGAACCGAACCCATTTTGACATCCTAATATAAAATAGTTAGGGTAAACTATAGGCAAATATTATAAAATAAAATTCTAATATATTTATATCCATGGAGGAAGGTCCGTACCGATATACATTAATGTATGAATAATGCGACCCCAAAATTATTGCAAGGTAAGAGAGGGAGGCTTCGTCCGTGTCTCTTCGTTCTTTACGAATTTTTTTTTTTTTTTGTAAGAGAAAGTTATTGAAACTTCATTTCGAATCTCATTTAATACACATCTTTTATAGGGCTGCGGTGCATATAATTATGTCAACGGTCTACCATAAATGAGTTTCACAAGATCAAAGATGTAGCTGTGCTTCCACACGATGTTTGCAGAATCTTACAAGATCATGAAGAGTTGAAATTGGAAGAAACATTTCAGGAATCAAACCCGGAGTAAACACCGCTGTCTCTCAGCAGTCTCTTCTCTTCTTCCACGTAATTCTTCCCTCTACTCGCTTGCCCCATTTCTCGTTTCCGTTTCTCCTTCTGCGAGAAGGAAACGTCCCTTCTGTCCCTCCGTGTCTGGGCGTCCACGAGCTTCTCGCCATCCGCGACAGCAGCTCTTGTCGCCTCTCGTTCTTGAAACGTCTCTTTCGCTCCCTCTGTTTCCCGTTTCTCCTTGCCCGTAGACCAAGACCAGTTCGGTTTCTCTTCGGGAGACGGGATGTCGGGTAAACCGACGGCCTTGTAACCGTGCTCTTGCAGAGATTCGTAGTCGAATCCTTTCTTATCTTTCTTTGCAAACTTTGCTGCCAGACCAGAAGACATTGAAGAACCAAGTCAGGTCATATAAGAGCTCTGTAATATCCTAACACCGAAAATGAGAAACATAAAACAGGAGATTCATGACAAAAGTAGTTCCGATGGTCTTCCTGCTCTTCTTTATAACTTAAGACATAAAAGATTAGGAGAGTTGGGCTTACGAGTTTCGGATTAAAGTCTTCGGAATTCAATTCGAGAGGCTTGTATTCGATGCGCGATTTGCCTAATATGATCTTAGTTTCTGGTATTGTTCTTACCCTTTTCACCATTTAACTGTCGACGGAAGAGGAGGGTCCGCTGTCTTCGTCGTCCCATCGCATCATACCCTTCTTCATGGTATTAGTGTGATGTAACTCTGTAAACAAAATCAAAAGGGGTGGACAAAGACCTAGCAACAGAACCGCAGAAGCTCCAAGGAGGGAGAAACTAATCATACTACAAGAATTAATTTTCCAGAAATGGCTAGACTGAAGTGTATATTATTATTGGCAATTGCATATGCTTTAGACATTTGAACACCGAAATTTTACAAGCTCTAAAGAGATTTAAGCAAGGGTTTAAAGGGATCAAATATTAAACTCTAAATCAAACACCGAAATTTCAAATATTATTGAAAAAACAGGAGAAAAACCCTAAAACCCTTAATCGAACCCCAAATCAAACAACTAAGAGGAGGCAAGATTCGATTTCAGGGATCATTAACATCGATTTCGAGATTTCATCAAACATATAACGACAGAGATTCTAATCCACAAGGTACCTGAGAAGCGACAGGCGGAATGAAGGCGGGTCGCCGGATGCGGAAGAAACGGACCGATGAGAGAGAAGACGAAGACGATGAGGGGAAGAGAGTCAATTGGTTGGGAGAGAGAACAAATGGGGCCATTGGGCCCATTAACAAAATTAGAGAAAACTAAATACTGGGCCCAAAAGATGACCACATGTTTTATCCATGAAACTTTTACATATTTATTCGGAAAAACTATAATTAATAATTTTTATATATATAATTTTTAACGGTCTTGTAAAAAAAAATCATCTGTTTTTTATTTGTTCAATGTTATCGATATCATATAATATAGTTTGATTAGTTAGATACAAATGATAATCTGTATTACATCTTTTATCGTTTGATTTTATTTCTGTAAATATAGTTTGTGTTCCGTAAGATAACAACTGATATTTATGTTTTTTTCTTCTATGTTTTTGGATAAATTAGAATCCCGTTTTAACATATGATAAAGAACACATTATAAAAAGTGCAACATTAACATATCATGCAAAACAGTATAACATATTTTTAAGTAAATTGAAATTCGGACATAAACAAACTATATTAAAAATAAAACAAATCACATAATCCAAAGACAAATGTATTTCGAACAAGTCACCAGATTATAACAATCTGCACTGATCCAATGTACAGCTCGGAAGAGAGAACCACCCATATATGGAAAACTAGAAACAAGCCAAAGCACAGAGAGGGAATGAATGTACAATCATCATCACCATCATCATCACCATCACCATCACCATCATCATCATCTAACCTTCCTGAATTATATGTGTACGTTATGCATGCAACACCAACGTCCGTACGAGGATCATTCAATCAGTGGCAGTAGAAGGAAGATCCGAACGTGTTCTCTCCACTGTAAGTCATGTAGAGGAACCCGTCTTCGTCTTTGTGTTCCTCATAGATTGCTGACATCAAGGCGCCTGTCAGAAGAGTTCATCACAGGTGTTAAAAAGAGGCAAGACGGGACTGGATCTTGAACGATCGATGATAACGTTGACGGGTTAAGGTTTGCTTTTTTACCAGTTGAAGGCAATGTGTCCTTGACAAAGATGAAGATGGCCTTCTCGGCACTAAGCTTGATCCTTTTCCGGACCACATACACGAATTGGCCTACAGATAGATCAGCTGGTACAAGGTACCTATATATAAACCAACGGAGATAAGAAACGCTTTTATGTTTGAGATTCTGCAGGTGGCACCAAGTAAAACCCTCGGGAAAAGCGCAACACATCCAAGAAACAAAGCATTTTCATGCAAAAATCGCAACTAACAATGGGGTTGTAAGTTGTCAAGACGAGCTTCAATGATTCGAAATCAAAGGTTAGTAGCTCATAGTCATAGGCTACCACTACCGACTGATTGTGTGCTATTCAGAAAACCAATAAATTTTGCACTGAATAACCTTGAATTTGTCTCCAAAAGAATGAGTCTCAAATCCAAGCAGGATCAAATCCTAAAAGATAAAACAAAATCCCTTTTTGAGGTCTACACTCCACATTAGCCATGAAAATTCCAGAAAATCGAACAGAGGCCATGGAAATAGTTCAAGATTGGCGCATAAGAGATAAAAGAACATAGGAGGATATGATGATACAAAGAATGGAACATAAGTGAAGGGCTATTCAAGACTTGAAGACAATCCAAGACTGCGTAAATGGAAAGGCAGAAACCGAAAGAAAACGAGGACCTATTTTACGATTCACACAAAATAATCTGGATGCCGGAATCAGGGCACAATATCGGCTACAACCCAACATCAAGATTCAAGATCCATGTAGAGAGAGAGAGATAGATGAAAACTCACTTCTTCTTATCGATGTCAGGAACATCGCTCTTTCCGGCCTTCTCCACGACCACCTGTACACGATTTCTAGTTAGAGTAAAACGACCGAGAATTAGGTTCATTAACTGAGAATCTCTTCGACAAACTTACTGGAATCCTGTCCGGATACTTCTCTCTGATACGAGCAGCTTCGGCCTGCCTTACCTCTGATATAGAAACCAACCAAAATCATATTCAACAAGACCGCAAACATCAGACATCACACAATGAAACTGCAATATAAGGAAGCTCTTATCTGAAACAATCTTTCTTTCCATTCACTAATGATTTCTTCTCAATTTTAGCAATAAGGTTTAACATAATCCACACACACACACAAAAAAAAAATGCAGTAGTATGTGAACATATTCAACACAATCGCTCCGAAATTCATGGTAATCAAATGTTATTCAGCAGAAAGCAGCTATTTCTCGACGATTTTCCGACACTCTTGAAACAAAATAAGGAAGTAAGAGGGGGGGGGGGGGAACGAAGATCGAAACGAACCGAGAGGATTAGAAAGCTTGACAGAGCTCTTGGCCATGGCGGTCCGATCCGTCCCTGCAAATTTCAAGCACGCGAAGATCATAATTAATAAATTATGATAGCTGCCGACAAAATTAATCGAATCGTCCGCCAAATTGGAAGAAACCCAGAACCCAAAACCCAAACTGACAAGAAAAAAAGCCAAAACAAAACATACCCAGAAGAGAAACGCCTGGTAATCCGGAAAAAAAAAAAAAAGAGTTCGCAGGGAAATTTGATTTGACGACGAAGCCTTTTTTTGTGCGAAATTAAGAACAAAAGAACAAGAGGGTCAATATCAGGGGAGGAGGAGAAGAATATTTAAAATATTCAATGATTAGGGTTTCAATTTGTTGTGGTTTCCTCCACGAAACCGAATGCTTCCACAGTTTGGCATCGAGGCGGATTCCGTTGATTGAATTACAAGTAAATCTCCATTATCTTACGTCAACATACTGGGACGTCCCATACGGCGTCGTATGATTAATGGGTCAATATTGGGCCTTGACCTGTAATATCGCATACCCACTTCCGAAAATTGAACAAATCTCTTGCTCGGCAACAAAAAAAATGCAATATTATCTCCAACAAAAATCAAAGCAATCGAAATATAAAGGAAATTTAAACAAAAATATTGTGTGTGTATATATATATATATATATATATATATATCATATCATATAATTGGTGAATTTGTAAATAATAATTTAGAAACTCGAGCTCCACAACTCGTCTTCTGGTTCACGACACCTCTCGTGGACTTTTGCGATTCTCTCGGTCGAGTTACAGATCCCACTGCATTTCCAGTCGAACGATGCTGCGCAGAATTTTCCCGCCATGGCTCTGAACTCGCAAACTACGCAAAGCCGAGATATTGCAAATTAAACAATTTATGGGTTTCTAGAGAAATAATATGAAAGGTTTGGGGTTAAGTTGCAAATATAAAAAATTCACCTGGTGGAGTGCTGCAGCATAGCCTCTTGTCATCAACGTGGGTAACGTCTAGACCGATCAACCACGAGCCGAGTGAGACGTCCTCGTTGGCATACTTGTGCAGCAAGTTACTGAACCGGTTTCCAATCCAATTATCCAATCAAAATCTCGAAATCTCGGTATTGCAATGTGGTATTTGTTCTTGCAGTATTCATGTTTACCGATGGTTAAACTTACCGGTTTACCGATATGTAATCGGCCAAATCTTTCGAGATGGCGTAAATTTGGCCCGTCGCATGCCGGAAATACTTGTTACCGATCTCCCCGAATTTCCAGTACTCCGGCTCGTGATACTTCACTCCCCTAACCAAACCGGTTTAAACCAAAACCATTAACGCAATAGTTGAAATTTGTTTCAATTCAGCATAGAACTGCTAAGAGATTATGCTTTACTTCCTCGCAAGAACCGGACCGGACTTCATGCAACCGACGTAGACCCGAGGCTTGTTCCGATGTTCAGACAGTATTGTTGCCAAAGTTGCTGCACATAGAAAGAGTTTCTGTCGAAATACTCAGATCTTTCGATCAATCTGTAACATTTTGAAAAAAGATTTGATATTTTTTTTACCGAGATTGACGTGAATGTCATCATCGACTTTCAAGTAAAACTCCGCGTGCCAAAGAGAAACCGCCGTCGCGAAATACGTCTTTGTTTTCTGTGATAACTTTAGGTAACCCTCCACATGGTCCTGCATATTTTCGCCTTACTGACTTGTCTCACAAGGCAACTATATATACATATATATACATATTGATATAAAGGCATATACTATATCAAATATTTGATGAAAATGAACGTTACCAATCGTAAGAAGTCGCCATGAATCTTCTCTTCTTCGTCGATGGCTTTATCGAGGTCCCCGTCCCCAGCCATACTAAAGATCAAGGGAGAAACAGATTCACAAGAAGGAAGAAATAAAAGATAAGGTGATGAAATTTAGGAACAATTTTAACCTGTGACCAATGACGAAGCGTATGACTATACCCTTCTCTTCCTCTAATTTCTTCAGTTGATCACCTGACCATGCCACGATGAACAAAGGTTCGATCATGAAAACCTATGTGTGTGTATGCATATATATATATATAACCTTGGGGAAGCCAAGTGGAACGCAGAGAATCTCTGCGTTTGCGGCTGCTAAACGCGGTATTGATCCCAATCACCATCAAGTATTTTCGTCCCGACTTCGATGATGTCTTGTTATACGAGCTTTCCGACTTTATCACAGCTTCATCCAATGATCTGTAACACCGCATGATTAGAAAAAACCCTAATCGTGCATATGTATCCGACATATATATGATGAGTCTTCATATATACATATATATATATACTTATATCCTCACCCATGAAGACTGAGTTGCTGAGTCGAAACACGAGTGCTGGAGATTCTTTCAACCGAGCCGTCATTATTGTAGCTTGCAGAATGTCTTAGAGCCTTTATGAAAGAACCAAATGATCAAACGAGGAAAACATCTTGAATTATTATTATTTTTATAGCAAGAAACAATTATAAATAACTTAAGACATAAAAGATTAGGAGAGTTGGGCTTACGAGTTTCGGATTAAAGTCTTCGGAATTCAATTCGAGAGGCTTGTATTCGATGCGCGATTTGCCTAATATGATCTTAGTTTCTGGTATTGTTCTTACCCTTTTCACCATTTCATAAACCAAACATATTTTATTTATTATATATCCATTTTATAAATAATAATAAAAAAACAGAAAATACTGATACGAAACGATAACATTTTTTTTTAATCTTACATTTCTATACCCAAAGACCTCGAATTTCATGCATACAAAGACAAACCTTTCATACATCATAAAAAGAAGCAGATACTAAATTCTCTTTTAAAAAAATAAACCATACAAAAGAATTTTTTGACATTTACAAACACGAAATCAAACACGAAAATATTTATAAGAAAAATCAATACATTTTATTAATCAATAAAAAAAATAACAAGTTTGATACAAGTGGATGGATCGATCTCATTTCATACCTGTTGATGAAGGACATGCCAGCGAAGAAGCTGGAGATGCACAGAAAGAGCGCCCATTTTCTCTTAATATAGTTTTTATAAACAAATTCGTCTCCTTTGCCTTTCATTGACATTTCCCTCTCTATTCTCTTAGCGCCAATATTGGTAGAAAATAAAACAACATATACAAGATTGGAAATGGAAAATAATATAGAAATTAAGGTTGGTCTCTCTTTTTCCTCCAAAAGAGGAAAAAAAGAGATGTATGAGATCTTACGAACACAATGTACGAGTTTATCACTTCCTATTTGAAGGCAATTATCAAAATTATTAGAATAAATATTTTATAACGGACAAAATGAAGAAGAAGTAACGTTAATTTATTTGGCATTTAATGCACCGAAAATATCAATGGAGTGTTTTGAATTAGTGATTAATGGCTATTATTAACATAACTAAACAACGCTTGTCCTAACATAATAGTAACACATAAATCAAATGGCTTTTGCCAGCCTTAATTAAGTCATTGCCATCGAAAAAGATTAAAAAAAAATATCATAATTATATCGAATCCCCTTGATTTTCAGTAAGGACTGTAGAAATAAGTACACATAACTGCGGAAATATAAAAAAAATATATAAAACTATATTGTTGATGTGTAACATAACATTCGATTTATATTTAATGCGAAAGAAAATGAAATGGAACCACTAAATAAATTTTATTTCTGGTCTATAGAACTACACGATCGACCAGAAAACGGTGAAAGCAATAAAATTTCGACAACATAAGAAAATGGCATGGGTCCCATGCAGTCGTCGTTGTCGTCATCATCATCATCATTCGCCATGATACTTATCTAATAAAAATAAATAAACATAAGCTTTTGGTATGTGATCCCCACATGATGATAAGGACAATGACATCGATAATGATGATGTAGATATCCTATTCTCCATGATGATGATGATATGATGAAGGGTAGAATTCATGCTGCATGCTCACTGCTACATACCATGTATGATAATGAGATATCTGTTTGCTACTCCAAGAAACCTGTTCTTGTTAAGACAGCGTTCCTAACTTTGCTTAGATCCCTTCCTTTGAGTGTTCTCCCGATTCCTTCGCACATGGAGAAGGATGAGATCCGTGTTCTTGCCAGCTTTCTTGCAACCCATTCATGTGGAGGCACCATGACATCATCATCAGTACTATCATCATGACCATCGTCATCATCATCATCATAATACAAATGACTACTCTTCTTCATGCTGTTCCTCTTGCTCGCATAAATCTTCGACCAGTCAGGGACATTCACAGGAGCAGATGACTGTTTTGCCCCTGACCCTTCCTTGCTTCTCTCCCGAATCACTGTTCTAGGTAAGTGCCATGGAGACGAAGAAGAAGAGGAAGAGAAAGAAGGAAGCATACTTTTTGGAAATTTCATTTCAGGACCTGAAGTGTCTCTTTCTTTCACAACTGACCACACATCTTCTTCTCGGAGCTCGTCTTCCCCCGCCATTCCCATGGACAAAGACCTCCGTCTGCTAGCCATGGAAGTCTTACATCACCTTCCCGTTTGTCAGATTGGTCTCTGTTGTTTGGGGAGTCGAGTGAAAATGGATAAACACGTGAGAGAGAGAGGAGAGAACATGAACCGATCTCTCTTTTAACCTATTGAGAGAGGTTTCACAAATTCACAAAACTCCAAATGTAATAATTTCCTACTTTTTTTTAATGCAATAATTTGTACTTAAAGATAATGCTTCCAATATTTTTTTCCTTGAAAAAAAGATAAATAACGAGTTACAAGAGAAGTAGACTAAGTACTACTTCTACTACTGTCACCTGCCAAAAAATGATGACATAGTCTGCATCATGCAAAAAAGACAGAGAAGTATTACATATATAATGTGTATATATGGAATCTCGGTTTAATTTTAAAATTGCATCGATTCCCAATAGCTGGTTTTGCTGGCTGTATGATTAGACATTTTTATTCTATTTTTTTTATTTCTTAAATGTACAAGAGTGATTAAGAAGACAACAGAAAACAAAAAGAAAATGCTTTGTCTAATATGTGAAAATATATTTCAAGAAATAATCTCAAGCAACATCAATGGAAATGTAATATAGTATTGGATCCAGATGTAATATAATAATAACAATGATGATGATAATGATGATGATGTGTGAATTAACTGGTTCTTAATTGTTTTCACCAACCACGTCATGGATGGATAGCCCTTCGCATATTCTTGTTAGGATCCTGCGAGATTACAAAAATATGTCATCGTCTTCGTCCGTTATAAATGATTTCTAGATATTACAAAGATCATTAATATAAATATACAAATATATATATACACACACACATGGTCAGTGGAATGCAAAAGGAGGAGATGACGTGGACACACCATTAATTACTTACAAAACAAATGTTTAGTTTCTGTAACCTTATCTCATAAATTCTCTCACCAAACAGCTCCTTTGCCCCGATAACTGAGCGCCTCTCTCTCTCTCTCTCTCTCTCTCTCTCCCCAAGCCCAAGATGTTTACGCAAACATAATGGTTTTTTTTTATAAAAATCACGATAGATGAGTTGACAACACATGATATGTGGAAGCAATAAAAATGTTAAACTTAAAAAATAACTAGTTTGTTGTTTTTATGTGGAAGTGACGATGAAAATTGTAATTAGAAATTATTGATTTAGTGTTAATCAAATAAATAAATATTAGGAATTTATTAGCAGGAATTAGTATTACTGTTACACGTGCAATGGTAGACATTAGACTTGTTTGTAACAAAACCAAAACAAAATTATGCCCTTTATTTGTTTATTTACTGTTTCCTAATTTCAACTTTCAATACGGATTTATTGAGTGCTTGTCGCAAGCATATGCATATTTAATTTACCAGATTAAAGAATGGCAAAGAGACTCGTGGCAGACTTCCATTTTCTTCGAAACGTCGTCGTTTAAATAGAAACGGCAACTGTCATCGCCGTTTCGTCCGTCGTCTCAATCCTAGGTAAAGGGTTTATCAGTTTTTGGTCACTACTGCCGTTGCAAGGTTTCTCTGACAGAGAGAGAGATGGAGTTCGCGAAGAGGAAGGCGGCAACTTTAGCGATATTGGGCTCTTCAGCGACGGATAAATCACCGAAAGGAAGTCTCGACGAACCCATCATCCCTCTCCTCGACACCATCAACCATCACCCTTCGTACTTCACCACCAGCTCCTGCTCCGGCCGAATCTCCATCCTTTCTCAGCCCAAATCTCCATTGAATTCGTCTACAAAGAAGAAAGCCGCCGGAGGCTCGTGGGTCTTCATCACCCACGACCGGGCCGATCCAGACTCGGTGCTTCCCCTCCTTTTCCCAACTCAGTCAACTCGGGTCGACCGACTTCACCAGACCAGCGAGTTAGTCTTCCGGTTCGAGCCGTTGATCATTGCCGTGGAATGCAAAGACTTGTGTTCTGCTCAGTTTCTTGTGTCGACGGCTATAGCCGCCGGGTTCAGGGAATCAGGGATCACCTCTTGCGGTGATGGCAAAAGGGTAATTATTGCTATACGATGCTCGATAAGAATGGAGGTTCCTCTGGGAGATACCCACAAGCTTATGGTCTCGCCTGAGTACGTGAGGTTCCTCGTTGACATTGCCAATGAGAAAATGGAAGCCAATAGGAAACGAACTGATGGGTTTCTTCTAGCCTTGCGAAGTAATGGTTTCACGGGTCCTGGGATAAATCTGGGTGAGAATGAACTAGCCGAGGATGCGAGCCATGTCGAGGTTGATATCAATGATAATTACGAGAATCAAGTCGGAAATCATGATTCGGGCATCGATAATGGCGGCTTGCATCATGGTAATTGAGTTAGTTGTGATTTCCTTACTAATGATTATGATCTTGCTGACGATGCTGTAGTGGAGGCTGATGTTTATACGAACATTTTGTTGCTGCATTCTTGCTGATATCTTGGACCATGAAATCTTTCCCGTGCTATTGATTAGTCATTTCCAGAAGTTATGGCTGACTGATTTATTAGAATTTAGGTGTGTATTTTTGTATCCATCACTGGATATTTTTATATCACATTGTAGTTACAGTTCTGGTTTCACTTGTTGTAGTATAGTTTACATCTGTCAGGATTTTGAGTCATGTCTACTTGGTTGCAGGATAACTTTCCATTATATTCGTGACAGCCAGTTTCGGTCTAAATCAATTGCAGGGCTGCAACAAGATTGTGTTCCGCTCTCTACATTGTCCATTAATGGAGAACCTGTTGAGAAGCTCCGCCTTTGGGGTCATTCAGCTTGCGCTATAGATAAAAAAGAACGGAAAGAAATTATTGTGTTTGGCGGATTTGGGGGTTTAGGTAGACATGCTCGAAGAAACGAGACTTTATTGCTCGACCCTGCATTTGGTACGTTGAAGGTTATTGCTACTAAGGATTCTCCGTCACCACGACTTGGCCATGCAGCTTGTATGGTTGGAGATTGCATGTTTGTCATTGGAGGAAGGGCTGATCCCTTGAATGTTCTGAATGATCTGTGGGTTTTTGATGTGCCCAAGTGTGAATGGAGATTGCAGACATGTAGTGGTTGTGAGTTCCCTCCAAGGTGATGGTCATTTTATGCGTTTGTTCTTTTATCCCTTTCTCGAGCACCTGTCTATTTACCTAATCTTTCAGATATGCAATCCATTGTTGGAACCGATAAACTTGAAAATAGAGAAGTGCCGATGATGAAATGATGAAAAGTCCCTTATCTATGTCCCAGAAGCAGTTAATTACATTTTCTTGTGCTTGTTTCGATATCTTTGATGTGGGATTTCTTTGATTTCTCAAAATTCTTTTTGACTTGCTGTGATCGCATTATATGTTCGTTTGATTTCTCAGCTGAACTTATCATTAAAAGTGCAAATTCATCGGTATGCAGGCATCGGCATGCAGCTGCTGCTATTGGTTCAAAAATATACGTTTTTGGTGGTCTTAACAACAGTGGAGTATCTTCCTCCTTGCATCTCTTTGATACAGATGGCCTTCAGTGGAAAGAAATAGACCAGCAAGGTCAATGGCCCTGTCCACGCCATTCTCATGCAATGGTTGCATATGAGTCTCGGTTATTCTTGTTTGGAGGGTATGACGGGGAAAAGGCACTCAACGACTTGTACAGCTTTGATGTCCGAAACTGTACTTGGAAAACCGAAATGGTGTCTGGAAAATGGCCTTGTGCCCGGTTTTCTCACTCGATGTTTGTTTACAAGCATTTCATCGGTGTAATTGGTGGTTGTCCGGTTTCACAGAACTGTCAAGAGTTTACACTGCTAGACATGAAGCACCGGGTTTGGCGGAGTGTGACCCTAGATTTTTTGAATCGAGAATTGTTTGTACGTAGTACCGCAAGTGTTCTTGGTGATGATCTTATTGTAATTGGAGGAGGGGCTGCTTGCTATGCTTTTGGGACCAAGTTTAGTGAGCCTGTGAAGATTAACTTGCTTCAAGCAGTGACTATGAGCGAAAGTCTTGCTGTTTCCGGAAATCATGCTTCTCCTGTGGAAGATCCTTCTAGAAGGGAGGATATAAGCTGTAAAGATTTGAAGACCGAAATCTCTTCGTCTCAACCGTGGGTGATACAACTGGAAAGAAAGTATGCAAAGTTTGGAAAGGACCTCCTCAAACGATTCAGGTGGCTAGATCTCGAGAGAAAAGTTAATTCACATGACAACGGCTTGTATATCTGCTTTCCCGTGACTGAAAAGTTTTCTCGACTTTTCCATGAAAAGCAGCTCATGGGGAGTGACTTGAAAGGGTCGGGGGATTGCGTTCTCACCAGAGAACTCACTCTGGGGCTTTCTCTGAACGATGTATCCAGCACCATGGCTTTGAATCTGCTCAAAGAACATGGTGCTAGAAAATCCGTCGATGTGACAGCCGAAGCAAGAAACCTTGCCAAATCCCCCTTACAGAGGATGAAAGAAGCCATAACATGTATTATTGAACAGAAAGGCCTACCAAACAAGCTTTTGGAAGAGCTGCCTCCGAGGTATGAAGATCAGTATGCTGGTTATCAATGGCAAGTTTTCGTTTAGTTAAGTGATAATCGTCCACCTTTGTTGATTTATCGTCCCTCTGATAAGTTTATTTGCACTTTGTTTAGATGGGAACGGCTCGGGGATATTGTTGTGCTTCCCATTACATCCTTTAGAGATCCAGTTTGGAGCTCTATCGGTGATGAAGTTTGGCCTGCTGTTGCTAAATCGTTAAATGCCAACCGTCTTGCCCGCCAAGTATGCCAATCTCTGAACCTCATGCAAATTTTATTTCGAATTTCACACGGCATTTGTATACCTTCAACGAACAGATGAAGTTGTACGATGATAACATATTTTTGTGCGACCCCAATTGAATTTGCCTAAGTTGGACAAATTTCGAGTCTTTTTTCAGGGCCGAATTGCATCAACAGGTACAAGGGATAGTACATTGGAGATTCTTGTGGGAGATAATGGATGGGTCGATCACCGTGAAAACGGGGTTATTTACTCTTTTGATGCTACGAAATGCATGTTTTCGTGGGGTAATCTCTCGGAAAAGCTCCGAATGGGTAATCTGGACTGCCAAAATGAAGTTGTTGTTGACTTGTTTGCTGGAATCGGATATTTCGTGCTCCCATTCCTAGTCAGGTACGCCTTTTTTCATCATTGAAGTCTTGAAAACGATATAATTGCATATAGCAAAACACCGATATATTTCCTAAGAAAGAGATATATTTGGACAATCATAAAATCTTGATCCGGGCTTTGAAATATCAACTTCACTTCCTCTTATCACATCAGACAGTGTCTATTGTATCGGTCCCAAACTCATGCTGAACCTTCGGTCTATGACATTACGAAGTTTTTCTTTGATCAATTCGCAGGGCAAAAGCTAAGTTAGTATATGCTTGCGAATGGAATCCCCATGCTTTTGAGGCCCTAAGGCGTAATATTGAAGCAAACTCTGTTTCTGACCGTTGCATTGTTCTTGAAGGGGACAATCGGATTACTGCACCTAAAGTACTGTTAATATATATTTTTTTCCCATACTGCATTATCATCTCATGCAAACTTTTCGTTGCGTAACAGTTATAACTATGAAATTTTGACCTCGGGTTTTGAGTTTCGACATCGGGTTTAATCACAGGGAGTTGCGGACAGAGTCTGTCTTGGCCTCATTCCAACGAGCGAAGGGAGCTGGGTCACTGCTGTCCAGGCACTACGGTCATTTCCTTACCCTTAAAATAAATTTGTTCTTCTATTAACTATAACTATAAGTTATAACTGTGAATTTATTTCTTTTATAGTTCCTGTAATTCTTTTGTGGCGTCGGTCCATTCCTCGAACCGAAGTTTCTGAATACCGACTCGAGGGTGGTAATGTCGTAATTCTTGTGATGTAAAACTTCAGGCCGGAGGGAGGGGTACTCCACGTGCATGGGAACGTCAAGGACTCAGATGAAAGCCTTTGGTGCCAACATGTGTCTGAATCCATAAACCAAATCGCTATAGCCGAAGGTAACTACTAACTACTTAAAAAGCTTTTGAATTGTCCAAAAAAGTATTGTTTGCAAGCTTGGAACCATGTTTAGAAGTTATCCACTGAACCGGTTTGCACAATTCTGTGTTCGGTTTCGAACTCGGAACTGCCTTTTTCGGCGTTGACAGAACCTTGTTGTCCGTGTTAAAAATGGCTTCTTTCCCATGCTGGAACTGAATTTCTGCATCTGGGTAGGTGATTAGATTGGTTCTTGAACTCGGTATTAGCGGGATAAACAGAACCCGGTTAATATGATAACCTATCGGGTTTTTTTCCGGTTATTGTGCAGGTCGTAGCTGGGAAGTCACAGTGGAACACATTGAGAAGGTGAAATGGTACGCTCCTCGTATTCGCCATCTTGTTGCGGACGTGAGATGCAAGCGACTTGCAGGGACTGCCCTTGCATTGTAATATCTTAAACTGGAAAACCGGAACGATAAACCGGTTTCTGCGACATGAACTAACCGCTAAACGGGCAGTCTGTACCGATCGATATCTCTCTCGTGTATCTTTTTGTATTACACAATAACGTCTTGACCGTGTTATATTTGTGCTTGACTTATTGTCCTGCACATTAATGGCCACGTAGGACGACTGACAGCGAAGTTATAACCATTTTTTGTTATTTAATTAATTATTGATTACAATCATATTTAACTCGGGAGCACGTAATCAGAGTATGTGGCCCATGGGCCCTATATGAAAGCAGTGGGCCCATTAGTTTAAATCGATGTAAAATATTATTAGTCTATTTCATTTTCAAGATGGCACGTGACGTGGTCCCCAACGTCACATTTGGCACACTGGAGTTGAGATGAGATGAATGCGGAGCGGAGTGTCGGTAGACACTTGTGAATTAATTTAATATCAGTCATATTTGTTAAGGCAAATATTATATAATTTTAAAAAAGATAATGTAACTTTTTTAAGAGATTATAAAAAACTACTCCACACAATACTGGTATAACTATTCTATATTCAAATTTATTCACAATATCATAAAAAATTTATATATAAACTGCTCATAAATACTTTCAAATTCTAAATTCCGGTCTCCGTATTATAAATTGAAGTGTTCCTCGACGATCTAAACGCAATAAATTCACTTGTGAGACACCGGCGGACAGGAACATTAATAAACAAACTGTGTGTATATATGGGCAAATTAGAAAGTATATAGTAGTAAATAAAAATAATTAATTAATAAATAGATCTGCCTTGACTTCATCGAAATGAAAGATTCCGCTGATATTAATGGCTCTCACCTCATCTACGTTATCTAATTTTTCGGTTGAAGAGAAATTTCAGGAATAGAGAGATATTAGAAGAGGCTTTGGACCTTTGTGCGTTACAATTTACAAGTTTATTACTTTATTGTATCTGATTTCTCGATTTAATATTATTTGTTTTTTTGTAAAAAGAAAAAGAAAACCATTATAAAACTTGCATGCATTATCGCTCCAGAGAAGGAATAATTTAATAGTCTTCAAGTTGGTATTTTTTTTTTTTATCACAATTACAAAATTAAACATTTAATAGTCCATCTTCGTTATTTAAGAGGGTACTCTGCTTCACTCTCGTGGAGAGAGATATCCAAAGCAAAGGTCACTGACTCACTGAGTTAGAGCTCGAGTGACTGAGAAGAAGAAACGGGGAAAAAAATGGGAAGAAAAGCTCTGTTAACGTTGGCGATCTTCTGCGTATGGACACTATCTGCAGCTGCAGCGGAAGAAGAAGGGAACGATCCAGGGTTGATGATGAACTTCTACAAGGACACGTGTCCTCAGGCAGAGGACATCATCCGTGAACAAGTCAGGCTCCTCTACAAGCGCCACAAGAACACCGCCTTCTCCTGGCTCAGGAACATCTTCCACGACTGTGCCGTTCAGGTCCTCATTCTTTTCTCAAAGATTCCTGCTTTTTTTTTGGTTCATTCTTTGGGTGTTTTTTCTTGGTGGAAATTGTCTTAAAAGTTGATAGATTTCAGTACAATTATAAAGTATTTGTCAGCTCCGTTTCACCACGAACATGCAGAACATGAAACAGAGCTAAAGACTTGAACTTTTTTCGCTGCCCGATTATCTTGACAGTCATGTGACGCGTCACTTTTGCTGGATTCGACGAGGAGGGAGCTGTCGGAGAAGGAGACAGACCGGAGCTTCGGTCTGAGAAACTTCCGGTACATAGAGACCATCAAGGAAGCTTTGGAGAGGGAATGCCCCGGCGTTGTTTCCTGCGCTGACATTCTCGTTCTGTCCGCAAGGGATGGCATCGAAGCGGTAAAACTTTCAATCTCTTTTAATTTTTTTATGCAAAAACATCATTTTTAGATAAAGGGTCATGATTTTTTTCACTTAAAGTCCAGTTCTTGACACCGAATTCGTAAATCCAACGGAATTAATGGGTTCGGCAATATGCCACGGGGGAACTCTGAAACTACATGACGTCTGGTTCTTTGGCCAGGAAACTACGTGTTGTTTTGGAATAGTGTGATTGGAATTCGTGGCGTGTTTTGGCAGGTGGGAGGGCCACACATTCCGTTGAAGACAGGGAGAAGAGACGGGAGGAAGAGCAGAGCGGAGTTGCTGGAGGAGTACCTCCCCGACCACAACGAGAGCATATCCGTCGTCCTCGACAAGTTCAAGGCCATTGGCGTCGACACTCCTGGCCTCGTCGCCCTCCTCGGTACGTGTATTCCATCACGTTTTGTCAATCATTTGGACTTTATAATCTAATCCTCTATGGATAAGAATCATATGGTCCGGTTAATTTTTTTAAATGTCTCGGCCATGTTTAGTGCAAAACATTGATCAAGGTTTGGATCTCGACCGTACACAGGGGCTCACAGTGTGGGGAGAACCCACTGTGTGAAGCTGGTTCACAGGCTGTACCCGGAGGTGGACCCGTCACTGAACCCGGACCACGTCCCTCACATGCTCCACAAGTGTCCGGACTCGATCCCCGACCCCAAGGCCGTGCAGTACGTCAGAAACGACCGTGGAACGCCCATGAAACTGGACAACAACTACTACCGGAACATCCTCGACAACAAGGGGTTGCTCCTCGTGGACCACCAGCTCGCCTACGACAAGCGAACCCGTCCGTACGTGAAGAAAATGGCCAAGGACGAGGACTACTTCTTCAAGGAGTTCTCGAGGGCCATTCAGGTCTTGTCCGAGAACAACCCTCTGACTGGTTCCAAGGGTGAGATCAGGAAGCAGTGCAATGTTGCTAACAAGCTTCATTGAGTAGCCTTTTGCTTGTTGTTGTTGTTAAATAAAAGCTTTAAAAGAAGGGTTTCATATAATTATAAAAGTGGTCGTGATGTGATGATGGTGATCATCATGGTGACCACATTGTGTTGATGATGACCCTTTTTTTTATGCAACTAGTGTGATCTTTTGGATGGTTTTAATTTAATGTGGGTCAGTGGCGGGCATGATGATGATGATGTATGATATGATGGATGGTGTTTGGCATGATAATGTATGATGTTTACGTTTTTAGTTGGTTATGGAAGATAGACGCATTAATACCTTGAATTTTGTTCATGTTGGACATCATGCTTCTATATATGAAAGATGTATCATGAAATGGATGTGATGATGATACGCAAGCCTATATATACACATGCTTGATTATTACAAGTATGCATGCATGTGGTATCATCTCCATTATTTACTCATTCATGCATGCATGATACATCTAATCCTATCATAAAAGATTCCAAATTAAAGAAAGAATCTAAATGAAGAGGGCCCTGTAATAAAGCCAAAAGACACACGTAAAAAGAACAATTGATACTCCAAAGTTATAGTACTATATAGTATGGCCCGCATTGAATTATTACGAACAAAAAACCAAGGGGATTGAATATGGAAAAGGATATGATAAGATTCCATTTCTCAACCATTGGCTTATAGATTTATAGTATAAGCGGCACTTTGAAAATTCAATATGCGATGGTGTTGCGTGTAGGCAAGAGTGCGGTAATGTAGGGTCAAATTTATTTTCACGTGTCAAGAAATTTAAAAAATTATATAAATAAAATATATATGGTTATTGCGGTGTCTAGGTAAATAGATGGTAGCACATATATCATGTTAATTAAAATAAAGTAAGCGACTATATATTAGTCTAAAGTACCAAATTCCAATTTAATTTTTTGGTAGCCCTTTTTGATCGCACAATATATTAAGATCAATTGTCCTCATGACCATCCCGGGGTTTCGAAAACCCTAATTTTTTTTCCTCTTAAGTTTAATTAAATAAATTGTCGTCATTGTCTCGGTTTGAACCTCTCCTAAACCAAAATCTTCAATCCCGGTCCATATTTAATCATGTGGAAGCACTTCGCCTTAAAATTCAAATTTGGGATTTTGCCTGACAAATATGGAGAATCTTCGAGCTTGAATCTCGCCGGAGACGCAGATCCGCCGTGTGGGGATGGTTGAGACAAATATCCCACATCGGATTTTGAATTTTTCTTCTCCATTTATATATGAGTAGGATGATTGTATTTTATTCATCGTGGGTCGAAGCTAATGGGTTCAGTTCTTAATTGGGCTTACCCAGGCAAGTCTCCGGGCCCCATATCCTCCGGGATGCGGCCTCGTAATCGAGCGAGCGTCGGCAAGAGTTGACCGACTTTGACCTCCTTCGCGGGGGGCTGAGACATGCGTGGAGCCCTTCGTGGTCTCTCTGCCGACGGTACTATGGCCGACCTTAACAGTTATTCGCTTGGTCCATAACGGGGCTTACGTTCCCACGATAGCCGTTCCTTTTTCTTCTGGCTTATACAGCCATATCGATGGACGTGAGATCATTCCTTGGCCGTCTATGGTTCCATTATCGACGAAATACGTCAATGGATCTCAAACCCATATGAAACTTCAATTACAATCCCTGTATTAAATTAAATACCTATAAATTCTTCATATAATTGCAAACAACTCATTTGGCACTATTGGTTCTTGTTCAAACCATATATTATATACTATATATAAATCTTCAGAGCAGATGATCGAGAAGAAAAGACCATTGGCCAAGGTTTTCAACTCTCTTTTGGATTAAAAATAAGATTATATCTAATAAATATTAGGTCAATTAATTAGTGGAATTAATTAATTAACCATCGAACCCTATCTGGCTCCAAACTGAGTCTCGGACTCTGCTCATGTCACGACCCTTGAGTGTCCTGCCCACCCCTACGAACACCGACGCGCCACCGTTCCTCCTCTCACGCGCCACCCACTCGTGCGGCGGCACCATATCTCCGTCGGTTTCCGCCACGTCATCATCCCAGTCGCTTCCCAACGGATCGGCAGAGTCCACCCGGAGGATCTTTCCCCAGTTCGGAACGCTCACCGGTGCCGACGCTGACATCTGTATCCGCCCACCGCCGTCACGCTCGCTCGCATCAGGAATCCCTACGTGGTGGCGACCAGCCGGCTTCAATCCCCAAGACGGCGTGGGCGCGGTGGCGCGTGAATTCCAAGCGCCGACGTGATATCGATCCGAGTCGTGTTCGGTCACCGACCACACATCCTCTTCCATGAGCTCCGGGTCGGCGGAGGATGCGGCGTCCACGTGGCGGTTACTGTAGCTGTGAGTCCCGAGAAACCGCTCGCTCCGGCTATTTGTTAATCTCTGGCCTTTCCCCATAATAATTCTCATTAACCCTTTTCCAGAGAAATCATTAGTTCAAAATTTTTAAGCCAAAAAAAAAAGTTTTTTTGTTATGTCTTCTGATCAAGTTATGAACACTCTTGCAGGCAGCAGGATGAGAGTGCGTACACGTATATATAACGTTGGCGTACGGTACACATGGTGAATGTTCCTGTTCATCCTTGCCTTTGTAGCATAATCTTATCCTCAAAATACTGTAATTTCACTTGCTTTATATTTGGAAATTATTGGACCGTGCCCCTTTTCTTGTTACGTACAAACACAAACAAAGTGCATGGTAACTTACGTCCATGTCAGATTTCATTTTGTCACTTTGTGGCGGGTGGAATAATCCAATAATCGGCTCTAATTATTATTATCCCATATTTTCAACTAATAATTTTAACAATATTGTTACTAAACACATAATCAAGATTACATACACCCCCGTAAATTATCAAAAGTCATACTTATACATAGCTATATAAATCTAAAGAGGAAAACTATAAAATGATTTACATTGCAATGTCATTTTGTCTGACAGCGGTGGATCCCACAATCCCGCGTGGGAAGCGAGCTGACCTTTCCAACATTATATGTTCGACACGTGTGCGGCATCACTCACTGGTTAATGCCACGTGGCGTAAGCTTGGCCCGTCGAAAACAGACGGAGCTAAAAGATGTTGGACGATATGGTTAAGGATAGCGACTACCGAACCAGCGGTCTACAAGTGCTGCATTATTGGCCTGTCTTTTCCTCTCTTTTGTCTTTTCTCTGGTTATTTTTTTTTTATTTTTCCTTTTGTCTAAATTATTGTAGTGGATTTTATTTAAAAAAGATTAGTGTATTTATACGTTAATTATTCAATTTTATACTATTTCCATTACAAAATCTTCTGTCACCCTGTTGGGTCCACAAGAAAGTGTCAGCAGCATCATGACCCAGATGACAAACACATTATAAAATGATGTGATTGAATTAGAATAATTATTTATCTGTAATCATTACATTCTAAATTGTAGATTTCATTTTTTGTTATTCCAGTTTCTGCTACGCTGCATGTCATATTATAGCTTATTGCACGTAGGCCATTTTGGAAAAAATATTGGGATAAGTGAGGTCCATTTTCTGATTCCAAATTGGGCCTGTACGAATTCAGCATTTCGCCTAAAATCTAGTTTCTGATTCCAAATTGGGCCTTACTTCTCGAATTTAGTTTTTTTTTCCATGGAACTTCTCGAATTTAGTATTGAATTTTGTTACTTTAACATAAATCCGTTAGTTTCATGTTGATTTCATGCAACTTTTTTTTTTACTAGAAACTGATATTTTTAGAACTTTTCATTACTTTCATATACATTTACAGAAAAACAAGGTATTATTCCATTGTTGATATTGCATATAGTTCAAAATATTCATTCCTAACCTCTTCTAAATTTACATTTATTTTTATACCTAATCCAAATATTCAATTCATTTTTTATATTTATTTCTTATAGTATTATTAATGTTCTCCATAATTTTTTTTTAATTTATCATTTTGAGGCTCATTATATGGTGGATGCCCATTTCATTAGGTTTCTCCATGGGCTCTCATACCAGCCCATTAACGTCCCATCATATGCTTTATTTTTTTAATTATTATTATTATTATTATTATTATTATTATCCCAAGATTGTTGGATGATTACTCTCCACGCGCGAGTGGACTCGTTAGTTATTCGGCACTGACTCGGTGGTTGGCACGTGAATCTGTGGGAAGTACTGTGCTTACACCCCCTTGCATGCGTTTTGGGGAACACACGTAATTGTCATTGGGGGTTTAGACTTAATTATATTTTCACCTAATTTATTTTATTTCCTCTTTGAAAACATAATTCGTGTTTAAAATTTAAACTCCTGCTTTAAAGGAAAACAATTTCGTTAAAATTATCCTATATTTTTATATATTAATGGACTAATAATACAGTATTCATAATAGTAACACATTAACTTCTAATAATAGAACTATTTTCGAAAATTTCCGATATTTTTCGCAATAAAGACGCCATGAAAACGTAAATGAACCTGGAGTGAGCAAACAATACACAAGCACATTCTTCTTCTTCCGGGTTTATTGCTTCCTGAATCAACGGTCTTCTCCGATCCAAAGGTTTCTACTTTCACAGACTCATCCATTTTGTACATTTCGTAATTTCTTGTCTAGTTTCGCATTGGTTCTACAATTTAATTTATTTTTACAGACCCACTTCAGTTTTCCATTCCCAGTTTCTGAAAATGATCGTCGAATCTCCATAATTAGATTTTGCCTCCTTGAAGGGACATTCTCAATCAGTTTCCAGAAACAATAGTTCTGGGAAGAAGTTGTCGTAGAGCCTGCATTGTTGTCTGGGTGCTTGTTCAAGTTCAAGGAATTAGAAAAAATCCCGCGAATATGGGTTACCCAGACACTTTTTTTTAGGGTTTTTCCCGACGAAATTTACTATCGTGAATTATGCAGAAACCCAGATTGTGGTTATGGCGGATGAGGTATTGCTCTCTAGGGCAGAGTCTGCTGCTCCAAAGTCTTCGGTTTGGTCCGAAATTTCAAACGTTGCAACGAGATCTTTTGTGTTGGGTTTCACCTCCTGTTCATGCAGTGCTTTTGTCTTCGGCTGCGTCGTGAGTTCTGATTCGTTAATCTCCCTTCTCTAACTTCAATTCTTTGTTTCGGACAAATGCAGAAGCAGAATCGAGATGGGTTTTGCGTCATTGATTGAAAAAGTGTTTGCTTGTGTTGGGTTTTTACAGATCGGATATTCAGCTCCTACACAGTCCGGTATCATGAAAGACTTGAATCTCTCTGTAGCTGATGTAAGTAATAAGTTCACATCTGTCTGATTTTTCATATTTTACAACATGTTAATCTGTTTCTTCTAAGCTTTCCTTGGCATATCTGTTTGGTTTCTTCTCAGTATTCGTTCTTTGGATCGATATTAACGGTTGGGCAAATAATTGGAGCTTTGATGTCAGGCAAATTGGCAGATTTGGTCGGCCGTGTATACGTAAGATTTACCTATTCCTGCGTCGGTTATCAGTTCATGGTTAAAATTTTAAGCTGTTCTCTGTGATTCTCTTGAAACCAGACAATGTGGATAGCAAACGTTCTCTACATTGTTGGTTGGCTCGGAATTGCATTTGCCAAGGTTTCTGCTCTGCTCTTCCATTTTCGAAGTACATTTTAAAATAAAGAATGTAACTTACTTCCCCATGAACAAAGGATGCTTGGCTGCTTGATCTCGGGAGGTTCTTGCATGGAGTCACGATTGGGATCGGTTCATATTTGGCAAGTTTCGGTCTTCCTGATCTGAAAACATGTTTTGTAGAAGTTCATTCTTGTTGATATGCAGAAGAATGAATAAGAATGCCTGTCTTGGGCAGGGGCCTATTTACATTGCCGAGATAACACCGAGAAACCTGAGAGGATCTGCTTCGTCATTGTCTCAGGTTCGTAAGAAGAAACAAAAACCTTTAAGATTGGGATAGTAGATTCATCTCTCGGCTCTTTGAAAGCCTTTTTGTGATTTTTGTTCTTACAGTTGTTTGCAGGCATTGGCATATCCGCCATCTATGCTCTTGGAACCGTCGTCTCTTGGCGTGCCTTAGCTCTTATGGGTAATCTCTCATTTCAGTTGTTCCGAGAAATATCGCCGATTCTGACTGTAGGTTGAATTATTATCCGTGGTATTTGGTCCGGTTCGTGATCCAACAAAACCAAATTTGAAAGTCTTGATATTCAGATAGTACACGTTGGTTCGGCTCTTGAGAAAAAATGTGTCTGAGGCAGATTTTGTTTGGTCTCCGGACAGGATCTGTGCCTTGTCTTGTGACTTTGCCTCTTCTTTTCTTCGTCCCCGAGTCTCCGAGATGGCTGGTGAGTTGAGAAAGCAACCTCTCTTTTATCATTATGAAGTTGAAATTTGTATTATCTGAATAAAAACTAAAACTTTGAGCTAAACTAAGTTTCTTTTATATATCTTCTGCATATTCTTACCTTTCGGTTGGTGTAGGCTAAAGTGGGGAGGCGTAAAGAATTCGAGGCGGTTCTGTTGCATCTACGGGGAGAAAATACCGAATTCTCAGATGAAGCAGCCGAGATATTAGTAAGTTCATTAATCCCTAAACCAATCATTCAATATCTTATATTGCACTGAGTTTACAAATGCCTTTTTTTCCTTGAATTCTCAGGAATATACCGAACAAGTTAAACAACGACAGCCAGACGACAGTTTCTTCAAGCTGTTCCAACGAAAATATGCGTTTTCACTTATGGTATTCTTAAAACCGCGACTCTGGACATTGTATTCTCTTCTTTGACAGGACATAGACCGTGAAAACAGAGTGAAAACTGTGCAGATTGGAGTTGTTGTGATAGCATTGCCGCAGCTCCAAGGGGTCAATGGTTTTACTTTCTACACTGACTCGATTTTTGCTTCTGCCGGTAAAAGTTCCTTTCTTTTTCCTATTCCGTCCTTGTCTGAACCGAACCGATGATTCATTGATCTAGATTCTGTTCTTGTCTGAACTGAACCGATAATTCATTGATCTAGATTCTGTTCTTGTCTGAATCCAGGTATATCCAGAGATGTTGGGTTCCAAACATCGTCTGTTGTCCAGGTTCCACCCTATAACCTCAAAAGTTAACCACTGTCCTGAATTATACGTACTTTATCAGCATTTAAACGCAAACTGCAGTTATTTGCAGGGATTTTGGGTACTTTGCTGGTTGATGTATCCGGACGGAGATTGCTTCTTCTGGTAAGATTTATAATACCGGAATTTACGGTATGATTGCTACACCAATGGGTTATCTAAATGTCAGCACGAGAGAGAAAACGTTGCATAAAAAGTATTAGTAATGCAGGTTTCTCAAGGAGGAGCATTCTTGGGTTGCCTTGTCATATCCATCTCTTTCTTCCTACAGGTATATATGTGCTTCTACAAAATTGTAGTTTGAATCTTCAAAGAACTTCCACTAAACCGGCATTTGTTTCGGTTTATCTAATTTCCATGGTTATGGTTCGGTTAAGCTACCGAAAAAACCGATAATGTTGTACGTACTCTGCAGGAGAGGCATATCTGGGAAGCAGGAACACCTGTCTTGGCACTTGCCAGTGTGTTGGTAATGATATGACATCCATTGAGATTGTAATACAATTGAAACATCTATCTGCTAAGGTAGATATCTATATACGGTTGAATGTTGTAACTATCTTGGTATCATTTTTGGCCAGGTGTATACTGGCTCATACGGAATAGGCATGGGAGCAATACCTTGGATCATTGCATCAGAGGTAAACTTCAAGCTTCTGAAGAGTATATGAATCAAGATGATGATGATGATGATGATGATGATGATGATGATGATTGCAGATTTACCCTGTGGACGTAAAAGGAGCAGCAGGTACGATATGTAACCTCGTCAGCTCCATAAGCTCATGGGTCGTCACCTATTTCTTCAGCTTCTTGCTTCAATGGAGCCCTACTGGTAAAATAAAATTTACCTTTTTTCAATGATCCTTTGGGTGTATATATGTATATATATATATATGATTGTGAAGGTGGAAAATGAAAACCGTTGCAGGGACATTTCTCATATTTGCAAGTGCATGTGGCGTTGGGATTGTGTTTATAGCAAAGCTGGTTCCAGAGACTAAAGGCAAATCCTTGGAAGAAATACAAGCTCTTCTCCTCAGTTAATACAAACCAGTGAAGTTATTACCAGAGTGTCTGTGTCAGCTGCCTGTCTGTAATAAAATGAGCTTTTAAATTTGGTCCGAATTCCAAACTGTAATCTGTTTCAGGTCATAGTAATGATATAAATCTGAATAATCCAGCAAATCACTCAAGAAACACTATTATTTATTATTGTTTTTTGGACAAAGATTCAACTACAAAGGCAAACTCAAAACAATTTATGAACGTAACATCGGTTCTTAAGAGCTTTACAAAGATTACACTGTCAGAATAATGGACGGGAAGATGAAAGATTTTATTTTAATACACAGAGATGGATGGTTATGTTTCTTGAAGTTGAAGATTATTATTATTAACCGACGGATCCCTCGAGCTTGATGCTCATAAGCTGATTGACTTCAGCTCCAAACTCCTGAGGGAGCTCATTGAAGACGTCACTGCAGAATCCGGAGATCATGGCGGCTAAAGCTTTCTCGTGATCGATCCCTCTCTGCTGGAAATAGAACAGCTGATCTTCTCCTATCTTCGATGTGCTCGCTTCATGTTCTACCCTCGCTGTTGGATTCTTCACCTGTGTGAAACCATACACCAAATCATGCCAGAGAATGAGAATTCAAGATCCTACACCAGTAAATGATCTATACGAGTTTTTTAGAGCCAAGCAATGTGAACCCACAAAGATGGAATCAGAATAGGTTGCAGAATTTACTTCAATGACAGCCAAAAAAGATATCTCGGAAAAAGGAATTCTAATGCCCAACCTACTTAGCCTGACCTTGACCAGACAACTCTGGCAACTGTGTAATCAGAAGAACACAGTTTTCGCAGGAAACGAGATTGGATATGGTGTTTAAACTACCTGGATGTAAGGGTATGTGTTGGCAGCTGCATTGTCACCGATGAGCATTGAGTCACAAGTTGAGGTGTTCTTGGCATTCTCAGCCTTTGACTGGACCTGAACAAGCCCCCGATAACAGTTCCGAGAATTTCCAGCAGAAATACCCTTTGATATGATCCTGCTTCTCGTGTTTTTTCCCTTGTGGATCATCTTTGTGCCCGTATCAGCCTGCTGATAGTTGTTTGTCAGAGCAACAGAGTAGAACTCCCCCACTGTATCATCACCTTCCAAAACCACGCTCGGGTACTTCCAAGTTATTGCTGAGCCCGTCTCCACCTGTGTCCACGAGATCTTTGAGCGAGCTCCGGCACAAAGCCCACGCTTCGTGACAAAATTGTAAACCCCACCTCTCCCTTCCTCGTCCCCAGCATACCAATTCTGCACGGTCGAGTACTTGATCTCTGCCCCCTCAGCACAATACAGCTCCACCACAGCAGCATGTAGCTGGTTTCGATCATATGAAGGAGCAGTGCATCCTTCCAGATACTCGACAAAGCTCCCCTCATCCGCAACGATCAGAGTCCTCTCAAACTGACCCGTTTCCAGAGCATTGATCCGGAAATAGGTCGAGATAGGCATTGGACACTTGGTGTTTTTGGGTATATAACAGAAGGACCCATCGCTGAAAACCGCAGAGTTTAAAGCAGCGTAGTAATTGTCATCACTAGGGACAACCCTTCCTAGATACTTCTTTACCAAATCTGGGTATTCTCTAACAGCCTCGGATATCGGACAGAAGATCACACCTGCTTTCTCTAATGTCTTTCTATGAGTGGTTGCAATGGAAACGCTATCAAGAACTGCATCAACCGCTACATTAGCCAAACGCTTCTGCTCTGTCAAAGGGACACCCAATTTATCGAAATACTCTAGAAGCTTCGGATCAGCTTCATCTAAGCTATTCAAAGTCGGATTCTTTTTCGGGGCGGAGTAATAACAGATGTCCTGGAAATTGATGGGTGGGTAACGATTATCCGACCATCTGGGCTCTTTCATTTTCATGAATTTCTCATAAGCTTTGAGCCTAAAATCCAGCATCCAATCGGGTTCCTCTTTCAGTTTCGATATGGAACCGATTGTAACCTCAGACAACCCTTTGGGAATCGTAAACGAATCGATTTCCTCGACGAAGCCGTATTTCTTATCATAGTCTAGATTCTGGAAATACTGCTGAAGCTTATCGCTCGAGTTAAGCGCTGTTCCTGCAGAGGATTTACCTGGTGAAGCCGATTCTGATTCGGTCCCGACAGTCCGAGATTCGAACCCGACATCAGCTCGAACCCTGACGATTCTCGTCGCGGTCGGGATTAGGGTTTTCTGCGGCGGAAGCTTCAAGTTTTCGGGTTTGGGATGAAACCCTTTTGGTAGCTTGGGAGAATCTATGGGTGGTTGCAGAGAAAAGCGAGAGATTCCGTTCGCCAGAAGAGAGGCCATTGTTGTGGCGCGTGATGTCGTAGAACAAGATCAATTGGACACCTCGGTACTTCTTCGTTGGGTTTCCTGTCTACGCCCAGCCAGAATCCATGCTAATTATCGGAAAATAAATATATATTCGTGGACTCAAATAAATGATATAAAGATATTAATTAACTCTAATTATTTTGTGTTTTTAGTTTCTCACTTTTTTTTTTAACGGAGTACGTCATCTAACTGACTAGTTTTTCACCTTTAAAATACTAATCTAATATATAGATCGGTTCACTAGCGAATCACTAAACTCCAAGATCTAAATTTTAATTTTGGTTTTTGAATGGATCGAGATTTTTTAATAGATTTTGAACTTATGATTTTAGCATTTTTAATTTTTGGTATTTTTTTTTTATAAATTTAACTTAGAGAATGAATAATAATCTGCGAATAATTTTTAAGAATTTAAGCATTAATTCGTACGTTTTTTTAAAACTAATTTTTTTTAGAATTATTTTAATTCTTTTGATAATCGAAATAAGTTTTAAAAAAAAATGGAATTAAGTTTCTAATATAAACACTTCCAATTTGATTAAAGTAAGAAATTATTAGCGTTATCTAATTCTAATTCTAATAAATCTAAATGCGAAAAAACGCACGGCTGATAAAGCCCAAACTGTAGGCCCAATAGAGGCCTAAATGGAAAAACATCTCTCTTTAGGGACACTCTCTCGTGTTCACGTCGATCGTTCCTCTCTCGCCGCCGTTCGGTCGCCGCCGGTGAGACTCTGTCTGCTGGTTTTCGTAAGGTCAAGCGACGCAGCAAGAAGCGTCTGCTGGTTCTAGTCTTGACGGAAAAGCTGAATTTACCCCCTTTTTTGGCCAGATTTGGCAATCTGACGGCATATTCTGCAATTCTCAGAGGTAAGGAGTTATTTTACTGATCGTTTCTGTTGCCGCCTTCTACTAACGTCGCTGGAAAATGATCTTGTATACCTTCAGTTTATATCCTTCCTTCCTTGGTGACGTGAAATGGAACTTGGAATTCCAGAAAGCGGTAAGATTTGGAGGGTATTGAACTGGTAAAGCGGTTTAATTCTGTCATGCTTGGTGCTGGTGAATCCTTTTCAAATGATTTGAATTTGTGAGTATGAACTGTTAAATTTGTTTCTGTACAATTACTAGACCCAAGTTTAGCATGTCCTTTGTTTTGCCTTCTGATACCGTTGTTTCTCATGGTTTTTCTTCGTATATGTGATAGGTTAAGGTTGTGTAATCTTGGACAGCAATTTACAAGATGGATATAATCTCACAGTTGCAAGAACAAGTCAATACGATTGCTGCTATTGCCTTCAATACTTTCGGCACACTCCAAAGAGATGCTCCTCCTGTGCGTCTCTCTCCTAATTATCCCGAACCACCCGCTAATGCTACAGCCACTGATGATGCAGCCACTTCTACAGAGCAACCCAAGGAGCTTAGTGCCTCTTTAGTAAAGGCTGCTAAGCAGGTGTTGTCCTTTTGTTTTCCGATGAACATTTCCTCTCGAAGCTTTTGCATGCTTTTCTACTGAGCTTTGACTTGCATTCGAGAGTTTTTTTCAAGCCAATTATGTTCATATCTAGTTTAGACTCCTTGCTCATCACATGAAGCAGAAAGCAGTCTGTGATTTAACATCTGGGTCATCTTAGTAACTTGGCATTCCCGATATAGCATTTCGATGGTTAAAATGGTATCATCTTAGATGCCTCTTTATTTCTCATCTCGCTACTTTTGACTAGTATGAATGACATGTTACTCCTTTTTTGTGAAGTTTGATGCTTTGGTTGCAGTACTTCCATTCTCAGAGGGAGGTGAGGAAGCTCAGCTGAAAAGGATTGCTGAACTCCAGGTATGAGTTTATAATGTTCTGAGATCCTCAGTTCACGCCCCAAGATCTGTTATATCTTCTTGCATCTTGATTGCGGGCTGTTTTCTTGTGTTATATTCTTATTTTCAGGCAGAAAATGATGTCATTGGCCGGGAACTCCAAAAGCAACTAGAGGCTGCAGGTAAAATTTCCCAGCCATTTTGCAGCCGCTTTATGTTTTTTGAATGGAACTGTTAAATCCATTGACTGAATTGCTTATTTGGGACAAATTTCCAAACTTCAAGGATTCTTTAATGTAAATGGTTATTGGTTTTTGTTTTTGCCCATCACTGTCGTTTTCTCAAACGCTAGAGAGAAATATCATGTGAACAGATGTATGCGTCTTAGTTTCTTTGAGCCTTGTCTTTGACTGCTGTAAGAAACAGAAGTTCCCTACTAGGAATGTGGCTGTCTTGTTCTTGGTCATAATGCTTTTAAACCTTGTTGTTGGCAGATAAGGAGCTTAAACAGGTCCAAGATCTGTTTGGAAAAGCTGCGGATAACTGCCTGAACCTGAATAAGCCCAATTGAAGTTCATTAACCCTGCTTGTTCCAATCAAGTTTAATCCATAACCCTCTCTCTCTGATTCTACTCTTTCCATATTTAGCAAGATTTGGTTCAGGAAACTTCCATTTCAGTTTCCTATCCACCAAACTGTTACATGCTAATATTGTTTCTGATAAGAAAGTTGATTTGCACTTGAGAAAAGGAGTGAATGTAAGCAAGCTCTACAGCAATGGATACAGATTCTCTTTGCAATGCGTGTTCTAAAAAATCTCGAATATAAAAAACATTTGATCCTCCCTGTTTGTTATATATATATATATATCCAGACCTCTAACTAAACTTTATTGATGAAAAAACAACTGAATCTTGTCGCGACTGCGTCAGCAAATGAGCGGTAACAACAAAAATCATCTCTCTGTTAATTTACACTTTCTTTGTCAAACGTCTCAATATCTTATTTACCTATCCTACCTACAGACTGCACCATCACTTATCCCATGTTGTGGTGAACGTTGACTACTGTCGTCAAACCCAACATCTACTGTTTCTTACACAATCTGCCAATCGGTACTGCGGTTTCTGAGGTTAAAAAGGTAACCTCCTTTTCAGAAGCCAAGTTTGTTTTAATCACGTCACCACTGCTATGGTGATGTTTCTCTTTGTTATCTGAACCATTGTCGTTGTTAGTAACCTGCTGCCAACAATATACATGACTTCAGTATCTTTAGGGAATTGGTATATTTCCATGATTTGGGTTCCCGAGATTAGGGGATAAGACTATCACAGAAAATTGATCACAAGAGAAACAAACATACCTGGAGTTGTGTTCAGGAACTCTAAACTCCTCAAGTGCCAAAAGATCTTCCATATGAATCTTCGGTTTCTATTAGTGTGCTTTAATAATCCACAGGGACACACATGATCGGTCAAGAAAACTTTTTGGGGTTTCTGAATAAGACTACAATGAAAAATTTGACATACCTCGGATTGTGTTCAGGAACTCCAGACTCCTGAAGCGCTGATAATATCCCATTTCTATCAGTATCCTATGCCTTAATCCACACGGACACATGATAAGTCAGAGATGTTGCAAAAAAGAATTTTTGCTTGTGTACAAAATCACGTACCTAAATCACCGTGCTAGTTAGTACCAACGTTTGCCATTTTCTTGCGATCATCTACCTCTGTTCACTTTCGACCCTTTTTACGGGGTTTTTGCGAAAATGCTTCGCGGGATTTTTCAATGATGCAGCAGACATCTCGGTCATCTTTCGCGATTTTGGATGCAATTGCTTCTGCACCTTTGTGATCCCGTGCAGCCAGTAGTGCTTGATACATCCTGCAATACCACAGAGACCTCATGTAGAATTAACAATTTAATCACTGGACTTAAGGGTCCGACATTATTCTTTGCAACAAGCTGGGGAGTAACGAATTCACTCCAAAGAGAACCATGTTAGTTCGTGCAATAGGTACATCAATACTGCAAGTGCTAAACAGCCAGTTCCACATAAAATTCTTATTCTCGTGCTCATAAAGATTCGCAGATTGTCTCATGTGGATCATATTGGTGTTCTTCATCATTATAGTCCTTCTCCCACTCCTCCAATCTTCATTTATTGAGCATAAGAGAATCGGAAATTTTAACCAAGAAAAAGAAAAAACAAGGAAGTGGCTTGCCTTAGATAGGTCAAGACATTGTAAGGAAGTCCCTCGCGTTGATACTCTTTCCACACCAACAAGGCACTCTCCTTGTCCTTGGCATTGACACAAGCACTAAGAAGAAAGTCTAGACATCTTCTTGTAGGAGATAATCCAAGCTCCTCTCTCATATATTTGATCAAAGCTATCCCTAGATTTACGTCACTATACTCCATCTCGGCAATCGAACAAAAGACCTGATCCATACATAAAATAATAAATACCATCACTATTCTCTTTAACTCACTCAGTTTTCTCAATATTAATGGTACTGTATCTAGGTACATAAATATTTACAGATGTGTAGTTCATTGTAAGCAATTCATGTATAGATGAAATGCTTAGAGTTAAGCATAATTCATAGAAATAAAATTAAATACAAAATCAGGTTTGTTCCTATTGACTTTTCGGTCCATAACAAAGAAATATATGGCCATTGTTTAAGAAACACAACAGCCACACAGAAGTATGATATAAAGACAAATTGTTCCAAATCATGTCACCAGATGAAGAGAGAAGTTAGGAAGGATAAGCACAAACCTCCTCAAACAGATATTCCACGTCGATGTCATCATTGGACAACGAATATTTGGTTTCCTTCAACAAATCAATAACAAAACTATACAGAAGCAAGTAACCAAGGAAGTGTTAGGCCTTTTAAGAATGGTATACTAAGTAAAAACACTTAATGCATGTATGTTATATCGGGTACCTTGTATAATCGTTGCGAATAGCATACAAGATAACTCTGAAGAAACCATCAATCCAGCATTTTTTGTCATCCAACTCATCCACCAATCCGACCAACGTGCTAAACTCTCCTTTGGGATTAAAATGCTCCTATAGAATAGAGTTTAGGTCATTGCCACACATTACCATATCTTTACTCAGTTGATTGAAAATGAGATACATGATGCAATTGCAAACTTACTATAAGAGATATAATAGCTTTTGCCTCTACAGGGCAATCAGCTTCCTTCATTTCTTCATATAAACTTAAGGCTTCTGTTATTTCTCCATTTGATGCAAGAGCTGAAATCAGCACACTTTTCACCTCATTTAGTTGCTTAGCTGGAACTTCCTCGTATAGCACCACCTAAAACAGAAAAGGGAACTTTGAGCTATAACTGCAAAATGATAACTAACTTTCGTTTTTACCTCGGAATAAATTGAGATCCTCTAAGGAAATAAAGAATATGCATGCTCACCTGCTTTGCCTTCTCAAATTGTCCAAGTGTTGCATATGCATTTATAAGCGACATGAAAACTTGCTTAGTGGCTTGAACCCCTTTTTCCTTCATCTCCTCCCAATACTTCAAAATAATACAATTATATTCTTACTCAAATTCCACAATTATTCTGAACAATACAATATGAGAGAGAGAGAGAGAGATGGCAGCCATGCAACAAAATAACATTACTTAGTTAACAATGAAATGTATGTCTTGCACCTCGTGAAAACTCCTAGTTTGGTAAAACACAAAAGTTTTCTTTCAGGATAGAAAATTCTGAAGATACAAAAGTTTGAATTACCTTAACAATATCCTCTTCTCGATCACAATTGTTAATTAGGTAGCTGAATGTCACGGAATCGGGCTTGACATCAGCATCCACCATATGCTTGATAACCGTTGCTGCTCCTTTCATGTTTTTCTTCAAAATAATAGACAAAATTCATTCTGATTGATGTAAGGAAAAGCAGACCACATAAAAACTTCAAAGAAAAAAATTACTGTCAAGATTTTGTAAACACGTTTAGAAATAAACATAATTATCTTAACCATTAATCACTATCAATTGCTTTATACAATTAGCTACCTAACCATGAGTCATATATACCAAATAAGTATACCTAAATTTATATTCACTCAACAGATGTAAAACTTGCTTTCAGTTTCTCTGCAAAAGCAGCCTGATCTCACATTCACTTCACTATGCTATGGCAAGTCACTTCACACAATCATAGGTTTGTCTAAACAAACTGACAATTTCATCTGATTAAAAAAAGAAACACTCTTTACAAAAAAAAAAAAGAAATCCTACGGTTCCAAAGGAATCAGATCAGTGCATGTATGCTAGAATGTTGCAACAAACTCATTGCAAGTGGCCTTGGCATCAATGGCAAAAAAACCGGTGAAAACTTTTAAAGATAATGACTAAAAGTTATAAATAGATGAGAAAACATAAAAAGTGTTAATAACACAAGAAATGAAAGAGAAGAAAAATCACCTCCCGAAAATATCCGGCCAATATAAGGTTGTACATGCTAGAGTTGGGCGGCAAATTGGACTTCTTCAAAACATCGAGCATATTATATGCACCTTCAAACTGTAAATACCAAATAAAATTGAGAATAGCTTTTTCTGTTTAGGTATTCAGATTGCAAGCAGAAATTTAAACTAGTTTACGGTCTAGGTGATATAGGCTTAGGGTGGGAAGAGAAAAAAGAACTAAAAGAACTAGAAAGGAATTTACATCTTTGAGTTTTACGCACAAACTTATCATGCACCTCGTGGTCTCACCAGTTGGCTTCACATTCTCATGACACATAATTGAATAGATTCTTCGCACCTGGAAATGGAAAAAGTGAGCGCACAAAATAAATATTCAGTATCCCTCAAGAGAATAGGAATCACCGACCACATCAGCTACTAAATTTTGATAAAAGGGACATAATGAAGTCAGACGAAACAATGCAATGTTCTCAGAAATGTGTAATACATCAGGCAAAGGCGAGGTGATAATTTCATAATAAGAGCATCTGCACATTAGATAAGACTAAACATGGTACTCCATAGTCAATAGGCCATAATCACATTCACATAACATTTCAGAATATATATAATATCCAACAAAATATTTAGGTCAAATAAGGATGAATATCAGAGCTAGGCAAGCAAATAATTCGTGTCAAGTGTCACTCATTAAACCATTTCAAGACCTTATGGCTTTATCATAGTAGCCAACATAATACATACTGTAAATAACATGAGAAAGTGGGTGATCTGCCATCAAGTAAAAAGGGATGAATATAGTTTACCAAATGGAACTCATTAATCTGCTCAATGGTATGTAATAAGGATTGTAGGCTGCCTGATGATACCATATCACCTGCTTCAAGCATTTGTTCAACTATGTCAAGAGCTGTGTCCACCTACGCATAGAGAAACGATCACTAGTCAATTCTGAAGGTTCCAGAAACCGAAAACGAGTACATTGAATATTTCATTGATAAAATAATATCAAAATAATCAAAATACCTCATGCCAGTCACAACTATACTTAATGAGCTTCTCATATGCATCAGATGAAGGCATAACATTTAGGTCTTCATGTAACTTGTTGAACGCCAGAATGACATCTCCAACCTTTAATTGCCAAGATGATAAGGAAGATATTGACAGTAATCTAGTCAGAAATAGCATCCAAGAGCTCAGGCTATGCAAGAAAAAATAATCTTTAAGCGACTCAATGCCACACGTGTGACGACTGATCTCAAATTGAAATTCCCTATATCAGGTCACCGATGCTAATTACAACCCACAAAAACTTGCATGCTTTCTCATTGTTATCAGTATCCTAAAATAATGACGTACAATTGTCTACTCCTAAAACAAGATGCAGAGCAAAATTTTGAGGATAGAATTGTAGATTGCAAAACTTCATTCTTCCAAATGAAGCTAGCAATCAATATCAAGTTTAACACACCAAAGTTATTGCTATTACTTGCTCCACAAAATGAAGGTAAATGAGGCATTTGGGCACAAACATTGCTATGAATACAACCACCCACTAATGAAAAAGCAAAGTATCTCTAGAAAAAAAAAAGAACTGAAGAGCAAATGATCTAATTTAGCCACAACCCTATAGAATTTACCAAGTATCATTCATGAAAAGTCCTCACCGTTGAATTCGTGGTGTTGGCTGCAAAGCTAAAAATGAGTTCTGAAACATTTTGCATTCCTTTATCTGCATATATGAAAAAAAAACAAGAATAGTGAGTAATTTTCAACATATACATAGAATACTATATGGTCTTACAAGATAACAATCCTATATACTTTCTCATAAATTTGCAATACTCTTGCAATAGATAGCACAATATGATTTGGGTTCCTATATCTTGCAACCTACCACTCTTTTTCAGTTCCTGAAGGAACTTCTTCGCAACGGACTCCAATAGGGACCTTCCAAGGTAACTAAATATGCTTGTCAATACCTCAACTGATGAAACATCCTTTATGTCTACAACATCTAGCAGCTTCTGAAGATTTTCCTTTCGGTCTTTCTCACAAAGTGCAATCAAATAATTTTCTGTTCAAAGATTGAAAGACATATTTTCAGCATAGCGAGCGAGCAAAATAAAGTACCAGAGCTCTCAAGTTGGACGTAAGATGACCAATTTTCGTCACATTAATTACCTTGTAGGCTTGATAGACTTTCCCCACTATCACTAATAGTGCTGCAAAACTCTTCAATCCTTTCTTCGTCATTTGCTAGGATGCAAAAAAGCATTTCGTAGTATCCTAGTCTCGCAGAAGACTTAGGATTCGCCTCCAAAATAATATCCTTGAAAATTTCAAATTCCTCAACCATACCCATATCGATTAAGTAACTAAGAAGAGGACCATAGGTTCCTTCCTCTATAGGGAATCCACGTTCTCTCATTGCTTTGAAAAGTTCGAAAGCCTTTCCGAGCTGATCAAGTGCATATTCTAAATCACTGCTTTCCCTAGCATTTTCTATGTAATGCTCAATCATTGCATTGTATTGGTTTGGACCATTGGATCGCCCCAAATTATCAAAAATATCAAACATAGCTTGGTTTCCCAACCTCTGAGCACAACCTCTCACTATCTTCTTGAAACGATGTGATTGAAAGTTTTTGAAAGCATATTTCTGTTTCTTATCTCGAGATGCCTGCTTCATCCTTATTGAAATATTAAGCGGAATCCCATTAGGAAGACTAGGCACCTCCGCTCCACTTTCCTTTACACTGTTCTCTGAAACTTGAGAAGGATCACCAAGACATTATTCCATTTACCGAAAAAAAAGTGCAAGAAAAATGTATTAACATACACGAGAAGCACATACCAAAAAGTATTGATGATACCCGATGCGACAGTGATATTTCCCCATGATCTACACATTAAAAAAATTGTCATTTCTACAAACATAAACCATGAACTTATTGATTCCGAAATGGGTTTCCGACAGGAAAATCTGTGAACTCAAGGGTAGAGAAAGGAGAGACCTTTCCCAGTCTTGAAAGAAGAGCTGTGAAACCTCATTAACTCTGAGAGAGGCTCATCTTCAGCAGCTAACACTTGAGAACTTCCCACCACGGCCGCGGCGGCATCGGAAGACTTTCCGACGTTTCTCATCGCGTGGCGAACTATCCCGCTTAGCCTTTTCTTCGCATTTCGTACCGTCATTTTCCGACTCGCGACGCTGCTGTAACGAAACCCCAGAATCCTTTGGCACACCGAACTCACCAACGAAGAAAGAGAGAACAAAGACAGAAGTATATAGCTTGGGTGAGACACGCCGGGGAGAGTCGTGAGTTGTGCGATTCGGCCGGAGGAATCAGTACAGAGCGGTGGCAGTAGACGACGGAGGAAGCAGACAATTTTTAGGTAAAAATAGACTACACGTCGTTTACATGGACTGCATGTCGTTTCTGGAGGGGGAAAACAACAAGATATTTTGAGGATGGTTCAAGTAGAGGCCGTATTTGGGCCTCTCGGGCTATTATTTGATACTTGGCCCGGTTCAGCCATCCGTATTAACGACTTCAATATATATATATATATATGTTGATGTATCATGTATGTGGATGTGGTCTTTGAATTGCTGTTATTATAAATATATTATGGTATTATAGTAAGTTATATATACATTTATGATTATAGGATAATTGTGTATTAAACCAAAATGAATTTGTTGGGAGTGTCTACAGAATTGTTGATATTTTACAGTAGTGTACTATAAATTGATTTCTAATTTCTATGCGTTACCTATCAAACATATCATCAATTTCATTGATTTGGATCATATTTGATGCAATCAATTTTAAATTCTTTTTACAAATGTATTTATATTAAAAATATTATTATTATTAGTTTATGCTTTTGGATATACTAGAGAATTGTTTCGAGTCTTTTTTTTTTTTAAGAAAATAAAAATATAAAGGCTGTGGATGCAGAAAAGGGGGGAGGAATAAGAATAGAAAGAAAAGAAAAAAAGATGAAAATGTCCTTCAACGTTATCAGAACCGTGCCTGCATGTTCCGCAAAGTCCACGATCCCCTTCACTTCCGCCATTAAAGCGTCTCTACGACCTCCTCTTACTCGCCATCTTCCTCCTCTAAACGCTCTCGGCGTCTCCCAATTCTCCCCTTCCTCGTCGAATCTAGCCGTCCGCCGCGTCTCACTTTCTCTCCGGCAAAGCAGTCGTAACTTTCGAGGCGGTCGTTTCGTGGCCATGGCGGCTCCTGGGTCTGTCCAGAAATCCGAAGAGGAATGGCGCGCGATTCTGTCTCCTGAGCAGTTTAGGATTCTCAGGCAGAAAGGCACAGAGTAAGGCTTTCTTCTTCCCCTTTTTCTTTGGCGATTTTGGTTCGTTTTTTTGGAAGACTTTCTTAGAAATTTGTGGAACTATTGGGAATAAAGTTAGATTTCAGGAAGGCATCTTTGATATTACTTGAAGGATCGATCGGATTAGGGATTTGACCTTAGAAACTTGAATTTTAGGGTCAGTATTTTTTTTTTTTTGTGTTGATGAGAAAAATATTTGCTTTAATCTTCAATCTCATAACTTTATGAGCCGTATATTTTACAATACTTAAGAACAATTTCAAAATCAAAACGCATTTCAATTTTCAATGTGTTTTGCATTCACATAATTATCTTCTGATTTCCTTTTTACATCAGTAGGAGTTTGCCTTGGCATTATTAAATCACCATATTAGTTTTTCTGATGTGTTCTTCAGGCATTGAGCAGGTATCATGCTGTGATGGCAGTATGCCTCAGTAATATTTAGCTTAAAAGTGCTTGAATGCCAAATATTTGTTCAAATTAGGAGGTTGCATAAATTAGATGCAAGTTTTTTTCACAGTAAAAATTGATGTTTACAGAGTTGTTAAATGAAAGCGCTTTCAACCCGCACTTGCTAGCTGAATCTACAGAAACGAAAACAATAGATTGAATTCAGAAAGTTTGGGATCATCAGCTTATCCGACGAGGGATCAAATCTTTTTGAAGTTGAAGCTCCTTTTTTTCAGAAGCTTGAAACAAGAGATGCAATCATTATTTCTCACGACAAATCTCCAACATTTAGAATATGTTTCCTTTTTCTTTTGTTAGTTTTCTCAGTTGCTGTAGAACCATACTCTGAGGCTGTTCCCTATCAGGGATAGCTTAATATTACTTGGAAAGTGCTCTTTTTGTCTTTGGTTTTCAGTTTACCTCGGTCTATGACTTGCAAACACAATTCTGAATGGATAATGCGTGTTTTAGGCTTTTAGCAAGGGGAGGAGAACAGGTAAATCTAACAATGTATGCATGATGTGCTTTGTGTTTAGGTATCCGGGCACTGGAGAATATGACAAGTTCTTCCAAGATGGCATCTACGGTTGTGCAGGCTGTGGAATTCCTCTCTACAGATCCACCACCAAGTTCAATTCCGGATGCGGCTGGCCAGCATTCTACGAGGGACTTCCCGGTGCCATAAACCGAACTGTGAGTTTCCTAACCTAACAAGCCTTGTGCCCCTCTCTTACTAATAGATGATTATTAGCACAATTAAAAAATAACAAGATCTTATCAGCTATGCCTATTATGAGTAACTATCTTGTAAGAACCTTATGGATTTCCGTTTCATTCAAACTATTTTCTTCAATGTTGGTTCCACATACCATCGCATGGGTACATCTTGGTGATCTTGAATTGATTTATAATCCTTTCTTGATTCCGGGATATCAGCCAGACCCAGATGGGAGGAGAATAGAGATCACTTGTACGGCCTGCGGTGGGCATCTTGGCCACGTTTTCAAAGGAGAAGGCTTCGGGACGCCCACAGATGAGCGCCATTGCGTCAATAGCATTTCTCTCACATTCAAGCCTGCGGATTCTTAATCTTCCGAATGGTGATGATAACACGTTCCCAGGTTGTATGGTGTTCATGTCAGGTCCATTTCCCTTTGTGAGTTTCAGTAGAAAAAAACTACGTGAGAGGACTTGGAATGTGATGTGGTGGTGTTTGTGATTGTTTTGTGACTTGGAAGGTCGTTCTTCATCGGCTGAACTTGTGTTTCATGCATGAATAATGATGTAATGAACATATGAATGAGCCAGCTTTTAATTTAGATTACAAATGCTAATTTGCATAGAACATGGGGTTATAAGTATGAATTTTTATGGTAACTTTCAGCCCTCTTGCCAAAACAAACAGACAGATCATTATTGAGCTACTTCAGCCACCAAATGATAATCCATGGGATAAGATATTGTGATATACATACGCGTAAGCACTATGCCTTTCTCGAGAGGAGAGCAAGGTAAATTTTAAAATCTATGAAAGTGAAAATCCAAAAATATGAAGAAAACGCTCGAGAATTCGACCAAAACCAACAAACTTGGGAGACGTGGACATTATTAATCCAAATGATAAAATTCTTCAAAATTGTTTTTATGGATTAAGAAGCATTTAATTTCTTTTTGTATCATCTGAACTGTGGCCACAAGTTTCATTTTCAAGCAAAAAACTTATTTTTCAATGTGTTGTGAAATCTGGATAAACCAAAACCATTATCTGCTGACAAAAAGATACGTGCCAAGTCTGCCTTTGTGGCTGAAACTCTATTCTCTCGCACACATATATCCACAAATTAAAAAAAAAAAATACTTTTTTTTTTCTCTCCGGTCAAGAAATTTCCCTCCTTGCCTTCCCTTCTCCGTTTTTGGTGCGGCTATACATACATGCATACATATATGTAGAGATTCTTATTCTGGAGATAAGCGGAGGTCGCTTGAGCCTGACGTGGCCTGCTTTCTTCCTCACCTTTGGTCAAATTTTCAGACGCAAACGAGAAGTGTTCTCTGAGATATACCCTATTGGCAAACAAAAAAAAGTTTCAGTTTTTAGGGTTTATGGGTGAAACAGCAAATGTATTTGGGCGTTGATTCTGTGTTTTTCAGTACTAAATGGCAATTAGCGCTGTGTTGGAGTCCATATCTTGTTGCCCATCTCCCAAGGTAGCTCCTTTTTCATCTTTAGCTCAGTTGAACTTCTTCTCTGTTGATTCATTCGCTTCCTGAATGTTTCATAATTTGCGCAATTCAGAATTTGTATCTTTGCCTGGGTTTAGAGATAGGAAACACATGCTGTTGTAATTTTTACATAAATGCAAATATGCAGCCATTGTTATGCACCAGACGAATCTCAAACCATTTTGTATACACTGAAAAATTTCATGTTAGTATGAAAGAATGGATGGACACCGTATTCATGTTTATGTCAATATTGGCATCTTGTATGTCATGGAAGTTGGAACTCAGGCGAAGAAAATTCTCTGTAGTTAAATTTTAATTTGATCAGGTGTTATTTACCGTTTACAGGGATATGGTGCAGTCAACCAACATGGTCGTAGATCAAAGCTTTGTGTTTATACTTTAGTGAAGTGCTGCAAGCCATGTGTGCCCAAATACTCACATGGCGTAAAGTTTGGGATTAATCTACGTTCTTTAGGGAATATAAATTCGAGCGAGAGAAGGTTTTTGGTTAATTCATTGTGTCATAGCTCCAGAAGATTGTACTTCCAATGTAACCTGTCGGAGTGCTCAAGGAGAGTCCGGACTTATGCAACGCTAGATGTGGCAAGTGCTGTTGATGTCATCAACGATCTTGGACTTGATACTTTGACCTTCTTAATGGTGACTGTTATCATTGTCCCTGCATTCAAAGTCCTTAGAGCCAGTCCGGTATGTAGAAACGCTGAACTTTTATGGTCCAATTTGATGCACACGGATGATTTAAATTGATATTGTATTCTTGATGTATAATTGTTTTGTTATTTTGGTCTCCAGATACTTGGTTTCTTCTTTGCTGGGGTTGTGCTGAATCAATTTGGTTTGATTAGAAATATTACAGATGTCAAGGTTCTGTCAGAGTGGGGGATTCTTTTTTTGGTAAGCCTAGTGACTATGCTAAGGCCTTTGTGTATTTTGGTTCCAAGCTTCAATGGCAGTGTTTTTCTTATATTTCCTTGTAAAACTTTTAAGTTTCAGGTTCTTTTGCCATATTCCTTTTTGTTCTTGAAAGATTCATGCATCGAGTGACGTGTATTGGTTGGCATTGCTCCAATTTTCGTTTGCAGCTTTTTGAGATGGGTTTAGAGCTTTCACTTGCACGTCTGAAGGCACTTGCAAGATTTGCTTTTGGCTTGGGATTGACTCAGGTATGGCGCTGAAAATGTTCCATTAGTGGCCTGAATCTGATACACTAATTTATGTTTCTTCAGCTCTGTCACATAAACAAGGATTGGACTAGATTGGGTTTTGTTACTGAAGTTGTATATGGTTTATATTCCAGATTTACTCTTGTGCGTAGTGTCCTGACAACATCTTAATATGCTTTTCTATATCAGAATGATTGACAATTGGTGTGTTTATCATCAGTCCATGAATAGATGTTCCAGAAATCTTGACTGATTCTGATATCAAGAGCTTAGTAGTACCTAAACTTGAAGCCTTTGGTTTTGAAATTGCTTGACAAATAGTTCTAAGTGGTTCACTGAATCTCTTTGTTACAGATCGGCCTAATCTTCATTCAAGTTCATTTATTTTGAGTTATTCACAGTATGAAATAGACACCTTGTCTAACTATTAGATGGACTTAGTCTTTCCGTTATGGAAGTATGACAATGTAGGTCACTGATTCCCCATGATTTGTCTCTCAACTGGTAATAATACTTTCCTTTTTCTTTATTTCATCTATTTTAAAGGTGGTGTTATCCACACTTGCTTTCACTGCTTTTGAACTTCCACCAAACGGAGCCATAGGAACGAGAATTCTCGAATTTCTTTTTCATTCAAGGCCAGACTTGGTAAGAGTTTCACTCTCAAATGTTCTTTAAATTCTTTGTGTAAGGTTACCAGATATTCTTTCATAGTTGTATATCTTCAGTCCCATTCTCTGTTGAACCCATTAAGAAAATTGAAATCTGTGTCTCAATTCTTGTTCCAAATTTCGCATGGAGCCATTTGCTTTTCTTGTATAGCCTTGAAATTCTGATTCTAAATCTTGAAAATTCAAGTAGATGTTTTTTTTTGAGAGGAGAGATCGGGTAGATGATGTTGTGCATAGTTATCTCAGTCTTCTCTGTCATTGTTTATAACCTGGGAACTCTCGGTTACTATCCTTCACATGTCTGCTGGTTATATCTCTGAATGAAGGAAGATCTCTGCTAAAATCAACTGGTTGAGCACAGAACTATCTCCAACGGTTTCCTTTAGGCATTTGAAGCTATTTTCTTGAATCATCAACTTCTTTATGTAAAACACCAGGTCAACATCAGAAGCATTGATGAGGCTGTTGTAATTGGTGCTGCTCTCTCTTTGTCATCCTCAGCTTTTGTTCTTCAGGTATCATCGCTGTTGTAAACATACTAAATCATGAGCAGAAGCGGTACTTTGAGAATGGTCAGGAGAAAAAGAAAACTATGTAGTTTCTTTTGATTTAGTTCTCTTTCTTTTTTAGATTTTATTAACAAGTGCAACATTTATAGCTTCTTGCAGAGAAGGGTGAGCTCCCTACAAGATTTGGCTCAGCAACTTTAGGGATTCTTCTTTTGCAGGTCCCGCCTCTCCTTTTTATTTCCATCCTCTTTCTATCACGATACATCAAATGCTCCAAAGGTGTTGAAAATATGAAATTGGAAAAGTATACCATTTTGTGGAAAGCCACTTAAAATAGGTAATAATATACTATGTAACACTAGCGGAACCTATCATAAACGTGATTAACATACCAATGAAAATCTAAAGCATGTACAACCACATGCACAACTCAAACTCTATTCCTAAATCCCTTTACTGCTATTTTCAGGACATAGCAGTTGTACCTTTGTTAGTCATTCTTCCGGTGCTGGAGAGCCAGGTACTTGCTTATATTCTTCTTTGACTTTCTTACACAAACTTGTATGGTGAATTCTGAAAGGGAATGGGGTAGGAATGATCTTTTACTCATACAAATATCGTTAAAACTGTATTCTCAGTGTCAATAAAACCTACAACTCATTGAATGGTATAAAAAAGAATCCAATTTTCAATGTTCGTGCAGTTTATATCTTACTGATGCTTTTTCTTTTCCTTTTCCCTTCGTAAGAAGTCTATGCCTTCTGTAAAGTTTCACTTGTTTACAATGTGATGCTTGTACTATGTAGATTCCATATTCTCAATGTTGTAAAAACATTGAACAAATTGTGAAGACATCCAAAAATTTTTCGTTTTCTCTTACTATTTGCTCAATTTCAGAGTTTATTTGAACAATGTCCTATTCTGTTCTAAAATATGGATTTTATTTTTCCTTTGTTGTTGTTTCTCTCTTTGCTATAATGGAAATGGATGCAATATATACCTAGAATGATCCATCACTAAAGTTTTACAATGTTTACAACCTTGTGATTCATAACTGAGGTTTGGTTTGAGCTTAGTATTTGAACCATTGTTTTGCTACAAGAATCTTGTCGGCGAAAGCATCTGGCCAATGCTTGCAAAGGAAAGTGCGAAGGCTCTTCTCGGGTTGGGGCTTCTCTCTCTTGGAGGAAAGTACCTTCTCCGTAGAGTCTTTGAGGTACTTGTTCATGTCCTTATCTCTATCAATATTTTTGTCAATCCTTTATTAATGAATGAATACAAGACATGTTTTATTTGGTGCAGAGCTTAAAAAAACTAAGCCCCACAATATTCAGGTTATTGCAGAAACAAGAAGCTCGGAGGCTTTTGTCGCTCTTTGCCTTCTGACTGTTGCTGGGACTTCACTTCTCACTCAAAAGCTTGGATTCAGTGATACGGTTTGGTTACTTCCCTGTAAATACACCATGCCCTGTTATTTTATCATATGCATGCGCATCTAATATTCTCCTTTCACTTGCTATGAAGCTCGGAGCTTTTTTGGCTGGAGCTCTTCTAGCAGAAACCAATTTCAGGACACAGATTGAAGCTGATATTCGACCATTCAGAGGCTTATTGCTGGGTTTGTTCTTTGTGACCACGGGAAGTTCCATTGACATGGAGGTAACCTTGTTGTATACACAATATCCAATGTCGTTGAACCAAACTTGTGGCATTCACGTTCATGTGGTTAATCTCTTGCAGCTTCTCTTCCAAGAATGGCCGAATGTTCTCTCCCTCTTGGGTGGTCTGATTGTGATTAAAACACTGATTATAACCGCAATTGGTCCACGTGTTGGCCTAACCTTACAAGAAAGCATAAGAATCGGGTTTCTTCTCTCCCAAGGAGGGGAGTTTGCATTCGTCGTGTTCTCTCTAGCCAACAGGTTATTCGTCGGATGAATTGTTTCAATAACTTTTATTTATTTATTTTTATTTTATTTTATTATCCGATGTTCAGGATTGTATTGTTCATACAGTCGTATATGTGTTCTTGACGGCAGGCTGGGAGTGCTTCCACTTGAGCTGAACAAGCTGCTGATTATCGTAGTTGTCTTGTCAATGGCGTTAACTCCTTTCCTCAATCAACTTGGTAGAAGAGCCGCCGATTTTCTCGAAGAAAAATTTAACAGCGAGGAGGTATGATTCCCTTTTTCTTGCTTATACTGCAAATAGACATGAATGAATTTGTATCTCCAATTGATGGGGTATCAACCTTTCTGCAGAGATTAAGTGAGACCGTGAATTATGATGTCAGCGAACCTATTGTTCTTCTTGGATTCGGACAAATGGGCCAGGTAAAGTGATCAACTTGATGGTAGATTCATGTTACAACTATGTTAAATCTTAAAACTTTGGGGATTTCTCATACGATTCCATTTCAGATTTTGATGCGTTCCCATTTCATTCATACGCTTGCAGGTGCTGGCCAACTTTCTGTCAACCCCATTGGCTTCTGGGATAGATAGCGACCTTGTGGGACTGCCTTATGTAGCGTTTGATCTGAATCCCGCTGTAGTGAAGGTCTTTAATCAGATTGTTTCTTTTGCCTCTACCACTTGCAACTATGGATTATTTTCATGAGGAAGTTATGTTTTTGGCAGGAATCTAGGAAACTTGGATTCCCGATTCTGTATGGAGATGGCTCTCGGCCATCCGTTTTGCAATCTGCGGGTATTTCATCGCCTAAAGCTATCCTGATAATGTATAAGGGCAAGAAGAGAACTACCGAGGCTGTTCAGAGACTCAGGCTTGCCTTCCCTGCGGTGATAATACTTTGAAACTCTCCTCTCCCTTCACTCTCCCACCTTCGGTATCAGAATCCATTTCGGATGTGTTTGAAACCTTTAGATGTGTTGCTGATCTGATGAGAACTAATCAACCGTAGTAACTGAAGTTAGTGAATCATGTTCTGTAGCTAATTCCAGTTGGGGCTTTGAACTTAACCAGATACCCATTTACGCACGTGCTCAAGACGTGGGGCATCTCCTGGAGCTAAAGAAAACAGGAGCAACTGACGCCATATTAGAAAACACAGAGGTAACGTAACAAGGAGAGAGATCCTTTTCAAGGGAAAGACTTTCTTCTCTTCTGGACAAAAACATTGAGATTCTGTTGTATATGTTTATGTTTTTGTACAGACGAGTTTACAGTTGGGATCGAAGCTGTTGAGAGGGTTCGGGGTTATGTCTGATGACGTAAGGTTTCTCAGTGAACTCTTCAGAGATTCCATGGAGCTCCAAGCGAAAGAGTCTCTCACGAACAATGATGGAAAGCTCAATCAGATGGAGCCGGTGGAGATTCGGGCATCTGAGTTGAGTTCAGATTCTGCAAAAGTTCAAGAGATTGTAGAATACCAAGAGGCAGAAGGCAAGATCGGTGTGAGAGAGACAGAGATTGAGTCATGTGGCAAAGATCTTCTGAGCCGTGAGGTGAACACCGACAATGGCTTCGTTGGTCAAGCTGAGAAAGTTAATGAATGAGGAAGCATCTGTTCCTGTTCTTTATTTTTTTGGTAAGAAAAGGTTAAAAAAAGGTCTTTATTTACGGATTAAAACATTCCATGTAGATAAAAATTGTTTGTTAGACTTTAATTTCGGCTCTTAGGGAATAAATCATCCAAAAATATGTGATTTACTTAATCTTTGGAGGTCACATTCCAAGAATCAAGCATACACAAATCAAGGTGATTATCCAAAATAGGATAGAAGATCTCTATATGTGCTTGTATGTAAAAGGAGAGAACAAAAACTACTTAGCAACATGAAAATACATCACACAAACACGACCTAATGTGGTTAGAGACCTAAAAAACACTATTTGTCCGAAACTGTCGAAGTTTCTCATCGGCTGGATATCAGTTTCAGAATCTCCGCAGCCTCACGTAGTCTTCTTTCGCTGTTTTCTCTTCCTGCTTGTCCCTTAGCATTCCTGAAACAGACATACACCGTCGTGATTACACTGTTAGAATCACACTACCGTCGGTTTCATGGTTCGATTATACAAGTGTGAGCAAAGATGTTTTGTGTTCGGATTATAAACATTCACTAAAACGGCTCATTTTCTGAATTTTGATAACTAATATCTAACCTTTTTTCGGTTGTTGCCTTCCGAGATAGTTCTTCAACTACGCCTTGAAGCCGTTTTACATATGCAGGAAGCTTCCGAACTGCTTCTACGCCTTTACAGTTGGTACATATCTTCTTAAGAACATCCGAAGCAATGAAGTATCCTTCTTCCTTGTTCCTGAGAAAACGAGTAAAGAAAGTGGGAATAACCAAAAGATTAAATGCTATAAATGACACAATCAAGGAATAAGATGCAGAGGTAAGCCCATGGACAGGTGGAAGACCTGAGCAGTTCCCAGAAAATTGTCTGAATGGATCCATTTCTACTGATTAGTTCATCTGTCAAGTGTGGGTAGCGAGCCAGGTTTCTCAAGGTTGAAAACGCGTGTTTCGAGACTTCTTGGTCAGGGATGCTTCGGCTGGCGGAGCGTATAACCGTTAATAACTTGTCTATAGCTCCTGCAACCACGAGCTCTTCGCAGCATTTCTCTGAGTATTTTGTTGCTGAATCCAACGTTTCGCAGATGTGAAGAATGTTGTGGACGCTTTTCGTGTTTCGTAGTTCGGAAAGTGCAGAAAGAAGCTTGTTTATGAGTCTTTTATTGTCATCAACATTTGCTGCAGAGGTTTGCATTCTCTGTCGCAGATCCATAACCTGAGCTCTTGACGCTTTTCGGGTGATATAGCCTTTCCAATGTGACTGTTACACCATAAAGAAGTAAAAGATACATCTAATATTGAGTTTATGAGAAAACAAAACCTAAAATCTGCGAGTGCTGTTAGGAAGAATGAAGATCCAATTGGAATGAGATAAAAGATGACACAAGAAGCTTCGGGGATATTGTACCTGGATCGTTACAATGTAATGTCTCTCCATAGAAATTCTCCGTCTGGTAATAAAGCCACGAATATGCCTCTGGATTAGGACCGTTGAGTTTATTATTGCCTTCCATGACAAAACTCTCCTCCACCATCGCTGCAGTTTAATGACAGCAGGTAGAAGTTTATTCGTCTGGAAGCTGTTTTCGGGTAGTATTGAAACCCTCTGGCTGGCTTGAGTACGGAGATTAGAAGCCCCTGCGATAACATAGTTTGGGAAATAATTTGTTTTCATTCACAAAAATGAAAAGCAACCAAATGCAAAGTCCTGAAGAGTTTTGCTTGAGCACCTCGAAATCTAGTTCTAGCAATCTCTACGCTAGCAAGCCGTTGAACTTCTGTGGCAGCATGCTTGTAACGAAGAAATGGCATCAAGGAATTATAACGCCGGAGAGCACTCTGAATGCATATTGCAGATTCTCTTTGAAGTAAAAATCTCCTTCTTAAAAGCCAACCACGACAATAGCGCTGCATAACATGTATAAATATATAGTCACTGGCTAAACAGACAAAGAACCCACAAGATGAGGTGTAAAGTTTTGTCACAGCTGTGAGAAGGAAAACATAACAGTGTGTCACCATTTAACTATTTGTTACGGCTATGGAAGGAGTTCTTAACATCTTTGGAAACTACCTTAGTAAGAAAGAAAAAACACAAGTATCTAGCAGCTAGGTGAAGAGGAACATGAATGATCAAAGTGTTTCTCTTAGCAATGAAACGAGTTTCAGAGAGGGAGAGTTATTTGGAAAATGAAACAGATTGAGAAGTACACCGCACTGGATTTGACTATGAAATAAAAAACGGCAGACATGAAAGAATGGAAGAAACTTACTTGAATAACAAGCGCAGAGCATTTATATCTCTTAGCAGTCCTCCGAGCATTCCATCCACGTATATAAGCCTGAATAACAATGGCAGACATGTTCTCATCTTTAGATCTTTTATAACTCCTCCAAGCAAGCTGGATCCTGAGTGCTGCTTGCAAAGAACATTTGTATCTCGTAATTGTTCTCCGTGCAATCCATCCACGCGCGTAAGACTGAATAACAATGGCGGAAATGTTCTCATCTTTAGATCTTTTGTAACTCCTCCACGCAAGCTGGATCCTGAGTGCTGCTGCTTGGACAGAACATTTGTATCTCTTAATTGTTCTCCGTGCAATCCATCCACGTGTATAAGACTGAATAACAATGACAGAAATGTTCTCATCTTTAGATCTTTTGTAACTCCTCCAAGCAAGCTGGATCCTGAATGCTGCTGCTTGCACAGAATATTTGTATTTCGTAAATGTTCTGCGAGCAATCCATCCACGTGTGTAAGACTGAATGACAATGGCAGACATGTTTCGGTCTTTGGATCTTTTATAACTCCTCCAAGCAAGCTGGATCCTGAATGCTGCTTCAAGATCAAGGTGAGGCAGGTGCAACTCCTGAGGGGAAACTTGTTCTCTCTCAGTTTCAGAAGCAATAGAGGGTAGAATGTCTTGCCTGTGCACCCTAGATATCCAATTCCTTGCAGCTCGCTGAATGACCAAAACAGATTTTCTCAACTTGATGAAGCGTTGCCGTGCAACAATCAACTTGACATATCTCCTTACAGATTCTGTCTTGGGACATCTTTCTGATAGAAGCATAGAATCTTCTCCAACAGTTAGTTCCTCAAGAACTTGCATCTGTTTTGCTGACAACCAAATTCTGACAACAGTTTGTAAAAAGCAGATCGCATTCATCATCTTTGTAAACCTGTGACGGCTGCAAAGTCCCCTAAGATATGCTTGTATTACTGTTGCTGCCTTTTCTTTTCGGGTATCCATAGAGCTTTTACTAGTTGAGACGCATTGCAGAAAATGGCTAGTAGCTTTTCCAACACGATTCTGGTTTTGGTTAGCCATCTCCTGCCACCAGGCCTTAATAGCATTGAACCTTTTGGTAGCATCTTCTTTATCATCTTGGTCTGCTTCCTCACGTTTTGCTGATTCAGAGCTACCAGAACCAATTCGTGAATATCTCCTCTCCAGAGCTTGACAATTGGAGCACAATAGCTTATGAAAATTCAGTTGATCCATATTCTCTTTGATGATCAGTTTTGATGATAGAAAGCCTAACAGTATGATAACACTTCGGTCACTAACTGCAGCATTCTGTTCCAGCAGATCGCCAATCTGCAGGACCTCAGGAAAACTTCCCAAGAGTGCTGTCAACTTTTGTGACAGAATGAAATTGTGAACTGCATCTGTATAATCTGTGTTCCACATAACTGATCGAGGGACAAGTACTTCATTTGGTTCCTCTTTTAGCAGACAGGGGCAACAAACTTCTCTGCAGAAATAAGAATCAAGCAAGAACCATATTGCTTTTCCATCTACCAATGATGCAAAGGTTTCTAATTTGAAGTCATACTTCTTGCAAATTGACTGGATCCATTTCAAGAGCATTTCCAAAGGAGAAGTGGACATGTTAATCTGATTATCCAGATCCAGCCCTTGGACTTTGCAAATTTCCTCAGCCAGGAGCTTTTCATTGATCAGAAGAGGAAGCTTCGTATTGCAAAGAATATAGCCAAAATAAAAACTCAGAACATGCGTCTTCAACAATCCAAAAATAGCAACAAAAAAAGAAAACGAGATAATACTCACCTGTAAATGGACAAAAATATTCCATAGCAGTGAAATGGTGAGCTCCTTGTCTCCATTTACAACATCCTCTACAGCAATCATCATTCCTTCATCATCTTTTAATGGAACACCAGCCTTCTTCAGGTATTGAAGTGCAATTCCAGAGTTTGACAACTTCTTTTTGCGATTGTCTGATGGAACAACCATTTTCTGCTTTCCCAGAAAACCTCTCAGGCAATTAAACTCAGATACTCTCTATGCAACACATAACATTGTGTATTCATCTTAGAAAACAAAATGAAAACTAACCGCAAGGATGGATGAATCATGAAGAAGTAACTGGATGGCTCTGCAAATCCGCACACCATCTTGGAGGTCAACAAATAAATCTTTCACTCTGAAGTCATACTCAACCAGAGGAGACTGCAAGAGCAATTCTTGACAAGTTATTGAAGCCAAAGAAACTTCATCATCTTAACAACCTAGAGCTAAGGAAGCCACTGCATTCAACATAATAAAAAAATACCTGCTCATAAAGGACTTTGTAGCCTATAATCACCAGATGGGCGAGGAGATTACCTTCTCCATGCATTACATCTGACGGTAACAAATCTATTTTGAAACCATAAATTGGAGGAGTCAGCCGCAGTAAATATGAAGCATGCAAGAAAATTGAAGAACTATCTCACTCAAAACACACAATTACCACTAATAAGTTGATGGCTAGACTTTATGCTAGATTTCACAGAGAACAGGAGGGGTGAGCCACCGTCTATTCCATCGATTCCATATTTAAGCAAGAGACAGCTTTGAGATTTAGCTCTATCCATTATAAGGACAAGCAACAGAACTCTCTTCAATATCACAGTTCCAAGAGCTTCATAGTATCCTGGTTTATATAAGCCCTCAACCATCTTGTTGTAAGCATACGTTTTGGCAAAGCCATCATGCGCGAAGAACTGCTTGTTAATTACCATCTTCAAGAATGCCAGTTCTTGATCCGAGTCGGCATCGACATCAGTTAACAATGAATCACCACCAAAGATAATATATAACCCGATACGAAGCCAAATTTGGTTATAGCTCATAAGTGTCCTGATGGCCTTCTCCTTCATCCCAATATCAGTTACAAGAGGGCAATGTGGTTTCATCTTTATCCTCCCTTCATCAATATTCTGAAACAGAAACAATAGCATTTTCCCCATTAACTAACTAGCCTATCCTTATCCTAAAAAGTATGAATAACCAACCTTGCTCGACACAACCCAAAACGAAAATATACTTTTCCGCCAATTCGGCCCTTCAATATAAACTAATTCCCTATGCGTAATTTTACGATCAAGGTACTGTCTTGATATGAAAAGAAAAAGAGTTGATATAGTTACCTTGGTAACTCGCGTCATTACATCGAAAATCTCCTTGCAACTTCCCAAACTCAAGTAAATTCGCATTCTTCGTTTCAAATCATCTAAACTGCACACATCTCGCAGTGATTCCTTAAGTAGAGAGTACTTGGATCCTGCCAAGGATAAGTCATTTTCGGATCCTTCCTCCCCATCCCAACCTATATTTCTCGATCTTTTTGGGTTCCGCCATATTGCATCCACCCTGACAACGCTACTGTCCCGTATCGCATCACCGCTCTCTCTTTTAGCATTACCCGAGTATCCGACGTCACCAGCACCGTAATCATTGATCAGAGGATAACAACCGCATGATCTGGGATTCTCAAAGAGGAAATTGAGCCAGACAGTGAGTGATTTCGCAAGAGATCTAAGACTCTGTTTCTTCTCCAACTCTGCTTTGCGAGAAGATTGCGACTGCTGAAGTTCGAAGGCCTTGAGCCGCCTTGCGGCTTTGGACCGCATCGAAGAAGACGGAACGAGAGAAGGACGGCGACGGAAAGAAGAAGAAGAAGACTTGGGCGTTTGCCGCAACGCCGTGAAGAACTGCGGATACGGAGAGGAGTCGAGGAAGTTCGTGTTCACGGCGAAGGAGCGTCGCGGCGTCTTGAAATTCGATATGTCTCTGAGAGACGAAGACGGCGGATTTCTCACTGGATCCGGCGACTTGCACGGCGAAGGTTCGTTTTCTTCCATCGGAAAAAGTTACTGGAGAGAGAGAGATTGTCCGATTTCTGAGAGAGCGATTTGAATTTGAATTCGGAAGACCGGGGAAAGAACCGTTGGATTATTTATATATGCTCACGTGCTCAACGGGACCACTTGCCTTTTTGCTCTCCTTTTTATGGAAGTCGTGTCGTTTTGGGTGAAAGAAAACGTCACGCAGTCTAGGACCTTTGCTTTAAACGCGAGACCGCTTCGACGAGACCTCATGAATGAAAGCATACGTGGAGGGTTTCTACTGGCTCGTACACATCACGCTCTCGTTGATTCGTCTAGCTCTTGTCACAAACGGTAATAAGGCTTTAAAGTTTTTGTATGCGGTTCATATAAACGGACACACACACGTACACATTTATGTTCGTGTGTATTGGATTATCAGACGAGTTCGCTTGCGTTCATTCGAAGTCTCTGTACAGCAGATTTCATCTGAAATTCTTTCGACAATCTCGAAGCTTCTAGAGATTTCGTTGTTGTTTTTGGGTTTCGTTGAAATTCGCAGGTGGAATTGTTTTGTGATCGGATCGGTAGTGGTGAAGAAGAAATCATGGCTCAGGCGGTAGAAGAATGGTATAAACAGATGCCGATAATCACCCGCTCATATCTCACGGCGGCTGTCGTCACCACCGTCGGTTGCTCGCTCGAGGTATGCTCTTGTTGGTTCCTGCCCGAAAATTTCGCTATTTTGAAGTTTTCCGGGCTCTAGTTTTTTTTTTCCTCTCTTTTTGGGATTACGATTGAGAGTTATTCTTCGATCTAATTGGTTCGATTGGCTATCATTCTCATTCTTCTCGAAGGATCCCTTTTTATTTGGTTTTGATCCAACTGGATCGAATAACTCTGGTGAATTAGGGTTTATGTGCTAAATAGTTCTGGGATCTGATAAACCGAATTCTTTTTTATAATTAATTAAATCAATTAATTGAATCATGTGAATTTTGCTTCCCTTTGGTGGGAATCTTTGCAGATCATATCTCCATATAACCTCTACTTGAATCCTACACTCGTAGTGAAGCAATACCAATTTTGGCGCCTCGTTACAAATTTCTTGTATTTCCGGAAGATGGGTAAGTTCTTCAGCTTCAGAGCTGCATACCAGTTTTCTTCATTGATTTAACTGTTGAATCTGTCATTGTTTCACATGTCAAAATCGCGTTTTGCAATTATCGAATCTGCCACTGTCCTTTATGGTTGTGTGATAGATATAACTGTTGATGCGGAGGCCATTGAATGATTGATGTTAACTATTTAAAATTTTAAATTTTTTTTTTGTTGATATGTTTGTAATTTTTTTTGAATATTGCAGATTTGGACTTCATGTTCCATATGTTCTTCCTCGCTCGATACTGCAAACTCCTTGAAGAGAACTCCTTCAGGGGAAGGACTGCAGATTTCTTCTACATGCTCTTGTTTGGGGCAACCGTTCTAACTGGTATTGTCCTCGTCGGTGGAATGATACCGTACTTGTCAGCTTCCTTTGCTAAAATCATCTTCCTCAGCAATTCCTTGACCTTCATGATGGTTGGTATTTCTATCTCCATGTGTTAACTTCAAACAGAATCTCTATATGAGTGAAGAAATCTCTAAATCTCTGTCTAATATTATCTTCCTCTGCTCTTCAGGTCTATGTGTGGAGCAAACAAAATCCTTATATCCACATGAGTTTCCTCGGGTTGTTCACTTTTACGGCAGCCTACCTACCATGGGTGAGTTGGGACTAAACCCGTCTTCTAAAGCAACAATCTTTTCAGTGAATCACATCATGACCTTTGCAAAAAAAAAAAACTTCTGGAATTGTAGGTGCTTCTTGGATTCTCTATCCTTGTGGGCGCCAGTGCATGGGTGGATCTTCTGGTATTGACTTGTTCCGAATTCAGTTTTAAACAAATTATTTTCCTGTTTACACATGTTTCCATCATTTTGAGAGGTTGTTCAATCAAATATATCAGGGGATGATAGCTGGTCACGCGTACTACTTCCTAGCAGAGGTGTACCCGAGAATGACGGGTCGTCATCCATTGCGGACTCCATCATTCATCAAAGCCCTATTCGCGGATGATCCAGTCGTGGTGGCTCGGCCTGAAAATGTGAGGTTTGCTCCCGCACCTGCAGAGGAAATCCACCAAGACTGATTCTGTTTGCCCTCAGACTCGGACGTATAACCATTATATTTGGCCGAGTCAAGGCCACTGACTCGGAAAGCAGTTTGGGGTTTGTCTTCAGGTAGATGATGATGACGCGGTCCATTTTGTATTTGATTCCTACATTCTGTAGTCGTGACCTTCATGCCTTCCTTTCCGGCGTTACTCACATATTGGGTTGATGTTAATATTTTTTTTTTTTATGAAATTTGGTGTATTAAACAAAAATGGTAGTACATGGTACAGGATTCTAGATCCACATTACAAAGCTTCCGCTAACCAATCCTTACAAGGAAATAAGCTTTACAGCAACAAATATATTAACTTCCAAGTTTACTTTTCAGTCTGCGTTGAAGGAGTACCAATTTTGAAGCAGTGTATTGCTTCTGCATTCTCTACCCTGCTGGAGTGAAAGTAGAGTATTTCTGTTGGATTGGTCCATTTGATTGCATAAAACCTGCGGTGTAGTACGTAGAGGCATTTCCGAAGATGCGCGAGTTTCTTTCCTTCCAAACTCCATAAATAGTGTGTTGGATCAGAATTTTTAAAAGGATTCTTCTGTTATGTTGATCAGTATTTGGATTTCTTGCCACATATGAGTGGCATCTTGATAGCTCGGCTGGGGGGTTCAACCATATTTTCCTTGCTGCCGTCGACCAGATCTCAAAACTGTAGGTGCAGCGAAAAACTAGATGCTCGTGTGATTCCTCTTCCTCATTACAGAGAACACATTCTGAATTTTGTATCAAGTTCCATCTGTGCAAGCGATCACGAGTAGTCAGTCTCCTCTGCATAACCATCCAATGTACAAAAACATACCTCGGTATCGTTTGCTGAAACCAAACCATTTTCGCCCATTCCACCTGCACTGCAGCCTCTGGTATCTTTGATGCTGAAAATTTATGGGAGAATGTGTTTTCTGCAGATTTCCATTCATAAAAGTCTTCCCCGTCATTGGGACTCGGTATCTTGACTCCCATGAGATGGATGTGGACTATGGGGAATATGTTTGTTTTATGGATAATATAACAGCGACCTATTGCGACATGAGAGATTGATACACTAACTAACCTGATTAAAATGCATACCGAAAATAACATAAATCGAGTCAGGCATATACAGAGGATAATTTTTTCATGCAAATACTAAAAAAAACACGTAAAATAGATCGGCTAAAGTTGGAAAAACACTCAAAGCCAGCCCATTGGAAGAATGATCTTCTTTTTTTTCCCGTTTTCACAAGCCAGTGGCACACTCGACAGGACGACGCTTTCTTTTCTTCTTTTTTTTTATGAGGTGTATTGATAAATAGCACACTGGGGGACTCACAGAACACAAAGGCAATTTCTCTAGCAGAAGAAAAAGAAAAAGGAGGCAACTTTCGGGCTCTCTACTGGATGGGGTGGTATTGAGCAGACACTCTCTTGGAAGGCAGCTTACGCAGTATGAAAAGGACGAGCGCCGATGGTAGTACCTCCACCACCTGTTTTACCAATAATTCATCAGTCGAGATCGAGAGAGACAGAGATGAAGTTCGAATAATGCAGCATTCATAGTCGTACCATGTAGTAGATCAAGTTCAGGACCGGATGGTCCAAAACGTCTAGTGATAAATCCATGTCAAACGCCGATACAGCCACCTGCAATTCAACCAGACTATGTAAAGACTTTTTCCTCTTTTTCATGTTTCTTGTGGTAGTCTATCTTTTTTCAGTGCTTACCACAATGCATCTTATAAGAAAGCAGGTGAAGCATATGGCTGTGACGGATCCAACCTGTTAATACATATGAAACTATCGTTACCTCAGTTACCCCAAGAAAAAAGATGTCTATACGTGACCGAGTTTCAAATCGTAGAAAACACACAGCAGGCATACTGTGTTTAAGCAACAAAACCCTGAATGATAACAAGTTCCAAAACAATAACCCAAAAAAGTCTGTGCCTATATTTCTATGTAACTTAACCAAGTTACCAGTCATCCAACCAATACCAGGCTCAGATAATTCCGTAGAATACAACATCATGATAAAAGGTGATATATACATAAGCAAGGTGAATGTTAGGTTTGCAATATCATCTAAAAAGTTCAAACTTTGAAAAAAGTTTAATACCTCATGGAGTTTCTTCCTTCTTCCTTTTGATTCAATAGGGAACCTTCTCAGCATGAAAAACAATCTGGGACATAATAAATGGCGGTCCGCATGAGAATAAAAAAACAACAAACACTAGAAGCAACAATAATCCTTCTGGTTATCTTGATTATTAGACATCGCACAAGTAACAAGAAGTACACACCTTCCTCCATAGAGCAAGAAACCTAACGCGGCAATGAACGAGACAGCTTCGGAAAAAAAAAACATATAGCAGAAGTCAGTGTCAACTTTAATAAAAGTGAAAAAGTAAAAACAATAAGGAAAATGGGTTTAGCATTCTTGTGTAACCAGATAAAGTAAGCATACCTGCAACGAATATCTTTCCTATTAACTCCACAAGACTGTTATCATCTACCCAGAGGTAAGCCCAGATACCAACCTGATGCAGACATCCATTACGGCTCAAACACACTCAACATCTTATAGTAACCACGCATGTCTAAAATAAATTACAAAGGTAAACGTTTTGAAACAAATCTCGACAGAATTTGTTAAAAGGGCCAGAAAGCCACACTAATAATCGGGAGATCAGTCACAAAGTTAATAAGATGGGGACAAGATTACTATCATGCAAAATTTAAAGAATCTAACACAATCATAACAGATAAGGTGTAAACATTGAACCTCAAGACAAGCAAAAACAAGTGGAGTTCTTAAAATTATCTCAAGTTCTCAACCACTAAATTAAGACATACCTGCCCCAAGTATATAACCACATTCACTGAAATATAAGATATCCGCAGCTTATCTGTTGGTAAGCTTCTTGCCTGTTTATTTGTGGCAAGAACACGAATATTTAGAGTTTCTCTGTCAGAATCAGAAAGACTCAGACATAAACCATTTTGATTTGAAGTATTTACTTACCTGGTGATATATCTCTGCCCAGAACAGTACAAGCAGCGTGTAAGCCGAGAAAAAGAGGAGACCAGGAAGATCCAACAGAACCAAACTAAGTGCCTGCACGATCTCACAGAAACTTTGAATCATTATAAGATGTAGAATTCGACAGCCATTACCTTCAAATTGCCAGATCAGCCGAAAGCGTGAAGACTTTCAAGTTTCAAGCATAAAATTAAGTTGACAACTAAGCCAGTTAGATGTGAATAGATGATTATTCAAAAACAAAGATCTTTTGAACGCAGGAAACAGAACGGTTTGTCCAAGTCAAAGTACAAAATTAAAAAAAAAAATGTGAACAATATGAAATGAAGGGCACTGTTTTATGGTGGGCACCAAGTTAAATGTTGCCCAACTCACCTTGGGATGCAAAAGAAATACTTGTTTGTGAAATCCGAACAAAACTGCACGAACTGCAACACAATTGTCCAAACAAAGGTCAAACATGATCTAGTAATACTCGAAACCAAAAAAAACCTATAATCTCCATGGAAAGCACATATACTCACCTCCATTGACGACAAAGTTCATAAGGTGAAAGACCTTCTGAGTGGTCCAACCATATTCAGGCACTCTCGTTTGGATCCTTACCAATTGGATCTGCCAATTACAATCCAGTGTTCAGAATTTCCAGTCCATTAGAACAATAACTAATCAAAAGTTCCAGCTCCAAATCCAGACAAGTAACGGACCCAGAAAAAGTCCCAGCTTTGGAAACAATCAATCAACTTTATCTACCCTAATCCAATAATCCTACCGTACCGACTGATCCAAGAGGAAAAACCAACACAAATACGCATCAATTAAACCTAGAAGCCCAAAGCAAGCACCAGAAAAAGCATCACCCACAACCCTAAAACCTCGAAAATCTCAGAAGAAAGATCTGTAACACCTCTACGTATATAGATACATATACGAGTAGAAGGAGAAAGGGAGTAGTACAAGAGCGATAGCGGAAACTAGAGCATAAGCACCGCAGAGAGTGAAGAAGATCCCGTCCTGCCAAGTAGTTGACTCGTTAACCTCGTCCCACCAACTTGCAGTCCCAAGAGGAAAAACCAACACAAATACGCATCAATTAAACCTAGAAGCCCAAAGCAAGCACCAGAAAAAGCATCACCCACAACCCTAAAACCTCGAAAATCTCAGAAGAAAGATCTGTAACACCTCTACGTATATAGATACATATACGAGTAGAAGGAGAAAGGGAGTAGTACAAGAGCGATAGCGGAAACTAGAGCATAAGCACCGCAGAGAGTGAAGAAGATCCCGTCCTGCCAAGTAGTTGACTCGTTAACCTCGTCCCACCAACTTGCAGTCGCCACCGTAGTCCCCCCCCCCCCCCCCGCCATATCCGTCGGTATCACCAAGTCCTCCGCCGCCATCCTCCCCATTATCGGATATACTTCCCTCAGGCGGATGAATAAATTTTATCGGGAAAATAAGAGAGCCAGAAAAATCCAAAATCCGCCGAGCTGAGGAACAGCTCAATCCAGATACCCAAATATCCCTTCCGAATCGGAGAGGCCGAGAAAAAGGATGGCGTTTGACTCTGGAACCAACCCAAGGTCTGATGATGGCGGAGATCCAACGGTGCGATGATGCAACTCGTGTGCCTCGTCGTCGCTCGCATTACATAATTGATAATTCTATTTATTTGTACGGAATCTCGTATATTTTCCCATCCAATTTTACCCCCCCCCCACAAAAAAAGGTAAATTAATAAATTTAAGTTTACATATTCCTCATATGATTTTACTATTACAACAAAATTATGATTCTACCACTATATATATATATATATATATCAATTTGATATCTATTTTAGTCCCAAAATAATTTAAATAATATAATATAGTTTTTTCTAATATCCGATATATCTTATCATATTTAAAGTGTATAAAAATCAATAATTTAACTACAAACACGCTGTAACATCTGTAATATTCTACTATTGGTATTGTGGATTACAACAGTAATTAAGACAGTTCGGTGTACAAAACATCCTTATTGAGCGGGATCCGGGAGAATATTCTACCACAAGGATATATTATAGATACACGATTACAACGACAACAGCTTAACCATTATGCCAAGACTCCCTTTCATTACAACAACAACAGTAACTACTAACATAAAATAATTAATATATATATATATATATATGCCATACTTTTAGGTAACATTGTTTTAGATTACAAAAAATGGAATATTACTTCAAATTAACATTATTAACTCGGGCTAAATATTGAAGGAATATTATTATTATTATTATTATTACAACAATCACAAATAGCAATTGTATTTTGAAAAAATAAAAATAAAGAATCCGCACCGGGAGGGAGATGTGAGTGGAGGAAAGCACGTGTGGCACGTGGGGTCCAGAAGTTTCTAGTGAATGATGTTTGATATGAGGTAAGTCCAAATTTAAATCTTGTAACCAACAACAAAGGCGAATAAATCTAAATGTGCCAATACAATAACCAGAAAGCATAATCATAAAATCGACAGCTTCATGAATTACAATACAATATTAACCAGAAAGCAAAGGTCTTTGATCTCCCAAACCTGCAAACCGGTTGGTAAATTGGTGGAAATGTCCGCCATTAACCCAAAACCTAAATCAAACCGGTTTAGATATCAAAATGAAGCACTGACCAAAACAGCACGATCAATACCGAGTAAACCGAACCGGTTTAGATGAGAAAAATACCTGAAATGACAAACAATCAAGAATCGTACTGGGAAGAGGCTGAATCATAAATCAACCTCAGTTCTCGCTTCACTTCATCCTCTGCAAATGTAAACTCTATGGCGTTTCTTGCCAGTCCAAAGATCTCCTTCTTGCTTAGACCTTCACACATTCATTGTCCGAACAAAAAAGAAAAACAAAAAAATCAGATCTTTTCGTCTTCAGATCTTCAAACCTGTCTAAAAGCCATTCGGGTGCAACTTAATTCTCATGTTCTAAAGATCAAACAGAGCAAGCATCAAACTGTTTCGTGTTCTTGGTGTCAGTATGAACTATGAAGAGCTGGTCAGATACTGAGTTAACTCGGTTTAGGTTCTGTAATAAATCGAGCAGAAAAGTATTCGAAACTTACCAAAGGAATGAGCGGCGAGAGCATACTCGTTGGAGAGACTGGTAGAGAAAACTCCGGTATCATCTGTGCATAGAACCAGCGGGTGTTTTGTATTGTAGAGATCAGCTGCAACACCGAGATATCAGATCAGATCGTGTCGGGTGAAATCAAGAACAATGTAACACTAATACATCATAATTTTCGATATGAACCATGAACCGATCTGCATAATTTCTCTTTTTACTTATGAGTTTAGCCCATCTAATAAAGAATGGATATCTTGCATAAACTTAGTAATGGGGGGAAGAGGAATCTAACCGAAGTGATGGATATCAATCGAAGAAATTGATTTGGTAACGATATTGGATGTCAAGCATATCTCGACCTGCAAAACATAAGCCAAGAATCGGTAGAATATCAGATGGTACTCAGGTGAAAGAAGAAAGGTGACAACACATTACTATCATCAACAACATTGTCTGGAGAAGGTTAAGTTTCGAAAGCTCGAGACTTTGGATGAGGACTAGGTTGTCTGATACGAGTTTTTTGTCGAGAAAAAGCTGAGTAACGAGGGACAAATCCATTGACAAGATTTAAGAGATGATACCAAGAAGACGGGCACGGGCTTAACATATGAAAGTGGTGACCAAATGCAAGGAAATGATTTCGAGTACCGGAATTTTGTATTGTTTCAACTTTTCCCAGTCTTTCCCTTCGAGGAAGCAAGCGTGGCCGATTCTACGAGGGCGGAAGTCGAGCATGGCATAGATTTCTTTCGGATTTGGCACCTACGAACACACTAAGATAGAGACAGTAAACTAGTTGGAGCAGTTCCCAACCGAAGCATTTTGAAGCGAAAATGTCTGAAAAAATAGAGCTACCTCCCCACAGTGAAGCGTGATGTGAAGACCTTGATCCCGAGCAAATTCTAGCGAGGGCAAGAATGTGGCCCTGCATCAGAAAACACGATAAATTTCGCCATAAGAACATGCTTATGTGAAGAATCTAAAAGACAGTACCGAAAGAATCACTATACCATTCTCCGATACAAGGGTTCCCGGAAAGGTCTATACCAACAATCCCTGCATCTCTCAGTTCCAGCGCAAGCTTAACCTACAAAAAAAAGTTACGGAAAAAAATTGTTTGATTTGATGTTTCTTCTTCCTGCAGGTATAGAACAGAACAGAATTTTGTTAATACTTACGGTTTCCATTGCAGATTCCGTGCTTTCTCTGCGGTCGATGCTGAGAAGAAGCCTAACATAAATCTTCTTTCTCGGAGTTTCGTCGCGTCCATTACGCGGAACTCGAGAGCTGACACTTCTCCCAGGCGTTGAATCAGATGCTGAGAAATCGATATCAACTGCACTGACAGATCTCAGACCCTCGATCACCGCTTCCATGTAAGAGCGTTTACTCATGCCTATCGACTCATTCCTCTGAGATAAATTGCCTCGTGAGTTTCAAAAAGTTTTCCTCGGAAGAGATCGAACTCATGAATTTGCAAGAGGGTACCTTTGGAGTTGTTCGTAACTCAAGATAAACCACGTTTTCGGAGGCAAAGTCTTCGACAACCTGTAAATATCCCGAAAAGGAATGTCAAGATGAAGGTATCTGACAAACTAACGGAACAATTTGATCGGTAAGCATACTTCTTTGGTGATCCTCGTGACAGTCTTGTGGTCAGTAGTAAGAATATGAATCAGATCAAACAACTTGAAAACCTCAGTCAAAGTGCGATCATCTAAAAATATCCAGAAGAAGAAGACGCATCTGTTAGATATGCATTTAGAACAAAGCTGAAGAAGATTCTTGATCTCAAAGGCACGAAGAAACTATATACACAGCGATATATACTACATTGTGATGTAAATATAATCTAATCGATAGTGAAAACCGGCATATTTGACCAAGTAATCAAACTATACCCTCCGTTGGAGAGGTTAAGACCGGAAGTTGAACCTTTTAGAACTGACAGAGATCTAAAGAGTTCAAAACTTACTGACGGTTATATAACCAGAACTGGTAAAAGGACAAAATCAAAACGCTTTCAAGAGATGTTTCATGGATCTGGCTTCATTGCATCTGAGTTTTCTTACCATAGTCCAAGGAAACATCATACATTGGTCAGGAAAGACTGTGAGTTCGTTTGGAACAACTGTTCATCTGATTTGACCAAACTCCAGAAAGATTTATGCATTTGATTAGACTGAATACCGAACTTGAACGTTATTCACAGTCACTACTACAGACCAACATGCCTCGACAACGATTCTGGAAATCAAGCTCAAGAGTAGGGATTTGACGTACTTTTCAGAATGACATTTTCCACGTCAGAGAACAAGATAACACCCTTGTCACCAAGAACCCTAGCAAGCTCTCTGTCCAAAAAAGGAACAAAAACCACAAAACAAGCAGACGTAAATCCTCGAACCCATCATACGTGACGGATCAACAAAGCTCAAAATCGAGTTGGGCATTCGAATTCTCAACAAAAAAAAAAAGCCTAAATTGTTGATAAATTACAGCCAAAACGCACACGAACAGACAAGAAAGGAAACAAGAAGGAAACGGGCATTGGGATTTACAGAAGGGTTGAGTCTCTGACGGAGCCGTTGAGATGAGCATGTAGCTCGATTTTGGGCATGGAGTTCACCCATTCCATCTTATCGCTCTGAGAAGACGTACACGGATTAAACACGAAGAACAGAGAGTACCCTGTTTTGTAGGGACGACGTGATTTATAAGCTAGTCAATTTTGACGAATGATTATAAAAAAACAAAAACAAAAAAACAAATCTAAAAGAAAATACGGAGCTTTTTGTGACCAAAAAAAAATTATCAACCTTTTTTTTTATTTGGCAATTGGGAGCACTGACGGAGTCGGAGATTTTTCTTTTTTCGTCGTGCTGTGCTTCACAACTTGAAACTTCCCACAGCTCATAAGCGAAAAAACGACAACCAAAACTTTGTAATTCATTCGAATTCGACGGATGAGTGGAAAAAAAAGGTTCTTTGGGTCCAAAAGTTCATTTGTCGTCCGGCCTTAAACCCTAGTCCTAATTTAGTAAAGGCCCATTTTACGAATTTGGCGTCATAACGATAAAGGTTGAACCTTTCACCTCCTCTACTTCTCCAGTTACATAGGGCGAGGTCGGTGTTTCGCAGAATCAAATCAATGGCTTCGGCGACTCTTAACGCCGGTCACCGGTGTCTTGGTGCGCCGGTCACCGTTCTGCGCACGTTAGCATCCACCTTTTCTCCTCTGCTTTATCTCACCGATGAACTTCGTTACAAAACCTTTCCGAGTGTCTCCACTTCTTCTTCTTTGAGGAGGTTTACGTGCTTGTCCTTACAGCGCAGTGATATTCTGAGGCAAACCATATCTTGTTCCTCTTCTGGGTATGCTAAATTTTGATTCTTTTTGCATTTTTCTCCAATGGGTTTCTGTTAATTTTGCTCAAGTTTTTAATTTGCCTACTTGTGAGCAACATTATCAAGAATTGGTGTGCCTCGTTGAAAGTGATCGGCTTTTTCGAAGTTCTTTGGATGATACATGGTCGGAGAAAGACCAGCGAGAGTGTTTATGTTTTCACAAAATATCAAGCTGGATTTATGTTGTCTTTCCCGTTAGACATGAACTAAAATCTCATAAGGTTATCTCAGTCTTGCAATTTGGCTGCTGTTTTCGTGACTTCATGGTAACTCATTTGATGCATCGCATTCTGTGTTCTCTTCTAGTTATTTTGAATCTCCAGTTCCTTGCCAGATACCCTGAATATGGCCGATTGATGCCATGCCCTTCGCAGAGCATGCCACTAAGAGTTGAGCATTTGGTCGTCTTAGAAGGGGGTCCTGTTGCTGAGTTTATCTGTAAATCATTGGGTCTTCCTCCTTTGTGAGTATTCTATTTTCCCAATATGGTGTTGTATAAATGTCTTGAGGGTATCCTCTATTTAGGGAAAAGCTGGGATGGAGTAATATGTATACATTTTCATTTTATGAAGATATGTTGCAGATCTTATCCATTTTGGAGCTGTATACTATGCCCTCGTATGTCCTAAGCCCCCGCCTACTGCAACTCCTGAGCAAGTTAGGTTATTTGAAGAAGTGACTTCCCCATCTGTACTGAGCAATAGGACGTCTATCAAAGGGAAAACTGTTCGAGAAGCTCAGAAAACATTTCGGGTAACTCACACAGATCAGTATGTCGAAGCTGGAACTTATTTGCGTGTTCATGTCCACCCAAAACGCTTCCCAAGGTGAAGTAAAATTATCAGATGATTGTTTGGTATTAGCTGTTATGATAATTGATGATCACTTGACGTGAAGAACTTTTACTAGGTGTTATGAAATTGATTGGAAGTCTCGGGTAATCGCTGTCACCGACTCTTATGTTATTTTGGATAAACCGGCTGGCACTTCGGTATGTAAAGTCATTCTATTATGTTTTCTTCTCAAGATGCTTGAACACCATTTTACCAGAATGCAAGAAAATGTGTTGCTGCTGGGTAATCATTGGACTAATACCATTTTATACATAATGGATACGGTTATATGCTTGATGCTAATAATCCTTCTGCAACTCTTTTATGAATTCTTTTAACTTCACTCTTCATCAAAGGTTAAAGGTGCAGAATTGGTGGCTAATTGCTCAGCCAGTCAAGTCTGTTTTACATATTCTTGATGAAAAGGAGAACTATGTTCCATTAGTCTGTCTTTATCTCTGGAACCTTGATGTTCGGCAATTTGATTCTCTAGGTAGGAGGCACCACCGATAACATTGAAGAAAGCTGTGCCACATTTACCACACGCGCACTCGGTTTACCAGAACCATTGAAGACAACTCATCAGATTGATAATTGCACAGAAGGCTGGTGCTGTCTTGTGAAGTTTTTTTTCATCTTGGAAGATTGTTACTTAACATATAACATCTTTAGTGATCAGGTTATCCGCCTTTTTTTCTTCTTTCTCTGCAGTGTTGTCTTTGCTAGGACAAAGGAGTATTGCTCGGTCTTCCACAAAAAAATTAGAGTGAGTTTGTTTCTGCATTTTCTTATATAGTTTCATAAATTGGCTCCTAAAACATGCAATTTTTCTCTCTTATCATCAAGGATAAAGAGGTGAAGAAACTCTATTTAGCTCTTGCTGCGGAACCTATACCCACTGGAATCATCACACATTACATGCGGCCGATTAACATGGCTCCAAGGCTCGTGTCCGAAGGTAACAACTTTTATTTGAACTTTTCATCCACCAAACATAATTTGAACTTTGCTTCTATGAATATTTATATTTACATGATGCAGATCCAATCAAAGGTTGGCATTTGTGTCAACTTGAGGTTTTAGAATGCAAGAAGCTCCCTTGGCCAGATGCAGCTACCGAGAAGAAATACTGCATTGAAGACTGCGGTTGGCGTTCAAAAGAATATGCCTACGAGTGCAAAATCAACCTTTTAACTGGAAAGACTCACCAGGTTGGTTGGTTCATCCATAGTTATCTCCTTCACAAATACCGATTGGATATTTCTATCAAACTCACCCTTGCACAAGTGTTTCATCTATTGCACCCTTTCTTCAAATCTTGGTAATAGATTCGGGCTCAGCTAGCAGCTTGTGGGGCACCACTAGTGGGCGACTCTATGTACATGCCAGCAGCCATAGCAGAAATGGTGAACCCTGGGATCAACCCTTTTGGGAAAATGAAGAAAACATGCATGAGTGAACACGATAGTGAAATCGCGGTTTCTGAATGGATTTCCCAACACGGGAAAGAACCCAGCGTAGGAATTGGTCTTCAAGCTTGTCAAATCGCGTGGAACGATGACACAGAGCATTTATACGAGGCGGGTACTCCATGGTGGAGATCCAATTGCTAATCACATTGATGGTTTGGAGCCTTTTGAGGTTGTTGTCCAAGTCCCTTCGAGATTTTGTGCTCTTTCAGGAAAGCAGAAACCATCAAGAAGAACAAGCTTCTTCTTTTTTTAGGAATTGGTGGCTTACCCATTCAGTGACATCTTCAAAAATTGAGGACCTTGATTTGAGGGCTTCAGGGTAAGACAGACAAAACTTCATTCTTCTCGGGACTCTTCAAGCAAGAATCTGAACCAGACAGCAATGCTACCCAAAGCAAACACAATCTCTAAAGGTTTAAACTATGTATTTCTCTTATTATGGATCTTTAATCCAATGATCTGACGACCAATGTGACAAAAAAAAAAAAGACATTTCTCTGTTTATCTATTCAAAGCTATGTGGGTGTGTCATTGTGTTCTTAGCTTACCAAGATTTTGCAGGCCAAATCCTGAAACGAGTTTCCATTTATTTTAAAAGAGCCGCAGATTCAGAGGACATCTCGATCTTGAATATAATTTGGTGTCAACTGAAATTATAGAAATAAGAGGGGTTGAAGGAGAAAAATAATTAAATATGGGGGTGAAAATATATTTTCCCGTCTGTTTTAAAGGATCCCTTAAATCAGAAATTGGGTTTAGTTGATTCCTCCAATAAATACCGCGCCAAAATAGATATCTCTAAAAGTATTGAGGAAAAATGAAAAATGAAAAATAAAAAATTGTCTCTCTAAAATTTTCCTTTGTCGCTCGCTCTGTCCCTCCCTCGATGGTGGCAATTCTCGCGATTTCATGGTGGACAGAAACCCTAACCCTATGCCTCACTGTTTGTTGCTGCTGAATCCGAATGGAATCGGAGAAGGTCCTGAACACTAGGCTTCTCTCGATCAACAGCGTTCGCAGCAACAAAGCCATGCCCGTTGAGCTACCTCAGAAACCGCCGCCACCGTCGCTGCTCGACCGGTTCAGGGCCCTGCTTAGTCAGCGCGAAGAGGAGCTCAACGCCGTCTCCGGAGAGGATGGAGTTACGCCGCTACGCACGGAGGAGATTGTTCATCTCTACGAGGTCGTTTTGGCCGAGCTCACATTCAATTCCAAGCCCATCATCACTGATCTCACCATAATCGCCGGGGAACAGCGGGAACATGCCGAAGGCATTGCCAATGCTATCTGCGCACGAATCCTCGAGGTTTGTTGCCTGTTTCGTTCTTTTGGTATCCTTGCGTGGTTCGAAGCCTTATGTGATTTTCTCTGTGGGATTGTAAGAAAGATAAGGTTTTCGATTCGCAGAGTCGTATAGAGAGAAAAGTGAGGTTTTTACTTTTTGGGATTTGCAGCGTTCCGAATTTGTTGTGGCATGAGATTGATGTGGAGAAGAGTGTTGAAACGGGACTGAGTAAATTATTCTGATATGCGTACATGGATATGCAGGTTCCAGTTGAGCAAAAGCTGCCTTCTCTCTATCTTTTGGACAGTATTGTTAAGAACATTGGGCGAGAATACATCCGTTGCTTCTCTTCCCGTTTACCCGAGGTGAGCAGACAGTAGCAAAATAACTGCCTTATCTTTTGCATATTGTTGACCCTAAGCTAGTTGGATCCAGAATTGGTAGAAGTTTTGGATCATTGATTATGCCTTGTATGGTGCTGTAGCTCTTCTGCGAGGCATACAGGCTAGCACATCCGAGTGTGCATCCTTCGATGCGCCACCTGTTTGGGACATGGACATCTGTATTTCCATCTTCTGTATTACGCAAGATTGAGTTGCAACTGCAGTTTTCTTCTGCCGCCAACCACCAATCTTCTTCGAGGACTTCTGAACCTCCTCAACCAACAAGAGGCATACATGTGAATCCAAAGTATATACGCAGGCTGGAGCCTTTGGCTGCAGAAAGTGTAAGCTTTACTTTGTGTTTAGTTTCTATCACTATACTTAATAAGCTTTCTTTGACTGGTCTAAATACATAGTGGTCTTCATTATGCATTTATTTGGCAAATACATCAGCAGATTCCCTGATAGTCATGACTCATGACTGAATATATTTCTCTGCGAGTTAAGGTGGGAATTCTTATTTTGTCTGTAACAAGTAAACAATTAAGAATTGAAAGATTAGTCATATTCTCTGTATTTTATTTTTTTCTCAGTTGTTCATCATAGTGTTCTAGAATGTTTTACATTCTGATGATTGAGCTTGTTAGAGGCTAGAGAAAGTTTGTTTAGAATAGGTGCTCTCTATATGTTCTTCTTCACCAGTTGTTTCTTTGAAACAATCTAGATTGTGGGGCACTCTGATGGATGAGCTGGTTAGAGTTAAGATAAGGCTGTTTCTATTAGACTATAGCCATTCTGGAATTATGCATCTTTTGGCATTAGTTGCTTTCTTGTGTGTTTGAGTGAAACATGCTGAAGTCTTTAGTACAAGAGTTCTAAACTGCTCTTGCATGATTTGCAGACTTTGAGAGGAGTCAATTCTAGTGAAAGAGTATATGGCCAAAATTCTGTAGCTGGATATGATGATCCTGAAGATCAGTTAGAGGGTCCATCTTCTCTGATAGGAACAAGAGCTAGTGCAGTAGGAAAATTTTCCCGCGTATCCTCGGCAATTGGAGGTAATTATTCATCGACCTTCAAGTTTGGAGCTGCAAGACCTCTGTTTAGTTGGTTTAAATAGGTGCTTATCCCCTGACCTAAATGACTTCGCAGGTGGAGCTGACAGTTTTCCTAGGAGATTTAGTGACGGGGCATCTGCTTTTAATCCAGCCCTTAGTTACGGAGTCGGTCATTCCACAGGCAGAGATGATGAACAAAGTGAATGGCGAAGAAAGGACATACTGCGCAATGGAAATTATCGCCAAGGACCCAGAGCTTTGATTGACGCATATGGAGTTGACACTAGCAAACATGTTACAAACATTAAACCAATTCACTCGGGAAAGATTGATATAAATGGTATGCAGGGTACGGTGGCTACGACATCATGGCAGAACACTGAAGAAGAAGAGTTTGATTGGGAGGACATGAGCCCTACACTGGATCGTAGCAGGACTGGTAAATTTCTGAGATCATCCCCCCCAGCAGTAGGAAGTGTAAGGGCAAGGCCCAGATTAGGTAACCCTAGTGATTTTCTATTAGAACTGAACCTGATATTAAGGACAGTGTTATTAATCATAATCAGCTACAAGGAAAACGTAATTTGACACAAAAATTTCTCCCGTTCATCTTAGCTTATTAATACTAGAGTAGAGAAGGAGTTGAAAGTGTCTGTTCCTTTTGTAGGTTTATCGTCATCGAGCAGTGAATTGGAGGTTCCTCCATTTGACAGGGGCTCTTCTGTGCTATCAAGAATCGGACCTTCTGGTGCTGATTCTATCCCCGATGGATTGAAACCACCAATATCAACAGGGACATGGTCACATTTAAATGTGCGTGGATCCCACTCTCTACCTGTACCTTCTATTCACTTGCAACATTCGGTTAATCCTGGTAATGGAATGTCAAATCGCTTGCCTGGTAAGCCTTTGTATAGGCCTGAGAACCAGGTTTCCCAGTCATATAGTCATTTTAATTCTTTGACTCAACAGAACCAGTTGCAAATAAACTCTTTGGCATCTTCGTCTGCAATGGCTCCAAGGCCAATGCAGCCTCTGGTTCCTCATGTAAGTCACGGATACCATCCACAAGGGCCAACAATTAGACCCCCTTTACCGATACATGGTGTACCAAATAATTCTTTCAGTGTGGGGGGTGGAGCCATGCCTCCTCTTCCTTCAGGGCCTTTATGTCAGTTAGGATCCGTCTCTCAGAATGTATCATCAGCAATCTCTAATCAACCACCAGGAGCATTTTCTGGTCTGATTGGCTCTCTCATGGCTCAAGGTTTGATATCATTAAACAATCAGCCTGCTACCGAGGTAGCCACTCAAATTGTCTTCTCAGATATATCACTCCATTGCTTTCTTATCACAGCATGTTGATCAGTTAGTTTATATGTAGGATTCGCTGGGGCTTGAATTTGACGCGGACTTGATCAAAGCACGTCATGAATCTGCAGTAAGTGCTTTATATGCGGATCTACCAAGACAATGCACAACATGTGGTCTTCGTTTCAAGTGCCAAGAAGAGCACAGCAGCCACATGGATTGGCATGTTACAAGAAACAGGATGTCCAAGAGCCGTAAGCAGAAGCCTTCTCGGAAATGGTTTGTAAGCGCTAGCATGTGGCTTAGTGGCGCAGAGGCACTGGGAACTGAAGCAGCGCCTGGGTTCTTACCGGCTGAACCAACAGAAGAAAAGAAAGACGATGAAGAGTTGGCTGTTCCAGCCGACGAAGATCAAACTTCATGCGCGTTATGTGGTGAGCCATTTGAAGACTTCTACAGTGATGAAACCGAGGAATGGATGTATAGAGGTGCCGTGTACATGAATGCCCCCGATGGTTCAGCGGCAGGCATGGAGAAGTCTCAGTTAGGTCCTATAGTGCATGCAAAATGCAGATCAGAGTCCAATGGGGTAAAAGCTTTTCCGACGTCTTCCCCCTCCCCCCCCCCAAAAAAAAAAACCATGTGTTTTAATCTCGTGAACTTCATTTGCATACAAACAACTTTGAATCTGTCATAATTTAAGCCGGTAAATTCCATCCAGCCGATAAACTCTCTTTGTCTAATGGTTGTTTTTTTCTTTTCAGGGTGATATGGAAGAGGGTAATCAAAGAAAAAAAATGCGGAGTTGACCCCGTTTGACAGACTTGTAGGTCCTTAACTTTATAATATGAGTTTGTTTCTTCTTCTGCATCATCATCTATCTGCATTTCTGCACCCAATACTTTACGCATCTACCGTCTTCTGATCTGGAATTCTTGTATTACCATGCACAAAAAGAGGTTACGTTCTGCCATATTCCATGCCCTCTAAACCCTATTGCGAGCTAGGATGCATAGTTTTCTTGCTGGAAACGTTAAATAAACAGAAAATTTATCAAAACCAGACAGTGACGGATCACAGAGTCTGTGGATTGCTGTGTCTGTATGTTGTTGCTTTTGGCATGTTGAGATATTGCAGGGGAAGAAGCTTGAGAAGTCTCTTTCCGGACAACAAGATTCTTTGATGGGTTTGAGTTGAGATCTCATCTGCATAAAATTGGGGGTTTTGAGACTGTTTATGGTTTTTTTTTTTTTACATTGAAGAACATAATTGAAGGGATGGAACGATGTCAAACAGGATCATAATTAGAGGCCGATGTGTTCATGCTGTTTCTTTTGCATTTTTTTTTTATAAATGTTTCTTTTGCATTTGTGTTATGGACTGAACAATTTTTCTTTTCAACAGTATGTATCTTTTTCAAATGTGACGTTTAATAGTCATTCCATTCAGGCATTTCTCAATTGAAAACACCGTCTTGTCGGACATTGTGAAGAGACGACACTTAAATAACGCAGTTTTCATCACATATTACGTAATGTCAATGCCACAAAGAGGCGACGGATACAAACAAAAACACGTTACACTTTGCCGAATAAACAAAAGAAACAGAACGGCGTCAGATTGTCAACAACGAACGTGATGAGAGAGTCGTCCAGCGTTTTACTAAAGAATCCTAAACAGCAACTACAGACCCTAAAAAGACAACGATGAAGATTGGTCTCAACAAAAGGAAACGATTCCAGCAGAAGTCAATACCCGAACCTCTTTACCCTTCTTTCTCAGCCCGAGGGTCTCTCCTCTTTCGCACACCCGACCAGAGAATAAACGCAAAAGGTGCGTTCTTGACTTCCTTTGGAGATTCAAGAAACCAAAAAGAAAACGATATCGATATATAACAAGTAGATCTGCTCAAGCTTGCACACACTTAATTCTTCTCGGTTCTGCAACAAAGACAAAGACAAGTGATGTTTCTTAACTGTGCAAGAAGTCCGACCAAAAGATCTTTGACTGTATAAGACCACATTTTATGGATCCTACTCGTTCTTGGTGACATCACCTTTGCATTCAAGAACATACCTGAACAAACTGAAACTTCCATAGTCAGGCCCCATCACAGGAGACAGCGGCTTTGATCCGCTCGACCGTGCATTTGATCAGACTGTTGACGGTAGCCACTGACCCGAGAGATAGCTTAGCCGTCGGAACAGAATCCACAAGTATCTGAAATGCAACTGTGAGAAGGGAACCGCATCCACCGGAAGACGAAGCCACTTCTTGATTTTCCTCTCCTCCTCCCGCCCCAACTCCATTTCCACCTGATCCGTCCGGCAGAATGGCAAACCCTGACGGCAACAGTGCCACGTAATCAGGGTCCCCGCCGCTCAGCACCACGTTCATGGCCACAATGTCCACCGGCGCATATATCACGTACGACCCTGTCGCGTCCGTACAGCTCTCTTGTAGGATCAGCATGTTGCTCTGGCTCGAGTTCCCACTCTGTTTCATCACCGCAACCCATGGAAAAAGTTCGAATTTTTATCCCCAGAAAACGAGGAAGCGATCAAAGGGTTCATATAATATGGAACAACGAATCTCGAAATCTAACAAGAAACTTCAGATTCTTACATTGACTCGGAGCAAGGAGACACAGTTTCCAGGATCGCGGCCATTGGCGATATGAGCCATCTCTTGAATGAGCCCTCCATTTGAGAGAATATCCCACTGCGAATTTCAAACCACAAATCACCAAAAACCATCACTTTGACCCCAAAATGTAAATCGTGAAATCTAGAAAGAAAATATAAACGGGTCGAATCGGAATACCTCGCTTCTGGAATTCTCATCGCGGAGGAAATCGAAGACCCGTTTCGGCGGAACAGGGATCCAGAACGAAGTCGCGGCGCTGAGGACGATGCCCGGCGGCCTTCCCGGGTCATCCATGCTCTTTCGGGTCATGACCCGAACATCGTCGGATCCTGTCGCCGACAATGTTGTCCAAGCGTGTGCAGTCGACGCGCCTACGCCGCTGCAGAAGCTCATCACCATCCTCTCCGCCAGCTTCAGCATGCTCTTCCTCCCTTCAGGGCTCGTTATGACTTCGATAATTACCCAGAAATAAGGGGACCGGATTAGTAAATTCGTTATTTTTCAATTCGGTCCCATACATTTTATATCATTCAGAATAGCCCTCAGCCGCCAGGATTCAGATGTAATTTTAGCTTACCGGAAAGATCTCCAGCCGGAATGTTACTGGCCATGGAACTGGCGAGCCTCTCACACTGACGATCGAGGGTAGCGACCCAACGTTTCGCCCCGAAAGCTAAACCGGTAAGAACCAGTGGTTTGTACATGTTGTGAACCGATCTATCATCCACTTCCACATGCTCCACCCATGTCACCTTCACCATCGCAATAAAACCAAAACCTTTTTCAGTTCACTGCATTTCAAATTATGAACCCTAATACTTAATCTGGCTCTCTCGTATGCTTTACCTTTGAATATCCGTTTGGCAGTTCTTGAATCAGACAACCTGAGGGCCTTCTTCTGCTTCTGGAGATCGGACTTGGTCGTAGGCTGTCCAAAGAGACGTCCACAACTGCCCACGTACCTTCGCTGTGTTGTTTACAGTACCTCACAAAGTAGTTCTCGCGAGTTGGAACGAGTGGGGACGGGACTTGGAACTCAGCTGTCATCTGCAGATACAAGAAAAAATACCGATTGAACGCATCATCACAGCATTTTGTAAAGCAACTTGTGATGCAAGTAATCTAATTCTGCGATATTAGATTGTCGAAGGCTACCACTTGCAAGGCGCCATTGTAGTTCCCTGCGACTCCGGTTGAGAGAACTTCTAATGTCATTGCTCTTGAAACGATTCCACTGAAGACACATGACCACTGATTCTGTCATCCAAACAGCGAAGGCAAGAGCTAGCTTCAGTCATTCGTCTATGCGAATTACAAATATTAAGACGGGTTGAAATTATATATGAGAATCGAAGAAGGGGAAATTCGCATATGTACCACATCCATGAGAATCTCGATCAGATTGATATGATTCATAATAACAACGGCAGACTCTCTTGATGCTTCCGATCTCATGCCTAGAGGCTTCGGCCCAATCCCTCGGGGAAAAGTTCTGAAGTATTCTTCTTCGTTGAGAATCTCGGCCGAGTTTTCACCAGGAACCCATAAGGGCTCGCCGGACTGAGCCATTCTGACAAGCTCCTCCATGGCAGCAACCGCAAGCTCGACGATCATAGGCTTATCTGCCTCAGAAGGGATCGAAACCGACCTGAGAATGTCTCCTGCCCCGTACATTTCCCCTACAAACCCTGTCTGATTTCCAAAGTTCCCAACCTCGAGATCAAGCGAACGCGAAGGCATGTGGGACGGGAGATGAGGATAAGAAGAAGCCAATGGCTTCCCAACGTATTTCGCAGCAATGGCAGAGATTCTGTCAATCTGAATATACATATCCAACATCACAATGACCCAATGATCAAAGATTCAGATTCAAATTCAGTTTCAGATTAAGGTAGTGTGTGGTTTTTGATAGTTACCTCTTCGCGGAGACGAGCATTCTCGATCCTGAGATGTTGTTCATCGAAGGACATCTCCCCGAGAGCAGCTGGGCCGCCGCAGTTAGGGCAAGTTGCATTGCTGAGAGCTTCTTTGTACCTGTTGTTATCCGCCCGGAGCTTGTCGTTCTCAGACTTCAGTATTTGATTCTCATGCCGCTCATGTTGCGCCTGTGTATGTATACATACATATATACATACACACACAACCCCCTCATCAAAATGTATATGACTTATAAGCAGATTCAACACCAATGAAATTTAGCACTTTCAACATAGACTTGGAAACAGTCTTGGTAAATTTAGTTCAACATCATGGATAAACATGAGGTTATATAATCATACTTGGACAAAATGGATACTCCGACCAATGTTCCAATCAGACCAATGTCAAGATCAAACGATCCCTTTTTATATTAAGACCAAACAAAGTGAACCATAGTTTTTGGATGACAGAATAACATTGCTAACATGCATACATTTTGTTATGAGTCACCTCTACAATTAAAGAATTGCTTAAGATCACTTTTTATATTAAGAAAGAAGAAGGATCATATATACAAAGGGTTATATTCACCTTCATCTGGGTTCGTTTGTTTTGGAACCAAAACTTAATCTGAAGAGGCTCTAGCCCGAGCTCTCGGCTCAACTCTTTCCTTTGCTTATCATCTGGATGAGGACACTCCTTAAAGAACCTGAAAACCCAACCCCCAAAAACATGAACCCTAAACCCCAAATCCCCAAAACACACAACAAAAATACATAAAGAGTCATAAACTGGGAAGCTGAAGAAATTTGCTTACGCCTCGAGTTCTTGAATCTGGCGTTGAGTGTGGCGGTGGTAACGCTTCTTCTTGGAGGGACGTTGGTTCGGGTCTTGGAGCTCCTCGCCCAATGGATTCTCCGTGGTGCCGTCAGTGCCGGATTTCGTCTCGAAATCATCTTCTCTACTCTGAGTTATCCCCAAGTCATTATCAGAGCTCTTCGGGGTCATATCGAACATGAGATGACTCTCGAACATGTTTGGATGATACATGATGATGATGATGGATGTATCCCAAAAGGAAATTAATTGGATCTCTTCAAATCTCCGAGGAAGCGTATTTAACTTGATTTTCTTCTCCAAGTATCTTCCACTGCCCGAAAACAATCAATTTGGTCAAAGGATGTGTGTGAAAAAATGGTCGTGAATTTTATAGGAGACTATGGCCATGAGGTTAATGGAAGAAGATCAGTGTAATAAAGAAGGCGATCTCTAAATCTTATATGCAACTGCACATACATACCTTTAACATGTGATTTTCTCCCTTTCACAAGCAATAAAAAAAGAATATACATATCCCCTCTCTCTTTTTTAGTTCTTCTTTTGTGTGTGTGTGTGTGGTTACACATATATATACATATACATGTGTGTGTGTATATATAGATGCGCACACGTATTCCTCTCGTCAAAAAGAGGAATGATGACTACATGTATTCTTATATAGTAAAATGTGAATATAACCCATCTGATCTTGAACGAAGACAAGATACTAAAACGGAATATTCAAAATGATCATGAACGCGACAAGATGAAGAAAGAGGCGACGAAGGTCCACAACCATACACTGTACACACATATACACAAAAGCATGTGTGTGTGTATGTATATATGTATATATACATACAAGATCAAATCAATCTTGACTCGGCAACATTGGATCTATCGTCCGGAGAAGGAAAAATTAAAGAAAGAGATTATATATATGTATGATGACAACGACGATGATGAGGACGACAAACATAATATATAATGTCTCCAAGAAACCCTAGCCGAGCTAGAAGCTAGCAGACGAAAGAAGATGTATTTAAATATATACTTACGTTTGTAACTCATCGCTATATTGGGTCAGATCCGAACTGAAGATTGTGTGTAAAAAAACTTCGAAACCCTAAAGACAGACACCTCTTTGTTCATGAGATTTTTTTTAAAAAAATTCTAGGGTTGGTTTGCTCGGTTGACGTTTTGGGTCTGATTTTGAAGAACCTTCTCTCTCTTTCTTTTCTCTGTCCAAAACAAAAAAAAAAAAGATAAAAGGAGAGATTCACGAAACCACAAAAATTGCAAAAGCAAAAGAAGAAATGGTTTTTATTTCTGCAAAAGTCTCCGCTCTTCAGAATTTTAAAGAATTAAATTGACCTTGGTCTACGTGCCACAATGGACCGTTTCTAGTAAAATTAATTGGAAAAATAGGGTAATTATAATTTAATAAAATGCGTAGGGGGAGTAGATATAGCTTAGTTGAAGAGTTGACAAGAAGTCAACACTCTTTTTTGACACATTACATTACAACACACACCAAGGAAGATTTCGTCAAACCCCTTAAAAATTCCAATTCCATAGAGTTTCGTAACGCCTTGCTTAAATCGTCATTTCCCTCGTTGAAAGAGAGAGAAAGTGCACACAAACACGCGCAAAAGAGATAAAAATGGAGATCAATTATATGTATATAAGCAACGGGGAAGAATAGATTATACGGACATTAATTAAAACATACAATATTGGATCAGTAAAAGTCTGGAATATTTTGATATCATGTGCTTGAATTTACTTGGAAAATCCAAGAGTGAATAGCTTATGTATATATATATATAGAGAGAGAGAGAGAGAGATCTTACTTATCGGGGCGGAGAAAAATTAGGGTTGAGCAGGAAACAGCGAACAAGAAACCCTAGTTTCAGACTTTCTATGGTTTTCTTTCCTCTTAGGCTCAGCTTCTCTGGTTTTGCTACCAAACAAGAAAACCGGGAAAAAGGGTACCGTGGTAGGGTTCCGGTTAACCGGCGGGATACCGGAAAACCGGTTTTCTGGTTGTCTCACGCCGTAGAGAGAGAAAGAATTTTGGTGAAACGGAGATCTCAACTTGGTGGAGAGAAGAAGAAGACGAAAGAAGAAGAAGGGGACATGCGTTGAGGATGTGGCTGTAAAAGGAGTTATTGCGGAGCGCATAGAGAGGGTGCAATTGCATTTATGATATTGAAAACCTCCATTAATGCTCCTTAGAGAGAGAAAGAGAGAGAGAGAGAGATTCAGCTCATCTCATGTTTGAATAGTTTTTGGGTTTTTGAATGTAGTAAATTTCTCCGAGGACTTGTGTCTTGACTTATACTTTGCGTCTCCTCATGATCCCTTTTTTTTTTTTCACTGTCTTTCACTTATTGGATTCTCGTACGTCGACAAAACCAAAGACATGCAGAGGAGAGAACGATTAAATTATCGTCTATAGTACCATGTCTTTCATTATTGCTTTTAATTACCGAATATTTTATTCTTCTTTAGATGTGATTAATTAATCAACTCGGTCTTTATATATGTGTGTTCTCATTGTACTTTTACATATGTCCCAAATGTATGGAAATTAATGTAAATGCTACCTCTCTCCTTCTCTTCTATATGTAAATGATTTTCTATAACTTTTTTATAATCCGAAAATTCACCAAATCTTCGACCCAATTATATTTTTTTATTCAGAGAAATAAAAAAACCCATGTGAATATCCCTCTAAATAGAAATTCGAATCCGAATTGGAAAAGAATTTTACCCGCTCTCTTTACCAGTTGAATAATCCAAGATAATTTTCTCTATTTTTTCATATAATATCTTAGTAATAGAATGTTCTTAATTCATTATACATATAGTGCGTATATGGTTTACTAATTGAATAAATTAATCATTGGAAGAAAAAAAACATGTGATGCTCCTAATTTCTTTATACGTTTTTAATGTTTTCATAAGCAAAGTTGGATAGGTCAGAGGTAATCCACATTAAAGGAATTTATTACAATACTGTCCATCCTCTATATTTTGCGAGTATACATGTATATACATACACGAGTGAGTGTATATAAAAATAAAATGCCTCGTTTTTAAAAAAAAATGGTGTGTAAGCACATACATACGGGATTGGATCCTCTCGAGTAACAAAGGAAATAGATGAATTCAATTGAGAAGTAAAAGGCGACGACAAAACAAATGTAAATGAAAAGTTTGGAGTTATATTAATTAATGGTTTTGTTTAATTAATTAATTATGTTAATTAAAACGGCCACTCGATTGGATGACTAATGCAGTTGGGGAGCGAATCTTTTGTGGACCATACATTGTTCAAGAAGTACAGCTCATATATACGTAGGTAAGTGCACAATACATGATACATATACTCCTACATCTATACATGTATATACACGCTAGCGCTCATATACACGAGTATATATATATATATATATATATATATATATATATGTGTGTGTGTGTCATGTCTATATCAATAGCCCTAAATCAATTGTTTCTAATATCTCTAACATTAGTTTTATTAGTTCATATAAATGAAAGGAAATTAATCTTAATTTCACATATATGTGCTCAATGAAACTTTTAGTATATCCTAAAATAATTGTTTTTTTTATTATATTCGGGAATGAGTGTGTGTATATATATACTTCAGTTTTCTGTAGATTATTATGTATAGAAAGAGTGAGGTTAATTACGTGATAAATACATAACTAGGAAATAATTACATTTGAGTTTGCTCAATCCACGAAAGACGTTAATTAATGTCCTAAAGGCGACATGATTCCCTCATGGCGTGTTCTACGTGTGACATTCGAGCAAGCTATATATGGTTTCGTAGTTTTATAACCACACACATACGCACTACTTATTTAACGAGAAAGTGACAAAATTTACTTTATGAATGTTCTTTCATGTGTATGAACGAACGTCTCAAATCAGTGCATATGAGACAAAAGAAAATTGTAAATAGAGATCGGGATAAAATAAAAATTCTTCCTTACCTCGGGTCCTCTGGTCATGCTCAGCATCAGCAAACAAGTCTCGAACATTCTTTTCTGTCTCACCCACAAACTTGCTCAGCACCTCAGGACCGTTAACGATCTAACATTGCACCAGAAGAACAGATGTATTAACATTTAGAGATTGGCAGAAGAAAGATAGTGAATCTGGTTCCTAGAAATGAATCTCTTGGTCTGTTTGACAAAAGCAGCTAGGATGGCATTATTCCAGAAACTATAGACCATCAAGATGTGGAGAAGATGTATAAAATAGCAACATATATATATATATATAGAGAGAGAGAGAGAGAGAGAGAATAGCGGAGACGTAAAAAAAATGTTACTGCTTGGGAGTAAATTGAACTATACGACATTCTATTATATAAAAGAATAAAAATTTTCGGGCCACATATATGTATATAGATAAAATAATTCAATACATATATATATATATATATATATATATATATATATTATACGACGTAATAGAGCATACTGATACTATTTTAATTCTTCTATGTCAGGTCGACACAGGGGTGCATTCATGGATGCTAATGCGTTTATCGAGACGACACGCATTGTACTGTGCTTTCATTCGAGGGACACCAACAGCGGAAGAAAAACGACAGGTAGTTGTATCTGGTACGTCGAAAACGTCATGATGTGTAGGGATGGACAAAGAAGTAATTGAATCAATATCGTGGGGGCAATTACGTAAATGGAGTTGCAGAAATGTTGGGACGTCATCTTCCAATAATAGCTAGTGGGAAGGAGTGCGACTGCTACCCACCAACTAACTCATTAAATTCCTCCAAATATACGTTTTTTTTTTCAATTCTAGAGAATTTTCCATACTCAGTATTATTTTAGAAAATATATACCACACTGTTATATAATACTATATATTTTACTTTATTTTGCCAAATAATGATTATACTTTGCCAAAAATAATAATATTAGATGATACTCTTACGTATTTGAATCAGGATTTATGGATAGTGATATAAAAGTAATCAATTATCTAGATATGTGGCATTCCCAATTCCAAATTATCACGTTTAGGATATTTATTGACAATAAAATTTATAGAGGTACCATAAACTTGCATGTAGCTCAGTAATATTGGTCACATATCCAATGTTATTGATTAATTTTAATTATTTAAATTAATTTTATATAAAATAAAAAAAATCAGCATTACGTTTATACGGTATTTTAGAAGAAAGGAAATCCATAAGTTTACACGTGGATAATATTTCTATATATAAATATATTTTACTGATTCAATGCACAATTGAACTTAACTAAATGTACAAAAAATGTCAAAACGTGTTTTTTTTTTTTTTTTTTTTTTTTTTGGGGTTTGATGCTTCGAAGACATTTGAAGATTCGTTGGGAATATAGAATGGTGGACGGTTGTGAGATTTTTTTTTTTTAAAGAAACAATTGTTAGATTCAGTTGGAGTTTAGTAAATATGCATTAAAACCGCTGCATCTTTGTGGGTTTTGGAAAGGAACGGGACATCGCCTTTTATTTTTTTGAACATTAAATTCAAATTTACAAATATTTGAAAGCCTCGTCTCATTAATTTGAGTTGACATGAAAAGTTCTCAACTCCATACAAATAAACATGTGTATGTATATGTATATACATCATTAAAAAAATTTATATAATATAGTCTAATAAGTTTATACGATAATTTTTTTTTTCTGGATTCAGTTATTATATAACTAAGATAGTTATATTAATGGGTGAATTTGTTTGGATGAGAAATTCATCCTTTGCTCTTCTTTAGTGTATACACGTGACTACGAGAAAAAAAACACGTGCGTGTATATAATATTCTCGTGACATAAAAAGAGGTCAGCGAGCAGGCCGATAAAAGCCCAGATGTAAGCCCAATATCTACGTGGCCCGATGGAGAAGAAGAAATGAGACATGGTACAGTGTAAAGAGCCCACGCCCGACCGTGGTGGCTCGAAGCCTCGAACCCACGTTTAGCATCAAAAAAAAAAAAAAAAAAAAAAAAAAAAAAACTCACTAACCATCCGAGTTGACTCGGTACAAAGTGTAAAAGGCCTGTCGGAAAATCTTGCTGAGTAAAGCAGCAGCCGAAACAGCGGAAAGACGAAAAGCTAGATTCGGACGACGTCTTGAAGGCAGTCGAAGAAGTGAGTGAGCTTAATCTTCTCCATTCCGGAATAGATCGCCTCTGCAGACCCGCCACGCTCTCCCTGAACCGCCATCTCGATCAGCATGTATAGTTTCTTGATAGGCATCTGACAAAAAAACATTACAAAAAAAAAAACCAGTGAGGACGAACGTTATCAGTATCGGTAAAGATAACGAGAACATAGAACAATTGTGAAGAGCTCGCTAGTTGCTGCTCACATCATTGAGGGCCTCGGAAGCTGAGTTGATATCATCTTCGTCAAACACGTTTAACCCCTTCAGCACTTTATTCGCGTCCTCTGTCTTGACAGTCGGGACATGGTACGAGACAGAGAAGGCATCACATATTCCGACAGAATCTAAGAAGCTTACTTCACTTGTGGTCCCTATTACCAGAAGTTTCTTGCCCTGACAACAACCACAAGATTTCCCCAAAGGTGGAAAATTTATGTCAGGCCCCAAATGGTTTTACCAACAAACGAACAAAAACCAACAACTTTTATTTAGTTCAGCCTCGGAAAATTGTCTCGAGATCATGAATGAAGAAGTGGTATAAAACACCTTAGGAGGGAGTCGTTTGAGAAGGACCAACAGGGTCTGAGAAATTATGTTTGAGAACCGCGGGCCAATTGCTACATACTCCAACAACCTGCAAGCCATAGTGATCCAGAAATTGAGCCGAAGTAAAGAATCCACACGAGGAAATGCAAAGGATGCTGAACAGATTGTGTGTAAAAAAACTTCGAAACCCTAAAGACAGACACCTCTTTGTTCATGAGATTTTTTTTAAAAAAATTCTAGGGTTGGTTTGCTCGGTTGACGTTTTAACTGTCGACTGAACCGACCTTTCGATATCGTCAAGGATAATTATGCTTAGTGGTGATTTGTACGCATCCTCAAACACCTATCTCATTCACAACCGTAAAACCAAGAGTCGATACACAACATAACGAAGAGAAAATGAAGGAGGGACAGCGTTTGAAATGGACAGACCTTGACAATGTGGGCACACTTTGTGCTCTCATGTAGACCGATCATGGATTCAGCCGAGACCTACCAAAATATATATATAAAAAAGTTTTGAATAAAGGCACAAAGGGTAGAACCCAAACTGTCTTAAACAGAGGAGGAAGAATACTTACTATCTTGACATATGGGAAGCCACTATCAATCCCAACAGTTGCCCCCAATGCGGTTTTCCCACTGTTGAGAAAGCTTTGAATCAGCAAAAGGTACAAACGGGAAAGCGAACAAGAGGAGATACAAACTATTGATAATCAACCTGCCGCTTGGTCCCTCCAGAAGGCAGGTGACCAGAGGACTTCCTTTGCTAACTTTAACTTGCTCGACCAGTAGCATAGCTCTTTGATAAATGTGATTATGACGATCACCACAGTCCACCATGCCATTGAGCCTACATACATGACCGGGTTGATCAATAATCAGAGTGACAAGCAAAAAGGACACATATCACATTGCCAATTTCCCGGCCAATAAGACACACACACAGATAAAAGGAAGAGAAAGCTGACTGCAAAAAAGAAATTTAAAAAAAACGCACAAACCACAGTAACAAAAATTATGAAATAAAGACAAGCAAAGATACACTATGACTGCAAGGATCAGACTTAATTCAATTTCAAGACTTCAAGTAGTTGCCCATCTATCTGCAATCCAACTAGTTCTACAGAACTGCCTGAATTCTTTTGAGAAGTAAAGTCCTTTTTCTTCAAGTGAGAAGTGATTCAAGAAAATTACCTGCAGCGTTCAAGATCGTCCGTGGAAGCTCCAAATGCAGGTCGAACTTCATGGAGAGCATGGATAAAATCCTCCATAGAAACCTTAATACTCTCTTCATCCACTTGCTTCGTTAGATCATCCATGCTCAGTTGCCTGTTCAAAGCATATGATACTGCACTTTTCACGACACCTTCAAGTTCTGCACCACTGTAATTCTTCGTCCGAGCAGCTAGTCAAATATAACAGAAAAATCATGTAGCTGTTCAACGGTTCTGGAGTTACAGAACTCAGAAGTTTTATCTACGAATAATCATACCAAGCTCTTGGAGATCTACATCAGCAGCGAGGAAAGAATTCTCCTTCATCTTGTTTGTGTGGATTTGAAGAATTTGTAAACGTCCAGATTCATCTGGAAGGCTTATCTCAACCTGAACCTCCAATCTTCCAGGCCTATGTAGTAGAAACAAAAATGTCAAAAATAGGCATCTAATAAACTCAACCCAACAATTAATATCAGCAAAGAGTAGGCTTTGGCTGATTTCCTTCCAAATGAAAAACAACACACCACAGATTAGGATATAAAGACACATTTCATTATCTTTTGCGGCCACGACTGTATCATAGGTGGAACAGCGAAAGCAACTAGCAGATGTAAGAGAATAACCTTAGAAGGGCTTCATCAAGCAAATCTTTTCTGTTAGTCATTCCAATAAGCAAAACATTGTTCAAGGCCTCCACACCATCAATCTGAAAAGCAAATTGTCAGCCACACAGTGAAAACTCTGAATCTTTTAACATTAGCTTGATCTATGGCTGACCTTTGTGAGGAGCTGGTTAACAATACTGTCATGGACACCTGTGCCATCTCTGGTTGATCCTCTTGACTGGATAGGCAAAGCATATGATTTCTCAGATTTTCGAAATTGTATTCCATACAAACAAATGATATTGAATCTGATACACATATTTACAACTCCAAAGCGGGAAACCGCATATAGCCCCACAATAATATGTCGTATAATTCTATTTGCTACAATCAATGGAGAAATGTATAGCACGAAAGGCAACAGAAGTATGTTTCAGACTTCAAAAAAATTTCTCCAACAAGCACAGAAAATCCGTGTACCTTACAGATAGCATCAATTTCATCGAAAATAATTACATGCAAGTCACTTTCATCACCTGAAAAAGTTGAAAAAGAATCTCAAATCAGTGCATATGAGACAAAAGAAAATTGTAAATAGAGATCGGGATAAAATAAAAATTCTTCCTTACCTCGGGTCCTCTGGTCATGCTCAGCATCAGCAAACAAGTCTCGAACATTCTTTTCTGTCTCACCCACAAACTTGCTCAGCACCTCAGGACCGTTAACGATCTAACATTGCACCAGAAGAACAGATGTATTAACATTTAGAGATTGGCAGAAGAAAGATAGTGAATCTGGTTCCTAGAAATGAATCTCTTGGTCTGTTTGACAAAAGCAGCTAGGATGGCATTATTCCAGAAACTATAGACCATCAAGATGTGGAGAAGATGTATAAAATAGCAACGAACAATATGTCTGACAGACAGTACAGCTCATGCCGGAAATCAGGTCAGTCAACCATGCAAGGCTACTTAGCCTGTCTGATGGAAAAAATGGGACCTCTAAACAGTAATAGAAATTCTTGCAGAAAGTGCACAACCAATCACAATTTATAAAAGAAAAATACAAATGCATATTATGAAGGGCATTCAACATTTTAAAGGCATTTCATAGTGTGAAAGTCCAGATTATTAAACAATTAAAAAACAAGATAAAATTAAAGGACTACAACCCTAAAAGTTCTTATTATTCCCCACCTAAGTGAAGACTAAGAGAATCAACAGTACCTTTGGTTCTTTTCCGTTCAACATCTTTCCAATTTGGCGTGCCATAAGAGTCTTGCCAGTACCGGGAGGTCCAAAAAGTAACATCCCCTTTACATGCTTTATCCCCAGTCTGCAAACCAAAATAATTAAACTAAGAAGGAGAGATAAACACAAAACACAGTAAAATTTAACATCTGCTCGAAGATTCAACCACAGAACCTGCTCGTGACATGAGGAGGAAATACACGAGAAGCAAAAGCTCTTCGAAATATATCAGCAAATTCTGCACCAAGACCACCTATACCCAGTGACTCAAGGTTAAACTCCTTTTGTTTAAATATGTTACTACTAGCAGCTTCACGCTGATTGACAATCTGCAAACAAAAGTACAAGCTTAAGTTCAAAATGAATGATACAAGATGGCGATCAACATTTCTTGCCAGAAGCAAAAGCAAACACATGCCTACTGTTCTGAATGCATGAGCACAAATTGTTGTTTGATTGGCGCTAGAGTAAATTGATTAAAAAATATACAAGTAGAGAAGCATTGATGGAAACCAGACCTTTATGCCACTTGCATTTGACGATTCGAAGACAATATATGTATCTTTAGTGATCATCCCTCTTTCAATGCCATTGGATTTTTCTTGACCTTCTACAACTGCTCGGTTGACTGTAAATATGTAATTGTTTCCATGATACTCGAAAGTAGCTCGCTGCCCTACTGTCATGACCTGTGGAAGTATGAATGATTTCAATTAGTTGATCCTAATGTCGTATGAACTATGAAGTAAAAGAGAGGCAATAGTCAACAACCAGATAGATGATATACGATAGTCTAATAACACAGAGACCTTAGTCTCCACCAGCAGATAGTAGAGAGGTTTGCAGAAAATTCACCAGAAGTATTCATGGGTAACCAATGGTTCAGTGGAAATGAATGATAACATAAGAAATCCATATACTAACTGCTTGCACTGGAAATCTATACCATCTAATTCATACAGCCATATCCACATCTTTATTTCATTTATTTGCAAACGAGTTAAACACTTGAAACGCAGAATATGGCAACAATTATATGAATCTTTTAATAGTAAGCATACACAGAATCAGCACACAAACATACAATCTGAGCCCCCTACCTGGTTTGTGAATCTCCTCTTAAGTTGGCTCGAAAGCAGAACAGCATCAACCTGTTAAGTAAGATCAACACAGATTTTAATTTGTACCACAGCCAGTAAAGATCACAAGTAGTGACATCATGGAAGTTGACAAACTACAAACCTGCTCGCTTTTAGTCCCCTTCTTTACAAACTCTAACTCGAGTGTTAGCAAAGCCAAATCAAAATTTTCAGGAGGAATAAATCTGCAAACATGATAGAATCAACAAAAATTGGAAAGGAAACGGGACAAAGGTAATGGGAGCTGCAAGATATTTACCTGCCCACAGAGACCATGTCACCGGTAGAAACCCTCGCATGCCGCCGTTGAATAGCATTTAAACCAATATATCCATCACGGATACTATCATGTCGAGTATTTTCCAGTTAAGTTCAAAACTCGCATCGAAGCTAATAAAACAATGGACAAGGCAGCAAATTTCAACAAGCCTATGATTTTAGCATCAGGAATGGTACACCCGGAAGGACCAAATCCAAATTGATACATAACAATTTTTAATTTACGAGTTTGGTTGATCATGTACTCAAGTCAGGCTAAGCTCGACCGAGCCAACAATTCAAGAACACATCTAGGCAGTCAAAATCATGTCAGCTGATTCTTTAATTCAAAACCCAATTCCGGAAAATCCAGCACGATCGACAAATGCGACTTCTATCACGTCCGGAAGGCAAAACAAACCCACCAAATAGTAAATAAGTGCCATTTCGCAGAATCATATTCTGTTGAAATTGCATAGAAAAGGAAACGGATAGAAAAAAAAAGGATATGATAGAGAGAGAATGAAGGCGTCTCCGACGTTGGCGAGGAAGAGATCGGAGCCGGGAATGGCGAACTGACGGAGATCAGAGGCGGAGCAGTAAGCGAGGTTGGTCAAGGCGAGATCCGCCGTCGGCGTGTTGGTCACCGTCGTCATCATCACCGCAGAGGACTGCGATCCGAAGCGACCCGCCATGGTTGTCGCCGATTAGTCGCCCAAAAATCAGAGAGCTTTTTCTGAGACTTTCTTTTCTCCGTCGCTAAGGAAACCTTTCGAACAGAAAGAACAATCTCATTCCGTCAGACGTCATGGATGGGCTTTTTATAATGTTCCCTTTCAATGTTTTTTATTTAATATTTAATATGGTATTAATATCAATAATCTGACTTTCTCTTTGTAATAAAATGGAAATAATATCTTGTTACAAAAACTTTAAGGATTATTACAATTGGGTAAAACCCCTAAAAAACCTCCAACTTGCAAAAATATATATAAATAAACATTCAACTTGAAAAACTGTCATTCAATCCCCGAACTTGTAATTTGTCACTGAATAAAACCTCGAACTTACAAATTATTGCTCTAATAAACCTAAACCTTTGACCGGTTTGACCACAATTTCAAACGATCGAAAATACACGTATTAACGGATTGCTGATGTCATTTTTTAAACTAAAATTGATAACATGTATAAGGTGACATCAACAATCCGTTAATACGTAGATTTCCGATCGTTTGAAATTGTGGTCAAACCGGTCAAAGTTTTATTAGAACAATAATTTGCAAGTTCGAGGTTTTATTTAGTGACAAGTTACAAGTTTGAGGATTGAATGACAGTTTTTCAAATTCAAGGTTTATTTGTATATATTTTTGCAAGTTGGGGGTTTTACCCTTACAATTGTGTATAGACATTTAACCTTTACCCTTTAAAAAATTTACATGTTTTTATAAACCATATATTTTTCCCATCTATTTATATATTTTGTGATTTACCATGAAAACAGAAATATAACAAAAACAAAAAACAAAAAACAGAATCCATTACAAACGTAAAGTTCAATCAAAATTTATGGTGGTGATAGTTGAAGTTTTGTGTAATATATATATATATATATATATTTTGGCCATTTTTTCAAAGTTTTCAGATTTGAGTATATTTATAGAGAAGTTTTTTCATTTGTATAAATAGTTAACGTTTTCGAACCATTTTTATATTATTTTATTACATATAAATATTGATCTCCAGATCCAATTTAATCTTTTATAATCCTAACTCTGGGAATTAACTAATCATAGTGTAAAATTCTAATTTTCGAGTGTTTTGATCTTTGTAACCCTAATTTTTGGAATGATTTGTACTTATAATTGAAAAATCTAAAAACTTTGGATGAAAATAATGGTAGGTGGGTGATTTATCCTCATGTTCTCTGTTTCGTTAATTTCGTTAAAAAAAAAAGAACAGGAAAACACAAACTGATGGTAAATGACGACGGATCTGGACGCGAAAAAGAGAGAGGAAGGGACGAAGAACGAGCAGAAAGCAGACAGCATTTGCCGACACCACTCACTCGTGTCCGAGTTTTCTTGACTCGGCGGCTCGGTGACGCAAACAACCCTGAATAAAAAAGATTGGATCTTTGATTTTGGGTTTGGTTTTTTCCCCGCACTAAAACCCCACCTACTGTTCTCTCGCTGTACACAGTGCTTCCTGTCGCCTTCAATCGCGACTTTTTTGTCACCCCCTCTTTTCCGCTGGATTTATAAATTCCAGGATTAGGGCTTCGTGGCTTTTGCTGAGATGAATCAGCAACTGCAGCAGCCACCGCAGAGTCACAGCGGTGAAGGGGACGCTGAGACTGCGGAGGAAGAGGAGGTGCAGCCGCAGGAGACGGCTGAGTCAAAGGATTCAGTCGCCGCCGAGGAGAATTCGGCGGAGAAATCGGCTGACGGCGGCGCGAGAGAGGACGATCCCATGGAGGTTGACTCAGTGAGTCCGGCCACCGTGTTCTGTGTTAGGCTCAAGCAGCCTAATTCCAACTTGCTTCACAAGATGAGCGTCCCAGAATTATGCCGTAACTTTAGGTTCAATCCTCCGTCTCTCTCTCTCTGTAAGACTGTACTGATTTAGTTAATCAATTTTGAGCTTTCCTTTCTATTTCCAGTGCCGTTGCTTGGTGCGGGAAACTAAACGCTATAGCTTGCGCTTCTGAAACCTGTGCAAGGATTCCAAGGTTAGATTTTTTTTTTTGGATAATTATGGAAATGTCTATGCATTTTTTGGCGCAAAATTCCTATTGAATACCTTTCATGATCATCACCTTACACCCTTCTGCGCTGTAGCTCCAATGCAAATCCACCCTTTTGGATCCCCATACATATCTTGATACCCGAACGTCCAACTGAGTGTGCAGTGTTCAATGTAGTAGCGGGTAAGATTTTGGATACATCATGCGAGTTCTCTCGATCCAGAAAGTGCTGTTTTGCTTCTGGGTTTATGGCAGATGATGAATTTGCGCTTTTGCAGATTCTCCTCGTGATTCCGTTCAATTTATCGAATGGTCTCCCACTTCTTGTCCTCGTGCCTTACTCATAGCTAATTTTCATGGTCGGATAACTATCTGGATTCAGCCTTCTCAGGTAAGTGGTAGATATCTTTTCCATCTTGGGATAGCTTGCTTTATCTTTGATTTTCTCGTACTCTGCTGTATCATACTCCTTACATGTGTTAATGGTGCCCTCCTTAATTATTTCATGTGGATCGTTCTTGCAGGGACCAGCTAATTTAGTGCGTGATGCTACCTCCTGGCACTGTGAGCATGAATGGCGGCAGGACATTGCTGTTGTCACAAAGTGGCTAGCAGGGGTTTCTCCGGTATGTTACTACTATAATGTTTTATTTCTTTGACAGTCTATCTGGATCATATGATCCCTATAAAGCATACCTCCTGGCAATCCCAGAGGGAGTTGACAGATGTTTGCCTTGTCGGTGGATCAACACTACTGCTCTCCATAAGGTCTTCAAACTGCATTTTCATGACCTTCTAGGGAACTATTAATAATTAGATGATAGATTCATGTCTTTGGCTTTTCTTTAATAGTTTGACACCCGAGTTCAATCTTTGGGAATTTATTCTGTTTGGTTGTTTTTGAAAACCAGTATCGGTGGCTGTCGTCTAAATCAAGTTCTGCTACAAACTCAAAGTCAACTTTTGAGGAGAAGTTTCTCTCACATAACTCTGAAAGTTCAGGTTCTTTCCACCTTTTTTTTATAATTCGCTTCTCGAATTTTAACAATTCATTTCTTTTTTAACTGAATAGAACAATTTCTTTGACTTATAAGCGCGACAAGATCTTTGACAATAACTTAGTCTGTCTAATATCTCTTGCAGCTCGGTGGCCCAACTTCCTCTGCGTGTGTTCTGTTTTCTCATCTGGCTCCGTTCAACTTCATTGGTCTCAGTGGCCTTCTAACCAGGGAGGCACTCCCTCAAAGTGGTTTAGTACTAGTAAAGGTGTCTTAGGTGCGGGGCCTAGCGGGATCATGGCTGCAGATGCCATAATAACTGACAATGGGGCCATGCATGTGGCCGGGGTTCCAATAGTGAACCCCTCTACAATTGTAGTCTGGGAGGTGACTCCTGGTCCCGGAAATGGATTCCAATCCACTCCAAAAGTCTCTACAGGCAGTCATGTGCCACCATCTCTTAGTTCCCCCAATTGGACAGGTTTTGCACCATTAGCTGCGTATTTGTTCAGCTGGCAAGAATACATGATATCTGAAGCAAAGCAAGCAAGGAAACCGGCAGATCAAGATTCTAGCGACTTTATATCACTTAATTGCTCCCCCGTTTCTAATTTTTCTGCTTACGTAAGTCCTGAGGCTGCAGCTCAGTCTGCAGCAACCACTACGTGGGGTTCTGGAGTTACTGCTGTTGCCTTCGATCCAACTCGTGGTGGTTCTGTCATAGCTGTCGTTATAGTTGAAGGTACTGTTCTCATTCTTGCTGAACTTCATGCTTCACTGTAATTGAACGTGTGTTTTGTATGATTTACGCACACTGTTTTTCATCTCTGAAAAGTCTTAAGATCTTCAAGAACTAATTACCACGGGGAAAAGTTTTTCTGTCTGTTTTTTAGGTTCAGTGCCAGCATGAGTGCCTATAGGTTTTGAATTCATAAGACGCTTGTTGCTATATAAGCAGGTCAATACATGTCCCCATATGATCCAGATGAAGGCCCTTCAATCACAGGATGGAGAGTGCAGCGTTGGGAATCAAGTGTTCAACCCGTTGTTTTGCATCAGATATTTGGAAACCCAACATCAAATTCTGGTGGGCAGGATCCCATGCAAACTGTCTGGGTGTCCAGAGTGGATTTGAGCATACCGCCAACACATGATTTTAAGAGTCAACAAATAGCTGCAGCAGGACCTAATGAGGATGCTCCAAAGGAATCTGATAGTACCGATAACGGTGATGACAAGTCCAGCAAGGTTATTTTTGACCCTTTTGACCTGCCAAGTGATATTCGGACACTTGCACGGATTGTGTTTTCTGCTCATGGTGGTGAAATTTCTATTGCGTTTCTTCGGGGCGGTGTTCATATATTTTCTGGCCCAACATTTTCACCTGTCGAAAACTATCAACTAAATGTTGGATCAGCAATTGCTGCACCGGCCTTTTCTCCAACGAGCTGTTGCTCAGCTTCCGTCTGGCATGATACTGCCAAGGACTGTACAATGCTGAAAATTATCCGCATTCTTCCTCCTGCCCTTCCAAGTGGCCAATCAAAGATTAATCAATCAACCTGGGAGCGTGCTATCGCAGAGAGGTATAGAATCTCTGTTATATATGATGCTAGCTATTGGCAACGGATCTAAATGGTTGAATCAAATATGTGATATGTATTTTTGATCGAACAGGTTCTGGTGGAGTCTTTTGGTTGGAGTTGATTGGTGGGATGCAGTTGGCTGTACACAGAGTGCTGCAGAGGATGGGATCGGTATGATGTTTTGATGCTTACAAGTTTCTTGATCTCTATTCTATTCATTTGTGTATATTCTTCTTTTTTCTTCCTTTATTTTTTTTTTAATGTTTTTTGTTTGCCATACAAGATGAACTTTCTTGTTTTATTCTTTACTTAGCATTTACAAACAGATTTTCATGCTTTCAAAATATGTTTCTATGATGAGGCAAAATATTGTAATCCAAGCTAATATAAGATCTATATGATACACTATAGAAGCCATCTGATGTTATGTTCCTTTTTGTGATGGTTCCAGTTTCGTTGAACAGTGTGATTGCTGTCTTGGATGCGGATTTTCACTCACTACCTTCAACACAACACAGACAACAATATGGTCCTGTATGTGTTGAAGCCTCTTGCCAACCTTCATTTCTGCTCATTTCCTGATTTTAGTGTTTAACATTATTTTATTGAAATTTGCATTCAACGTGTCTTCAGAAACCTTTGCTCATCTTTTCCTATCATTTATTTATTTTAATTGAAAATGTATGTACCTTCTATATATCCCATGAACAACATGTTGGTCTTGTTCTCCTATGGTTGAAGTTGCATTTTTATTTTGTTTTGTTATCAGTGTTTTTGAAGCATAACCTCCTTGTCTGCTACTCCTACTACTATCTTGTTGTTAGTGTGTTAGTTGATGCTGCGTTTCAATATGGTTCGTAACAATCTCTCTGCTTCTTGTCAGACCATTTTCACCTGTTTTTGTTGTTATGTATTTATACTCTTTTTTTTGCTTCTATCTTGTTGATCCTATTTTTGCTAAGAATTTGTCTTCTGTTGTTTTCAGTGCCTAGACAGGATAAAATGCCGACTGCTTGAAGGAACCAATGCTCAAGAGGTCCGTGCCATGGTGTTAGATATGCAAGCAAGACTGTTGCTAGACATGCTCGGGAAAGGAATCGAATCTGCTCTTGTGAATCCTTCAGGATTGGTTTCCGAGCCATGGCAAGCGAATGGGGAGACATTATCAGGCATCGATCCCGAGGCAATGGCTGTCGATCCTGTTCTTGTTTCCAGTATTCAGGTACCATTGCTTCAAGATCAAGTATAGGTGTTATTGTTTTTTTGTGCTTCTGTTAAATACTGAATTGTATGATTCAATTCCGGCAATCGGTCACGCGGTTGTTTTGTTTTTGTTTATTACGAGGCGATTGTCATTTGTCAACATGTTAATTAGTCTGATATGATCTTGGTTCTTCCATCTTATAATTATTAAATGCATATTGTTTGTTTCAAGACATGATGTGGCATTGTTTCAGTTATGCCATTTTGTTTTATGACAAGACAAAAGTGAGTGAGCTATCATATTATGCAGGCTTATGTGGATGCTGTTCTTGATCTAGCATCTCATTTCATCACACGTTTGAGGCGTTATGCGAGTTTCTGCCGGACACTGGCAAGCCATGCTGTTTCTGCTGGAACTGGAAGTAGCCGCACTATGGTTACCAGTCCGACACAAAATGCCTCATCTCCTGCGACAACTCAGGGTCAGTATTCTCTGGTTTTGTGATGTATAATGTAAGGAGGGTTTTGTCTCATCTTTTGTTGTAAAATTTCCTGCCCACTTCAGTTGCACTTTAGGACATGATCATATTTCGAGAATGACTTGTATTCATTAAAATTCGCATTTTGCGTCATGCAGACTGGTATATACAAAGTACATTCTTGACAATTTACTGTCCCGTGCAGCGGCTCAAACTGGTGCTACGAACTCCAGCGGAAACACGCAAGTGCAAGCTTGGGTACAAGGTGCGATTGCGAAAATTAGTAGCTCAAATGATGGAGTGTCAAACGCTACTGCAACTGCAATAGGGGGTCCAGCGACCTACATGCCAATAAGCATCAACACTGGAACTTTTCCAGGAACACCTGCTGTTCGGCTCATTGGGGACTCGCATTTTCTTCATCGGTTATGCCAGCTGTTGTTCTTTTGTTATTTCTTTCGCCGGGCACAGGTCCCACGGTTTCCACAGAGAAATCCTGACATCAGTACTCAAAAGCCTCAAACTGGAGTCGCAGGCAAGATTGAAGAGGTAAATTCTGTTAAGTCAACCTCTGTCCTGAGCAGGACAGAAGAAGCCCAGGGAAACAGAAGTTCCCAGTTGGGTACTGGAGTGAAAGGGGTTGACGAAAATCCTGCTCCACGTACAAAAATGGGTTCTGGGAATGCCGGTCAAGGATATACTTTTGAGGAGGTAGGCAATCCTTGTTCCTGTAACCGTTGCATTCAAACCATTCATTTCCGTATCTCTTTCTCTTGTTCCGCACAAGAAGGGATCATGACCTGACCACTATGGAGTGAGAATAATCATAACTCTTGCTAGAATGATTTTGAGACTGGGACAGAGCAAATGTGATCAGGGTTGTAGATCATTGAACTGAAGAAAAGCAGCATGTTGATAGTTCAAGTAGCTAGAGAAATAAAAAAGTTTTCCAGGATAGAGTTAACGGGTATGTTTATGATATTCCAGGTGAGAGTTCTTTTCCTTATATTGATGGACCTATGCCGGCGAACAGCTAGTCTGGCACATCCTTTACCTGTCTCTCAGGTAGGTAGTGGGAACATCCAGGTGCGATTGCACTATATTGATGGAAATTACACTGTATTGCCTGAGGTGGTAGAAGCTGCTTTAGGACCGCATATGCAGGTATTTTCTTCTCTGGTTACTCCGTTTTTTGTTTGGTCAACTGCGAAATGAAATTATGCTTTTTTTAAACAAAATCTTCATAACCAGAACATGCCTCGTCCGAGAGGAGCTGATGCTGCTGGTCTTCTACTTCGTGAGTTGGAGCTTCATCCTCCGTCTGAAGAATGGCATAGACGAAACATGTTTGGTGGGCCTTGGTCGGATCCCGACGATATGATCCCGACAGATGATACTTCCAAACAGTGTTATTCCACTGATCTTATTGATACAAGCTCTTCAGAAATCCATGATGTCTATGACAGAGTCCAAAGCCTATGGCCAAGAAAGCGTCGGATGTCTGAAAGAGATGCAGCTTTTGGTCTGAACACTTCTGCGGGTTTGGGTGCGTATCTTGGTATTATGGGATCTCGGAGGGATGTTATCACAGCAACATGGAAAACCGGTCTTGAAGGAGTTTGGTACAAGGTTGTTGATCTGGTTTCCCTTCACGAATTAACACAAAAATAATATCTTTTACATTTCATTCCTGTTCAATACATAATCGTTAATCAAAACTTGTTACTTGAATACTTGATGTCTTTTTGGTGATAGTGCATAAGATGCTTAAGGCAGACATCAGCATTTGCTTCACCAGGAATATCCAATCAGTCAAACCAGAATGAACGAGAGGCTTGGTGGATCAGCCGTTGGGTCTATTGCTGTCCCATGTGCGGTGGAACATGGGTTCGCGTGGTATAGAATGAACCAGAGGCAAATGCTAATCAGTTTTAACTAATAACAGAATTCGAGAAAGGCTGGAAACAGTAAGGAGACCTCTACTCAGCATATGCATTTAGAATAGCGAAAGTATTCACCTTGTGGTTGCAACTTATGTTGATCTTGATGGAACTGAAAGCAAGATCATCTACTATGATTGTTAGAAGTGAAAAAGGGGTGTGGATTCAGAAGCTACACCCTGAAGCTTGGTTTCACTGGAAGCCCATTCTGGCTTTTGTTCTATTTAGTCTCGTGTCTGGTTCATGGATGAAGGGATTCTTTTGTTGAAACATGAAACTTTTAACCCCTTGTATAGAAATGTAGACAGTGACCCAGTTCGAGAATTGCATCGGACACTTGGTGTTTGGGTTTGTTTCCTTTGTAGATTGCAACACTTTTCAGGTTGCTGAATGAAAGGAAATCATTTTGGGATTGAAGAAAATCTAGCAAATCTATATCTGTGAAATCCAGCCCGATGTATAAAGCAGAGAGGGCCTAAAAAACTGGAAAGGATCACTAATATCTTGAGAGAGCTTTTATCGGCTCTTAAAACTAATTCCAACAAAATACTGAAAATATCAATGTGGACTGAGAATTGTCCATTGCATAGAATGGAAAATATCCCAAAATAGAATAAAGAAATCAACGCACAAGAGTAGAAACATCAAACATGAACTGAAAGAGGAACAGATGTTGCGGCCAGATTGTACATGAAAAGAAACGGAAAGAGAAGACAAAACAGAGACAAAGCCAAAGATGGTCCAAAGGGAAAAAAAAGAGGTGAAGAAAAAAGGTGTCTAATAATAGAGAGACGAGAGAGAGACCCTCGCGCACGTGCCTCCTTCCCTCTTCTTTTGTCTTGTCTCCTGATCTCATTGAAAGTCTCTTCACCACCGCCTAAATTGCACTTGCACCTCATACTCCCATCAAAGATATCTCCTTTTTTCCCTCTCTGTCCTTCTTCTCGCCGGAGAAACAGAAGAACTGAAAGAGAATGGGGAAAGGAGGGCGTGAGAGAGTTGTGGAGGAGGAGGAAGAAGTAGTCATGGCAACGGATTTCTTCTGGTCGTACACTGACGAGCCGCATGCTTCGAGGAGGCGTCAGATTCTGTCTCGTTATCCTCAGATCAAAGATCTTTTCGGTCCTGACCCCTGGGCTTTCATCAAGGTCCTTCCTTTTTCGCTCTGCGCTCTCAGATCTGTGATGGGTTTCAGCTTTCTCGTCTGTTTTTCACTGCATTGTTGTCGTTCATCTCCTTTTTGGTAATGGGTTTCGCTTTTCATACGGACTGACATTGTCAGGGTCAGCAAAGGATAACCTTTATAGATTTTTCTGTTGCTTCCGTTCCATCTGATACTGAAATTCATTGGTTTGACGTTGGGGTTTATTTTCAATTGAATACAATCGGTCGCCCGCGTTCAGGTTGTGGTCCATTGTAGTATTTCTCCTTTTAGTAATCAATAAAATAGGTTGTTGTAAGTTGGTAAAGATCATTGATGTATCGAAACATTTGTTTTGTCAGCGTTATTATATCATCTACAGTGTACAAAATGATGGTTTCGCCGAGCTTTATCTCTTTTTTTTTAACCTTCTTGCTCAAGCCATTGCAGTGGCGTCGAGAATCAGTTGAATTTCACCCTCGTTGTCATGCTTTGATTTGCAGATCTCGATGGTAGTTTTGCTCCAGCTCTCAACAGCTGCTCTCCTTCATGATGCAGGGTGGTTGAAGATTTTGACAATTGCATATTTCTTCGGTTCTTTTCTCAATCACAATCTTTTCTTGGCGATCCACGAGCTCAGCCACAATCTCGCCTTTTCGACTCCTGTCTACAACCGGTGGCTCGGGATTTTCGCCAACCTCCCCATCGGTGTACCAATGTCTGTGACCTTCCAAAAGTACCATCTCGAGCACCATCGTTTCCAAGGAGTAGACGGCATAGACATGGACGTCCCGAGTTACACAGAAGCCCATCTCGTCAAAAACGTGTTTGCCAAGACAATCTGGGTGTTCTTACAACTCTTCTTCTATGCACTTAGGCCCTTGTTTCTGAAACCAAAGCCTCCAGGCCACTGGGAGTTCATTAACCTGTTTGTTCAGATTGGTCTCGACGTGGCAATGGTTCAGTTCTGTGGATGGAGGTCATTCGCTTACCTTATACTTTCGACATTCGTGGGTGGTGGCATGCATCCGATGGCAGGCCATTTTATCTCGGAGCACTATGTGTTCAAGCCCGACCAAGAAACTTACTCCTACTACGGCCCTTTGAATCTACTGACATGGAGTGTAGGTTATCACAACGAGCATCACGATTTCCCGAGAATCGCGGGAAACAAGCTGCACAAGGTGAGGGAAATGGCACCTGAATACTACGAAGGATTAGAGTCGTACAAGTCATGGAGTCAGGTGATATATATGTACATTATGGACAGTACAGTGAGTCCTTTTAGCAGAATGAAGAGGAAGCTCTCAACAACAACTACAAAAAAAGACTGAGTAGATCTTCTTGCTCCTCAATCCCGACATCAAAAGCTGTTTTTTGTTTTGCTCAAAGGCTCTATCAACTATTGGTTGTTTTTTTGTGTGTGTTTCTTGAGGGAGACAGTCTTGAAGAGATCTAGAACATTGGTTTGGTGTTGGTTTAGTGTGGAAGTGGCCGTCATGTTTGATCTTAAAAGACCAAAGTTCAACACTTCGGTTTGGGATGTGTTGTTTATTTCTTTAATCATTTTTTGTCTTCTGTCTGACATAAACCGGTTTTGGTGTTTTGACCTTAAAAGACCAAAGTTGAACACTTTAATTTACATTTTGTTTTGGTTGGATGTTTATGTTGGTCTCTACGATTCTCACACACAAGAAAGAAAAATGCTTAGAGGTTTTTTTGTTTGAAAAAAAAAATGTTGTGTGGCTGGCCTTTGCATCTGTGGCTTGAACACTGCGAATCATTTGTGTGCAAGTTTACATGGTTCAAACATTTTACAAGAAAACTGGAATTTGAATGCATGTCAACATGAGTATGATGGATCTTGTAAACTTATCATCTGAAGAGGAGAAGTCTACTTTAGTGATAAAATCACGTGAATTTAACGTAAAAATGTATTAAGACTTTGGATTGGATCCTCTTCCAATACAACACCAATTTCTATCCTCACATTTCATTAGGAAAACATTAGATCATAGAAGGAAAAACAGATTGCATGAGAAGAACAGAAGCTATCTAAGATCAGAGACCAAAATTGCCAAGTTTTTGTGGTAAATTAGGATGGGAAAAAATGCAGAGGAAAGTGAAATGTCAAGCAGAAGTTGCAGGAAAATCCTCGGAAGTTGACTGTTTCGGGTGTTGTGATGAGAGAGGTGGGCTTGGCTTCGGAGGTGGTGGGGGCGGCGGCGATCTCTTTGGCTTCACGTTGTCAACTTTCTCCGACTCAACATCAAACTGCAGGAAAGAACATTTCCAGTTTACAATTCCATCAACCGAAGGAAAAAAAAGTCGGGCATTTATGCCTAATAGAACGTTGAGTGCAGTACCTTATAACCACATCCTGCTACACATGCATGAAAACATTCCTGAATACCAAAGAACACAGATAAGAAGTGTTACGACTGTGATTACTCGATCTGCAATATCGTATGGTTTGTTTCTTCCATTTGGATGAATCAGAGGATGAGAGTTTTTATCTGTAAGACCTTCACTTTCAGTGGAGCCATGTTTTAAGAATGAAAGGGATTCCTTTGGTACCATTTACTAAGTCGTTCATTAAACCTTCAGGATGTAAAAGGAATCAATAGACAAAAGGGGTTTTCAGAAGAAGGCGAATGAATACTTCAGAGTAGCTGGCAGCTCCAGGAGAACGGTCAATGTATGCGCTCCACTGGCGGTCCTTTAACACGGGATCTTTATAGCATATCTCATTGCATTCTTCCACACCTATAAAAAGAAGATAGCTATACATCAATTCATCATCCATTTCACACGAAGCTAACTAGACACGTGATGATGTTTTTGTATAGAACATGTCTTCACCATCCATCTCGTATGAGGTTAACTAGCCATATGATGTTTTGTAGAGAACATATGTTCAACCCCCACATCAGTTGCAAAAATGTCTGTGTTTGTGTGTGGATATACTGCGTGCACTCTTAATTTTCAAAGTAAGAAATGCTTACATTCTTCCCATGTGTCACCATCGGCATCACATCCCTTTTTGCAGAATACTCTCCCTGCAAATTTGGGGTTTATCCATCAGCGACTTGTAACTTGTAAGTATTGTTTGTTCGAGAGAAACAAAAACAGATATCCAATAATCCTGGAAGAGTGTTAAGAAACACGGCATGAAGGATAAATGGAAACCAACTATCCTTAATGGCCAAGACTGGACTAGAAAGATCAATGGATATTAAAGCTCATCAAAGAGAAAGAAACAAAGGTCACTGACGTGTTTCAAGCACATGACACTGGAAGAAGCACAAAGAGCAGAATTCAGGACGTGGAGCAAAAGTCAAATCATTAAAATAAAAGCAATGTCTTAGAAAATGCAACCATCCATCCGGCTATGTTCAATGTCTGAAACTCATAACAGGAAAATTCCCCCATCTGTGTTCTCCAGAGTCCTCATATAAAGAGCCATGGCAAATTTACAGGCAGATGGATTCAATGCAATCAGGGGAGCAATTTTTAGCCGTCTAAAAATCTGGCCACCAGGAGAATGTCTAACCTAAATGCTTGAAAGTCCACTGTAAAAGCCAAATCACCAATTTCTGTCGTAAAACTGTAAAGCCAAATCACCGATATATTACGTTACATTCCAACTAAGGCTGTCTGCTTTACACTTCATATATAGCTTTGCTATAGCCTATATCCACACAAAACTAAACGCATTCTGCTGTAGTAAAACTAACCATATCCACAAATGTAGTGCGCCACAATCATTCTACGCCCAGTTCACTCCAGGACTATATGGGGTTTCTATGATTACCAGCAAAAAAAGCTAAACGTATGAACAATTGTTCATAAAAGAAATCGACTTTTCAACTGAACTTCAAAGGAAAAACCAGGTGTTGAAAAGGTTGGCAGATCCGCTGAATAACCCAATTAACTACATCAAGCAACAAGCTTCGAATTTTGGTTTTCTCCCCTTATCCTCCTCCAACCCTAAATACATCCCAAGAGAACATCTGAAATCAAACTCCATAAAAGGAAATCTCACATTGCCAAACATCAAGGGCTATTAAAATAAATTTCCAACGGGAATGCTCTGGAACCTCAAATTCTTCACTCAATCCACAAATCTTACATGACTCCCACAAGTCGATGGACACAGAATTTATTACTGCAAACTACAAAACGAAACAAATTCGCCCATAACAGAAAGCGACCATCTTTATCAACAAGCACTGAACCATTACGGATCCATTCAACACAACCAAATAACGCAAAGAAAAAGACAAACGGAAAAGAAAGACGAAAAGAGAGATGCGTACATGGAATCTGCGTCAGAGCTGCATATTTGTGGGTGCATTCGTTTCTGCACGGCGACGACCATTGATGCGGTATCATCCCTCTCGCCCTCTCTCTCTTCCCACTGCCAAAGTGTCGGGAAACTAGAACCAAAGGCCGAACACTTGTGTTATAAATAGCAAAGGGTATTTACTTTTCAACTATCCCGGGTCAGTGGGCTTGCCCCGGAAACCGGATGGATCCGACCATTCGGTACGGTTCGGGTTTCTGACCGGTTTGTTAACATTTGTCATATTTAGGGAAAATGACATTTTTTTAAGCCAACTTTGCAAAATATGACATTTTTCTATATAAATTTTTAATTTGACAAAAAACTACACCAAATTATCAAATGTGCCAAATTGATACACGAATTACCCAATTTAACTGCAATTTCCTACACAATCCGAACGGTGTTAATGGCCTGTTCCCCGCCGCTGACGTGGCACGCCACGTGGCGGCTGACGTGGTACGCCACATAGATTTTTTGCTACATCAGCATGCCACGTCATATTTTAAAAAAAAATTCCGAAAAAATATGAAAAAAATCGATTTTTTTTTTTAAAATTTAAAATAAAATAAATAAACAGCAAAAAAAAATATACATATATATTCATATCTATATACAAATAAAAATATAAATATATATACAAAATAAAAAACATACACATATATATACAAACATCTATACAAATATATATATACATATACATACAAACAAATATATTTATATATACATATACATATATAAACACATATATATGTATATATACATATGCATATACATACATACATACATACATACATACATACAAAATATAAAAAAAATCACACATATATATATATATTCATATCCACATACAAATACAAATATAAATATAAATACTTTTATATGTATATATACATATGCATATACATACATACATACATACATACATACATACAAAATATAAAAAAAATCACACATATATATATATATTCATATCCACATACAAATACAAATATAAATATAAATACTTTTATGTATATATATTTCTATATATATCAAATAAAAATATACACATATATACATGCATTTATACAAATATATATGCATATACATGCATACAAGTATATTTATATATATACACATACATATATAAATACATATACATGTATATATATGTATTCATATCTATGTACAAATGTGTGATTTTTTTTATTTTGTATGTATGTATGTATATGCATATATATATATACATATATATGTGTTTATATATGTATATGTATATATAAATATATTTGTTTGTATGTATATGTATATATATATTTGTATAGATGTTTGTATATATATGTGTATGTTTTTTATTTTGTATATATATAGTTATATATTTTTATATAGGAGTATATATATTTATATTTTTATTTGTATATAGATATGAATATATATGAATATATATATATATATATATATTGCTATTTATTTATTTTATTTTAAATTAAAAAAAAACGATTTTTTTTCATATTTTTCGGAATTTTTTAAAAAATATGACGTGGCATGCTGATGTGGCAAAAAATATATATGGCGTACCCCATCAGCCGCCACGTGGCGTGCCACGTCAGCGGTTAACGGACACTTAACACCGTTTTCGGATTGTGTAGGAAATTGCAGTTAAATTGGGTAGTTCGTGTATCAATTTGGCACATTTGATAATTTGGTGTAGTTTTTTGTCAAATTAAAAATTCGTGTAGTAAAAGGTCACATTTTGCAAAGTTGGTGTAAGAAAATGTCATTTTCCCTAATATTTATGGGTTTGGTTTGGTTTGGTTTATAGAATTCTTTGTTCACTGAACCGGTTAGCCCTTAACCGGTTGTATCCCGTTGACCGGTCAAAATCCTACTTCCTTTTATGTCACCGGCCACCGCAAATAAAAGAACGATTTTTTGCGGAACTTCATTTGAACAGAGAGGCGCTGTTTTTGCTCTCTCTCAGCGTTCTTGTTCCTTCTTTGCTTGCTCTCGCTACCGTGCTTCTCAGTGTTACAATGGAGGATTACAACGAATACGAACAGCAATACGTAGATGAAGATGATGACGAGGATATCACCCAGGAGGACGCTTGGGCCGTCATCTCCGCCTACTTCGAGGAGAAAGGTCTCGTGCGTCAACAGCTCGATTCTTTCGACGAGTTCATTCAGAACACGATGCAGGAAATTGTTGATGAATCCGCTAATATCGAGATCCGACCAGAGTCGCAGCACAATCCCGGTCACCAGTCTGATTTCGCTGAGGTTCTTCTGTGTTTCTCTCCCCCGTTTTTCTAGGGTTTTCACTCCACGGGGCAATAGAAATTTTTCTGGGCTTATGGGTTCTGTGGTGGTTGTTCTCTTTATTGGATTGGTTCTTGAGTTAGTTTCCACGTCTCTGTTACAGTTAGGGCTTACGCTTCTCGGGATTTTGTGTAGTCGTTTTGAGGCTACTCTGGTAATGACTGTTGTCATTTTCGGCTTAAAAATTTTCGACTTGGTCCTTTCCCGTGTTGAATTTTGGATTTTTATCAGCTGGGCGGCTATACTAGTTTCGAGTTTATCTTCCATCCCTCTGTTGCAGACAGGGTCTATTCTTCTCATGATTCTCTATAATTTCATTGAAAATCTTTTCTCACTCACTGCTGTGTTATTTGATCAAACTTGGGTCAGGTCCTTGTCCTTACTTAGTACTATATTCGGCGTTTTGCACTTTTTTCAAGTTGTTTGGCAGTGCTTTATGGTTCTGTTTTGGGTTTCTTTGCATATATGAAGGTCATTTTAGCGTGGCATTGGATGGGCCAGTTAATATGTTAATGCCTTGTCGCTGGATATCTGATATCTGTTTTCGCGCAGACAATCTACAAGATCAGCTTTGGCCAGATTTATTTGAGTAAACCAATGATGACAGAGTCTGATGGAGAGACTGCAACCTTGTTTCCCAAGGCTGCGAGGTTGAGGAATCTCACGTATTCTGCACCATTGTATGTAGATGTTACTAAGAGAGTTATCAAGAAAGGCCATGATGGTGAGGAAGTTACGGAAACACAGGATTTTACCAAAGTTTTTATTGGCAAGGTGTGTTATTTTAATATTGTGGGATGATTAACGAACATTGTGTGGTATATGATTCTAACAGCAATACGTTATTATTGTTTTGTGGTGTTTGTTAGGTTCCTATTATGCTTCGGTCTAGCTATTGTACCTTGTATCAGAATTCGGAGAAAGATTTAACAGAGCTAGGGGAGTGCCCCTACGACCAAGGTGGATACTTTATAATTAATGGGAGTGAAAAAGTTCTTATTGCTCAGGAAAAGATGAGCACAAATCATGTTTATGTTTTCAAGAAGAGGCAACCGAATAAATACGCCTATGTAGCTGAAGTTCGTTCCATGGCTGAGAACCAAAATAGGCCTCCAAGCACAATGTTTGTTCGTATGCTTTCTCGAGCCAGTTCCAAAGGGGTAAGAGAAAATTTCTTCTGACTTTGACTGGAATATTCTCCTTTTTTTTAAACCACAGAAAACGGTAAATGGATTATATTCTGTGTTGCAAATGGATGCAGGGGTCGTCTGGGCAGTATATTCGCTGCACCCTTCCATACATCAGAACTGAAATTCCTATTATCATTGTGTTTCGAGCATTAGGATTTGTTGCGGATAAGGACATATTGGAACACATTTGCTATGATTTTTCCGATACTCAGATGATGGAATTGCTCCGGCCTTCCTTGGAAGAAGCCTTTGTTATTCAAAATCAACAGGTTTCCCTTGTCCATATTGTTGTGTGTTTAGATGGTTTTTTGAAGCTTAGGGCATGCTTTATTTGTTTATTTTTGCTTCTAATGGAATTGTGGAATTGCAAATTGCACATACTACTTTCCTTTTTCTGCGGGAATTAACACCAATATATTGTCCGGCCGTTTACAATCTACTGCTATAGATGCTGCAGAAGTGAATTTCACCATTTTATTTGGTTGAGAACGTATATTATGTATGCTATGATACTGTGCTTTTGGTGCTGAAAAATGATGTTGATGCTTTGTATTCTTATACAAATTAGTTAACCATATTACTGCTTCAGGTTGCGCTTGACTATATAGGGAAACGTGGAGCAACTGTCGGAGTAACCAGGGATAAGAGGATAAAGTAAGTGATGATCTAACAGATAGAATTGAGCGCTATAATTTTGTGTTTCAAGTATCAAAATGTTCATTCACAAGTTATGTTATATTATAATAATATAATTTCAGGTATGCTAAAGATATCCTTCAGAAAGAAATGCTTCCTCATGTTGGAACTGGGGATTTTTGTGAGACGAAGAAGGCATATTATTTTGGGTGGGTGTTCATCTTCCTCATCTTATTTTGAATTGTATATTCTTAAATGACTCGTACGGTTTCATTTTTTACAACTCTTAGGCTCATCTTCCTTAACCTTATTTTGAATTGTATATTCTTAAGGTGTTCATATGGTTTCATTGTTGTAATTCTTAGGTATATCATACACCGTTTGCTGCTTTGTGCTATTGGCCGGAGGCCAGAAGATGACAGGGATCATTATGGCAACAAAAGGCTGGATCTTGCCGGTCCTTTACTTGGAGGCTTGTTTAGAATGGTTTGTCACCAGCTGCTTTTTTTTGGGACTAGTCTTAGGATATGATGCAAAGGCGTACTTCTTTCTGTTTGACTTGTTCTGAACAAGCATAAGATTAATGAAAAGAATTAGGATTACCCTTTTATAGTTGAAGAACTTGTACGCTTAAGAAGGTCTCAATGAGGTCAGACATCATTGATATCCGTTTGTGAAGTTTTGATTTTTTTTTTCTTTTCTTGATATATATGCTAAAAATGTAAGATGAGAAATCAACAAGAGAAATCTCTTGGTTTTCTTTAGAGCGTTGACAAAAACTTAGAAAGTTTTTTCTCTTTTAACTGTCTCTAACGTGTTTCACCGTTTTCTTTATGCATGCAGCTTTTCAGAAAGCTGACAAGGGATGTTAGATCTTATGTACAGAAGGTTTTTTGCTAACCATTTTGTCTCTTAGCCAGACACTCTAATTTAAGCATGTTATTTATGTATTGAGAACACTTAACCCATGTGTCTTAACAGTGTGTTGACAATGGAAAGGATGTCAATCTTCAATTTGCTATTAAGGCTAAGACTATCACATCTGGCCTCAAATATTCTCTTGCTACTGGGAATTGGGGGCAAGCGAATGCTGCTGGTACCAGAGCTGGAGTCTCGCAGGTTTTGAATGTTGCTTTATTTCTTCATTCTATCTGTCTATGTATTACTTGATATATATTTCTTAGGTTTTGGAAATGTGGTTGGTAGTTTGTTTGTTGATTTGTACAAGGCATGGTTATAATTTTTTTATTGTTAATAGGTGTTAAATCGATTAACATATGCTTCCACTTTGTCACACTTAAGGCGGTTGAATTCTCCTATAGGACGTGAAGGTAAAACCTCACCATTGTCTTTGCTTTTGTTTCTACTATTTATCTGTTAAAGTAACTGGTGGCTATTAGACATAGTGTTCTTTCTAGCTATGTACCAACTTTCTAGTTATATTAGTTTGTAACTACTGCATTTTCATTTGTCCTTTCTTGAATCTTATTTGATGTTCATTTCCCCAGGAAAATTGGCAAAACCGCGACAACTGCACAACTCACAGTGGGGAATGATGTGCCCTGCTGAAACGCCTGAAGGACAGGTACACTTGTCTCATTCAAGGGTTATTCGTGGGTCTTGTTTAGATTATCAGTGATCACAATTTGTTATTGCAGGCTTGTGGTCTGGTGAAAAACTTGGCACTCATGGTCTACATAACAGTTGGGTCAGCTGCCTACCCCATATTGGAATTTTTGGAAGAATGGGGTACTGAAAATTTTGAGGTCTGTAGCAGTCTGCCTTTAGTTTCCCTACTCAAATTATGCCAGTTCTTTGCTTGTGGTTCCTCAATAGTCTTTCTTGATTATAGGAAATCTCTCCAGCAGTTATTCCCCAGGCAACTAAAATTTTTGTTAATGGATGTTGGGTTGGAATTCATCGAGATCCTGATATGTTAGTAAAAACATTGAGACGTTTGAGAAGACGGGTTAGTATACTTTTCTTTTATCTATTTCAATTTGTGTTTTAGAATATAAAAGGTGAATTGTAATGGATTGGTGTTTTTCTCTTTGCTCATGCAGGTTGATGTTAACACTGAAGTCGGTGTTGTTAGAGATATTCGTCTCAAGGAGCTCCGGATTTATACCGACTATGGCAGGTGCAGTCGTCCATTATTCATTGTTGAGAATCAGTCGCTTCTAATAAAGAAGAAGGATATCTATGCTTTGCAACAAAGGGTACCATTATGTTGTCCTTTATTGTTCTCGAGCTGCCTGCGGTCTTTACCTGGCTTTAGTAACCTTTTTATGTCAACTCAGGAAAGCTCTGAAGAAGGTGGCTGGCATGACCTTGTAGCAAAGGGTTTTATAGAATATATAGATACAGAGGAAGAAGAGACGACGATGATTTCCATGACTATCAATGTGAGTGATGCAACTTCTTACGGTCGAATGTGTCTTGACTCTTGAGAAAATGGACCTCTTGTGCATTGGTTTATATGGAAAATTTTGTTGCAAAATTTTATTGTAGGATCTGGTACAAGCTAAATTGCGCCCTGAAGAAGCTTATTCTGATACTTATACACACTGTGAGGTTCACCCATCGTTGATATTGGGTGTATGTGCTTCAATTATTCCGTTTCCTGACCATAATCAGGTATCTTTTTATTCGATGGTCTTCTCTTTCAGAATCAATTTGTAATGCAATTCAAGTCAAAGCTAACTTCTGTGCTTTAATTAACCAGTCACCTCGTAACACATACCAATCTGCCATGGGTAAGCAAGCGATGGGCATATATGTCACCAACTACCAATTCCGCATGGTAGATTTCGAGACTTCTGATAATGTTTCTATACCTTTCACATTATTCTGTTCCCCACATCTTATAGTTAAAGACATCATGCTAAGTGTCTGATACTGTCATTTGGCTTTGTTGCCCAGGATACTCTGGCCTATGTTCTCTATTACCCTCAGAAGCCTCTTGTTACTACAAGGGCTATGGAGCATCTTCACTTTAGGCAGCTTCCAGCTGGCATTGTGAGTTTTTTATCAGTAGACTTGTCATAATTCAGCTCTGGATCTTTTCTGAAAGACTCTTGTTTTTCTTCATCCTCCTGCAGAATGCTATTGTAGCCATTTCATGCTACTCTGGTTATAACCAAGAAGATTCAGTCATTATGAACCAATCTTCAATAGATCGTGGTTTCTTCCGAT